CTGATGGTAACTGATTGCACAGATTTAGAGCTCAACTCAGACTTCTTAGCTGAGTCAAAAGTGCTCTTGATTTTTTTTTAGTTCTGTTTCTCAGTTTGATGAACAGTGTAGAAATTGTGCTTTTAATCCAGTTTCTCCACTGGCTGGAACTCTTTCTATCACACTGTCCCACCAGACATGTTCTTCTCTCAGTTTCTCTCTTATGGAGGGCGGTGGCATCACTGGGGTTCTGACTCTGCTGCTGGGGTGACGGCTTAGTCTGTTGGAACACCTGAAGGTACTCAGACTTGGTGTCACTGTAGAAAATAGTAGAATTTTATTTCTGAAAAGTAGTGTGATCAGTGAGGGGAGTAATGATTCTGAAACCAGGATCGAAACCACGATACAAACGTCCACGGTCTCACGTCGTGGCTCCTCGCTCGGCCGGCTGCTTCAGACGACACTGCGGTCTCGGCCTACAAGCCGAGAGGCTCCGCAGCTCCTCAGCTAAAACTGATAGAGTGAATGGCTTTAATATTTACTAAAGTCCAGCAGCGTCTGACGCTCGGAGATTAAGGCTCGAGTGTGAGAGACGCACAAACGAGACAAACGACTTTCAGACGGAAAACTACATTCAGTACCGTTTTTACGAGGCTGTAGTCGGCTTCCTGTTCACCAGCTTCCTGTTCGCCAGCTTCTTTTTAGAATTTTCCTGTTCTACCTTGAGTGGTGCAGCTGGTCTGAGGTGCCAGAATGTAAATATACGTTAGATGTACTTCAGTTAAATATGGTTCTTATTAAAAGTGAAGCGGCATCCAGAAGAATACAGCACTCATAAAACACAGTAATACACAGAGAAACCGACAGTAATCTTAATTATCCACGATATTAATTTTTGCCCATACCGCCCACTACTAAGTATAACACGTGTAAATCACAAAATTATTATTCTACTTATTTATTTATTTATTTACTTACTTACTTTTGATTATATAGTACATTTTTGTGAAGTTAAGTTAATCCACTGTGTTCTTCAGTGTTCTTCTCTTCAGTGTTCCAAATCGTTGGTGATTTGATAAAACCCATAAATTTTAAAACGCATGAAAAAATAACAGAACAAAGCAAAAAAAAACCCTGAGGTGTGAACCAAACCTGGACTTGGAGAATCATTACATTTCTAATGGTCACATGTAGTGCAGTTGTGTAGTAGTTCACCCAGCGATTCCACAGCGATTCCCGAGAGGAGAAATGCCTGATTAGACTGTGTGGTTGAAAGAGTAGCAGATCGCAGGGTAACTCGGGAAAAAACGTGAATTCTATATTGTTTAACCCCTTAAAATCTCAAGCTTATTACACACTAAGCCTTATCATTCAGTAACTACAGGCACTTCAGTGCAAACTGAAGCTGAGCTACTCTTAGATTATAGAAGTGTGTAATAAAACTGCTGGTGAGTTCTGGACATTTAAGAGTTGATAAACCGAGATGCAAAACTAAAAAAACGAAGTGAACCTTTAACTGAACAGAAAAGTTTGAGTTGGATTAACTGAAGACCGCAGTGTGGTCGATTACCTCATCATTTAAAACTGAGCCGTGATCTCATGTTTACAGTGCGGCGAAGCAGCTTTAACTTTTAACGCCTACGTTTGGGTATGTGTGAACTGATGGGGCTCCTAGGGGTCTCTGTGGTTAAAGCAGGAAACCAGAAGCCCCTCATATTCCAGACAACCTCAGAAACCACACACACACACAGATATACAGTACGACTCATTTAACACAGAAATTATTGATTATAATATAAGTTGTGTAACTTTTCACAGTGTTTAAAGCTGCTGTAGAATATTACAGACACTTAGTATCACAGTGATCAGAAGCTGAAAAAGAAAATATTTATGAAATCTTTACATTAATAAGAACATTGTCACTGTGGTGACTAAGGCTGGACATCGTTTGAACTTTTTTGCTTATCTGACATTCAATATTGAATTCAATATTGATACCAAAATGATCATCGTTATTTATACTGAAATAATCAATATATAATTACTCATTTTCTTGTGATTAGTTGCTGTCATTCAGTCCAGACAAGTTGTTTGTACTGTCAAGTATGCTTATTTTATAGCTTATATTTTATAGTTTGTGTGATGTAATCTTATACTTTGTTTAACTTAAAGGTTGAGTGTATTTAAATCAGTGTACAACTCCAAACAATTTAAAATTCATTTGAGTCACAGAGTTGCCTCTCATATTTTGAGCAAACTAATCAGTGTTTACAGGAGTCAGAAAAATCGATAGATATTTTCCCTAAATACTCCAGTAGTGAATGTTAGTGATAAATGTAGTGACTGCTCTGCCGCGTTCACCCCCCTCAACCGACTTCACAGCTGTGATGGAAGATGAGGACGAGTACATTAGATGGAGAAACACTGCAGAAAGCTCTGACGTACAACATGAAAATTAAATGTCACAAATGATAGAGACTAGATGATCTATGAGAATGACTTAGTGTGTTTATAGTTCAGCTGGTTTTGGTTCTGAATGTGAATGTGTTCTCACTGATAAACATTCTCGTGTAGAAGTCAGAGCTGCTGGTATCTGTTATCTGACCTGCTGATCCTCGCTGTGGACACCAGCGCCTGTGTTCGGCCAAGCTGGCGGTGACAGATTGACGTTAGTGCTGCTCTCCGCAGAGATAAATCCCAAACGCTTCATCAGATTTGATGTGTTGTTTGACTTTGCAGCTGCTACTTCAAAGCTTTTACTGCATGAGGAGCTTTTCTCAGCTATCAGTAACCTACAGAACACCTGCAGAACCTTTTCTTCTTCTTTTTTAAACAATTCTAATAATTATTTATGACGTTATTTTCACTAAACTATCGAAAATAGGCACTGTTATTGGTACTTTGTAGTACAGAGATGTTTGTGTTGGTGCCTTAACCCCAATGGTGGCCATTGTGGACCCCCTGACAAAATGAGGCAGCACAGGGAGAAGCTGAGTTCAAGGGAGAAGTGAAGATTAGAGTTATACAGAGTGATATTAAGCAGATAATAAGTGAGTTCTATTCACTAATCAATGAGTATTAACCCTCTCAGGTTGACAATGTCACATACAACATCAAAGGATGTTGTACATAAAAGAACAAATCTCCTGAACGCTGCTCTGTTCCACGAGGGCTCAGCTCTGATCGTGTCCCTTTCAGAAGCTTTGTAATCCAGCCTGAACTGCACCGTCTTTTTGGAGGCTTTATAAAAGAAATCAACAATGACAAACGCAGCCCTGAACATCATCTGTGATTGTTTATCCGTGTCTCCATGTCGAAAAGAATTAGTATTGTTGTTAGCATGGCTGTTAGCTGTCCAATGTTGCCTTGGGTCAAGTCTGTCGACCATTCAGAGGCTGTGTTCCTGACTTCTCAACCAATCAGAGGTTGTGTTTCTGACTCATCAACCATTAGGAGGCCGTGTTCCTGACTCGTCGGTCAATCAGAGGCTGTGTTCCTGATTCGTCAGCCAATCAGAGGCCGTATTCATGACTCATCGACCAATCAGAGGCTGTGTTCCTGACTCGCAACCAGTCAGAGGCTGTATTCTCAACTCGTTGATTAAGGAGAAGCTGAGTTCCTGACTCATCAACCAATCAGAAGCTATGTTGCAGACTCATCAACCAATCAGAGGCTGTGTTCCCGACTCGTTGACCAGTCAGAGGCTGTGTTCCCGACTCGTCGACCAGTCAGAGGCTGTGTTCCTGACTCGTCGACCAGTCAAACGTTGTGTTTTTGACTCGTCGACCAGTCAGAGGCTGGGATTCTGACTCAGTGACTCAGTGTTAAATGTGAAACATCAGTCTAACAGTAACAGTCACTAGAAGTTAAACAAGTTCTGCAGATATGTAGGACAGTAGAATGATGCTGGTTGTATAGTGTAGTGGATAACAACTCCTGACGGCCTACAGCCCTGCGCTGTTCAGTGTTTCTCTGCTCCCAGCACACCTAATCCAGCGAATCAGCTCATTAAAGGGAAATTTCACCAATTTTTAAAAAATTCTGAATATTTCAGTCCTTGAAGTTTAAATGGAGTCATTCAGAGGGGTGTGATGAGAAATGGTTCACTATAGAGAACTATAGTGGTGATCGGAACCAGGGGTCACAATGTCAACCACACAAATATAGAAATTTTATTTATTTCTGTATTGGCTCTGCTACATTGTAAATGAGGGTCTCTCTCAATGTACTCAGAGTTTAAATAAAAAGGTTGATTTGATTTACTATCCAAAACCACCAGTGAATCTACATGGGTCTTGTGAGTTTTATATGGAATGTTGATGATGGTAAAACAGTGACAAACCAGAAAAAGTAAGTTTTCTTCTGGGACTATTTTGCCTCACAGCGCCCTGCATGCATCATCCTGTCATTAATGGACTGAAATAAATGAAATAAAACACATTTTAAGCCAAAACCTTATCACAAAACTATCATAAAACAGCGTCTCAGTCATCAGGCAGTGAATTCTTAACCATTTACTGTAGTAACTTTCTGTGAGGGAGCTTTTAGAGGTGGACGTCTGGTTCCTATCAGCACCACTGTGAACAGTTCTGATAAGCTAAGTTTATCTAGAATAGAGCGTTTCACACCAAACCACTCTGAACCTCTCTAAACCGCTCTGAACCACTCTGATCATATCTGAACCACTTAAATATGCAGAATTTTTAAAAAAAATTCATTTGATTTAGTTGAAGTGGTTGTGTTAAAGCAGGACAGTGGGCCTCTAGAACCAGAGCTGAGAAACACTGTCCTAGACTATCAAATTTTACAGCACACTGTCGTGTGTGTTTGACTGTAGAGGTGTACAGCATTCAGCCTGCTCTCTATTTCAGTTGACGGCTGTTGTTTTGGTAAAATTGTTGGTGGTTTTAACAGAAAGCAGAATAAAAAAAAAAAAACAGAAGAAGAGAAGAGAAACTGGAGGCTGTAACTGTGTGAGTGAATCTGATTGCACATCACTTCAGCTCCTCTGCATGTGTGTGTGTGTGTGTGTGTGTGTGTGTGTGTGCGCGCCTCCCCTTTGAAATGGGATTTCTCATAAACAGAACAAGACAGGAAAAGGCAACAAAACCCGACTTGAGAGGAAACCAGGCGGCTGCGAGTGTTTCAGCGTTTTCTCCTCGTCTCTGAGGGCCTCTGCACCATGATACACAGAAACAGTCAGACAGCACTCGCTCTGCTGCTCGTCCTGCTGCGCTCCGGCCTTAGCGGTGAGTCTAACGTTATCTGTATTACATCTAAACAGCTTCACTTCAGCAGCACGTTTAGCCACCTGCTAGAAAGCGGAATTCATCTCACGTCTCAAGGGTTCCCCAGACTGAGGCACATGTTCATTTCTCTCGAGGGGAGATCAGCTCCATTCGAGTCTCACTGCTTCACAGTTAAATTACAGCGATATCGGTGTGAACGCAAGAGTTTAAAGCTTTAGGAGGAATAAACAGTGAAAAGTGAGCCGATGCAGTAATGTAGGTTCTGTTGTCGTGATGTTCAACTGCAGATTTGCCTGAAACAGTTTTGCTGATCAGTCAGGCGGCTTCATTAGTGAAGTTTAAAACCCTTAAAAAAGACGGTTCTTCAGACTGATCGAGAATGTGCTGTCTAGGGATCTATATAGCACCAAAAAAGGTTCTGCTATCGGTACGAGCTTGACGTCGTAACTATTAGAATAATCATAACATAATAATCAAACCAGAACCAAATACAGCACATTCTGTCTGTCTGAAGAACCATTTCATCATGCATTCACCAAGCATAAACATGGTTCTTTAAGTGTTCATGGTTGTATATAGAACCAGTGTCTTTACCAAAGAACCCTTGAAGAACCATCTTTTTCCAAGAGTGAATTATTCTCAGGATGGTGCCTGCTGCCCAACAGCATTTCACATTTTTACTACTAAAAATGTTTGAGTGATTATTTGCCTCTGAGATTTTTATGTTTTTTACTCATCAGACCAGATAAAGTTTTACATATTCATAACAATCCACTATTAATAACAAAACAACAGGTTAGTGAGACACAGAACTAATTTCAGATTTAAAAGATGCCCCAACTTCGCTAACTGTGACTGCAACGTTAACGTTATCATGGCGATCGGTAACATGATGGTGCGTGACAACTTCTCTCTAGAGCTGAGAGTGTTTGTTCATATTAACACATTAAAATTAAAATGATAATGTAATAAATTATGATTAGTGGAGGGGGAGAAGGCTGGAGGAGGATGTGAGGGATGTGATGTTCTCTATCAGGTCTGAACACCTGACTGGGTTTTGGTTCCCGTGTGTGTTTGTTAATGTAAACACTGTGTAAACAGGTGTATGTAAAAGTTTGTACGCCCCTGGACAAATCCCATGCTGTGGTTGATTTTGTTTGTGAAAACTCATCTGCACATTTTAAGACACAGTTTACTGTTTATTTACTGAATTTAACACACTTGGGGGGGGGGGGTGAAACGTAAAACGTGGCCTGTGTTGCTGCACACTTTATATTTTATGTTAATTTTTTTTTTCCTGAATATCATCACCGTCCAAATAAAAACGTATTTCCATTTTTTTTTTCGTTTTATTTTTCTACATCATTTGAGCTCAGCAGCTGTTTCTTCACATTGCGTGAAAACATTGTGATAAATAGACAAACAGAAATGCTCCAAAATCGCTTGGAATAAAATCTCTTTACATTAACTTACATTAAGGGCATGGAACGTTTTTGCCTCTCCTGTAAACTTAGTATTTTGGAGATGATTTTTTTTTGGGACAGTGATGATATATTTAGCGTAATAGAAATTTGCTGAGTTTCATATTGATTCAATATGTGTGTTCTCTGTGCAGGACGTATTCATTTATTTTCAGCTAGAAAATCAACAGTAACATGGAGTTTGACCAGGAGTGTCCAAACTTTTACACACGGCTGTATACGATAAACACTCTTCATTTTGCCCGAGTGGCTGGTGCCAATTTTTAACGCATCTATCTCTGCAAACAGCCTTAGAGTTCAGCATTTAGTATAAATACAGATGAATGAAAAGAGCTGCTGTTACAGAATCTGTATCCTGAGATGGGAACATTCCGGATTAATGGACAATTCAGACTCCGACACCAGGAGAGAATCACCTGGGCGTTTACTGTGAGGTTAAAAGCAGATCAGACAGCTCTGTGGGCCACAGGAGGAGAAGAACGAGAACGAGAGAGAGTTTTCACTTTAACCGCACTTCACGCTGCTTCACTGTGATCCTCATTCATGCCTATTTAGTCCAGTGAGATGCTGTTTATCCTGTTTTGCTCAGTTCCATGTGTTCTCGATTAGAACGCTGCCTACAAGGAACTTATAACACCTGCATAAGCAGAACAGTGTTTATGAGCGTCTTATGTCAGTGAACACGTAACGACACAGTGTTTGTAAAGTAAATGGCACTGTGCTGATCAGAGGGGTACAGTAACCACACTCCTAAAATGGTTCTTCAAGGGTTCTTTAATTAAAACAACTGTTCTCTTTAGAACCATGAACACTCAAAGAACAGTTGCATTCCTAAATGGTTCTCTGCATGGTGAAATTGATGGAGAATGTGTTGTATATGGTTCTATATAGCACCAAAAGGGTTCTGCTGTTGTTACGATGTCAAGCTTTTCACAATAGAAGAGCCCTTTTTGATACTATACAGAGCCCTTTTCAAAAAGGTTCCATACAGAACCATACACAACACATTCTCCATCAATCTGTAGAACCATTCTGTGATGCAGAGAACCACTTAATCTTGCATATGGTTCTTTGAGTGTTCATGGTTCTGTATATAACCATCGTCTTTACTTAAAAACCCTGTTTTCAGAGTGCTCCTCCATTTACTCAGTTCCATGTACCTCTGAAATAACGATTCGTATTGCAATTTTCCGTTCCACCTTAAATGGTGAGGCTGTTCTATGAGATGCCGATTTCAGCCTCGTAGCTGCTGAGCTGGGAGACGCTGATGTTCTAATGTTCTTCTGCAGGTCTGTAAGTTATTCAGTAGTTTTTTGAGCTGCCACTTTTGTGGTTCTACTCCAGTTCTGTTTTTCTGAAAGGTACTTTTACTTTTACTGCAGTTGTTATTTCACTTTTACTGGAGGCTGTTTAGGAGACGCTGGTTGTTCCACTGCTGCTGCTGAGAGGAAACACTTCTGGATTTCCTACAGCCTGTTTATCTGCACGGCTCATTTTCCACTCTGATGCTCTGAAAATGAAAAATAATTATACGTAGCACTGCAGTACCGGAGTCATATTAGCACTGACAGGTAATTCTTAAAAAAACGTGTGCTTTGGACAGATGTTCAGATGTGGCTCATGTTTCAGATGTGGCCGAAGTGTGATGGTGTGTTTATTGATGTGTGATGGTGTGTTTATTGATGTGTGATGGTGTGTTTATTGAACTCCAGAAGATCAGAGTGTTGAGGTGACGCTGAGTTACTACAATGAAATATCTGCATTTTATTTATTTTACTGCTTTCGTAACTCTACACAAATAAATCTTATTTTTTTCTGCTAATACATAAATGTTTAGTCCTAATTTCTGCTTTTCTACATAATACAATATCAGTATGGTTCAGAGTATTGATGCATTTTGGAGTACACGTATAATTGTCTGTGAAAGAAAAATAATTGATGTATTTACACATATTATAGTCAATACAACATAAACACAACACAAGAGGACATAATCACCAGCTTCACACGGACAGCAAAGAGAAAAACACGCATCTAACTCCAATCCTTTAAACTGTTTCCCAGTTTCCCAGATTAAGCCTAGACCTGAACGTTCCTTTAGCGCTGAAGGTCTGGATAAGGTTCCACATACAGTTCTCCAGTCTTACAACTACAGAACTTACAAATTAGTTTTATAATAAATATTGAAAAACTCACTGTGGATACAGAGTAATTGATACTGGGTAGCACTTTAAAATAAGACTCCCCTTACAAAGCGTTCATGAATGGTTTTAAATGAGTTCATTAATGGTTATTAATTAGGTCATTCAGACGTTAAAAGCGGTTACAGTGAGCTGTTGCTTATCTAATATTGAAACCTCATTAATTTATACAGTTAAACCTCAGATTCTGATCTTTACTGATCTTTGTCTTCTTCATCAGACAGTACTAAACCTGTCAGCTTCATCACAGCTTACTTTCAAGTGGTACCCATAGTAGTTACTAAATAATTCATTGTAGATATTGAATAATTCATAGGAAATACTGAATAATTCATAGGAGAAGCTGAATAATTTGTAGTAGATGCTGGATAACTCGTAGTAAATACTGAATAATTCATAGTAATTACTGAATAATTCATAGTAAATACTGAATAATTCATAGGAGATACTAAATAATTCATAGTGAATACTGAATAATTCATAGTAGATACTGAATAATTCATAGTAGATACTGAATAGTTTATAGTAGATACTGAATAGTTTATATTAGATGCTAAATAATACATAGTAGATACTGAATAATTCATAGATACTGAATAATTCATAGTAGATACTGAATAGTTCATAGGAGATACTGAATAATTCATAGTAAATACTGAATAATTCATAGTAGATACTGAATAGTTCATAGGAGATACTGAATAATTCATAGGAGATACTGAATAATTCATAGTAGATACTGAATAGTTTATAGTAGATACTGAATAGTTTATATTAGATGCTGAATAATTCATAGTAAATACTGAATAGTTCATAGGAGATACTGAATAGTTTATAGTAGATGCTGAATAATTCATAGTAAATGCTAAATAATGTTTTGTTGTTATTAACTGAAGTTTAATAGTTTGAACTCTCGGTTGTCACTGACACAAAATCCGATCACATTTCTGTTTCAGTGAAACGAGAGCAGAAACTGTGGAAAGTGCAGATTGTAAACTTTCAGTTCAGACCACAGCAGTGTTTATGAGCAGAGCAGCAGGTGTTTTATTCTGATTGATTTATTTGATGTTGGAAGGACGGATGGAAGGAAAGTTACTGCTGTTCATAAAGAGCATACATTTCTTTCCGTGTTTGTTACAAACGGAAAAGGTCAGAGGTGCAGACTGGAGCCTGCTGGTTCAGACGGTAAACCAACTTTAAATGTGGTCATCATGGGACTGTAATTAAACGTCATGCAGTGTGTATAGTATACTAGACTACATAGAGTAGAGAATACAGTGAAAGTAAAAACTCTGGTCTTGTAAGGGTTAAACGGGTCTTTTCCTGCCTGCTGATGACATGTTTGTTCTGAGGAAGTTCAGCAGTCTGGAATAATGTTTTTAATAAGTGGGACATCAATGAAGACAACAGACATCAATGAGCGGATCAGTGAAACAGACGAAGTGTGAGGTGTGAAGTGCGGTTAAGGCATGAACGAGTCACCAAACTGAGATCTGTTTGTACTTTTCCATATTCAGTGTTCAGTATTCAGTTCTTTTTTCTCTCTCTCTCTTCTTCACCTGCGGCCTGAAGAGCTGTTTGCTCGGTTTTGCATCAGATGTGGGTTTCGGGCCTAAAGCGCGCTTCAACACCCACTGCTGCATCATCACCCCGTCCCGTAAACACGAAACCTGCAGCTACAGCCCCAAAACAGCCCTCTGCTCTGCGCCCGCCCCCCTCCCTCTCTGAGCTGAGTAACGAGAGGAGCTTTAACGTTTCGTTCCTCCACTGGATCCTGCTCCATCACTCTGATGTTCACAACCTTCTGACTGTTTCTCCAGCTGGACCAGCCGGTTTATCAGCTTCTTCATCACAGCTCAGACTCAGAGCTGATTTTGGATGTGTAATTGGTGCCTCATATATTTGACCGCTTAAATGTCCAGGGCCTGTCGATGGGCTCAAAGTGTTATTACACACTTCTACAATCTCAGAACAGCTCAGTCAGTTCACACTGAAGCCCCTGTAGTTACTGATAGTGAGACTTAGTACAATCTTAAAAATGATGGTTCTTCAAGGGTTCTGTAGTAAAGAAAATGGTTCTATATAGAACCATGAACACTCACTCATTTTTTGCATGATCTTTGCATCATCAAAGTGTTCTTCAGATTGATGGACAATGTGCTGTAAATGGTTCTATATAGAACCTTTTTGAAAAGGGTTATATATAGCACCAGAAAAGGTTTTGCTGTTGTTATGATGTCAAGCTTGATACAATAGAAGAACCCTTTTTGGTGGTGCTATATGGAACCCCTTTCAAAATGGTTCCATATACAACCATATACAACACATTCTCCATCAATCTGAAGAACCATTTCACCACACAGAGAAATTTAAGGATTAATATGTCTCTTCGAGTGTTCGTGGCTCTATATAGAACCATTGTCTTTACAAAAGATGGTTCCTTGAAGAACCATCAGTACAGAAACCACACATTTATAAAAAACCTTGACTGCAGTTCGGCATCTATAGATCTATGGTGAAGCTTTTGGAACCTCTTCTTATGGGGAGACGCGCTCAGAGACGAGCTTTGGCAGTTTTGAAAACTGTGTTTATTAGTTTTTATAAAATCTCACACACTGGAATGTTCTGAACTCTGGAGGTGTGCAGGTTATACGGATCCACCAATCAGCTGATCTTCTCACAGTGTTTTATAGAGACGCATCTGAAGTGTCTACATATCTGCTCATGTGTTTGTGGTCATTTTGGTCTGTGTTGTTGGTGTTTATCCATCTGCAGTAACGGTGATGAGCTGAGCTCCATCAGAGCACAGTCAGAGTTACAGCTCACCTACCAACATGATGCAATTGAATACTATAAATTGCACTGTTCAAAAACTGGACCCCCTCTGTTTCCCTCCACCCCCCCTAATTATGCCCACTTGACGCACACTGCTCCTCTGTAACCTGTTAATACCTGCTCATCCACAGAGTTAAATGTTAGTAGTCTGGATATCAGCGCTGACTGTTCACACTGAACTTCGCCATTAGTTATTTTTTTGCGCTGCTGTTAGTCTGTAAACTGATGAGCACCAACTTCTGTTTCCTTTTGGCCTCATTGTGGTTACACAGTTTAAACCCTTAAACTCAGGGGTCTGTTTGTGGGTCCACATTTCAGTTCCTCCACATCTTACATGCTTGATTTACAGTAGATACTGAATAATTCACAGTAGGTACTGAATAATTCTTAGCACATGATTAATGCTTATTATTCATCATTTTAAGGGGTTTATATGCTGAATTCAGTGCTTTAAAGGTGTTTCTGGTTGGAACGACTATCAGATAATCAGATATGATTTTTTTCTCTGAAAGATCACAGGATGTTTTTTGTTCTTTTTTATTTCTTTCAGTGGAATTGGATCATGTAGAAGGGACAGTCGGGGAGAATTTAAAGATCACATTTGAATTTTCATCCAGAGGCATTAATGCTGAGGAGAGCTTCAATGTGTACAGAGATGAGAAGAAGATCGGACACTTTCCAAACACCATAAGCCCCTGCTCTTCATCTGCTGCGGCGCCTAAACAGAACTTGTGCATCGCTGACACGTCTTTAAGAAAAAGAATTCTGCTCTTCACGAATCTGACAGCGAACGACAGCGGGGTTTATCACCTGTCTGTGTTTATGGAGAACCAGGTTACACCTGTTGTTACCAGTACCAAAGTTAATCTGACTCTGACTGTTCATCCAGGACTGAACGTGACAACAGGTACAACTCTGATGCTCTGAGCGCCGCATTGGCCAATTAACAGTACAGAGAATTACTGTGAGCTGTTAGTGTTACTGTAGCTTTTTGTTAATAACCCGCAGCTGTCAGTCATGATCACTGAAGTTGATTTATATCTCAGTTTCAGCTCCGACTTCCTCCACCAACAACAACAGTTCCTCAATCAAGAGTCAACCAGAAATGATCTCACGCTACTTAATCTTCAGCACACTAGTGTTCACTCCGGTTCTCGTGCTGGCGGGCCTGCTGGTTTGGTTCTGCCGGACGTACGGAAGAAAATCAGGTACAGTAACACAACCAATCTCTTCTCATACTGCGCTGACTTATACAGAGATCCAGAACATACAGCGTGTTCTATATCTGCCACCCTGCACATGTTCCGCTATGTTCTATATCTAACATCCCTACATGTTCCACCATGTTCTATATCTGCCATCCTCTACATGTTCAAGCGTGTTTTATATCTGCCATCCTGTACATGTTCCACCATGTTCTATATCTGCCATCCTGCACATGTTCCACCATGTTCTATATCTGCCATCCTGTACATGTTCCACCATGTTCTATATCTGCCATCCTGTACATGTTCCACCATGTTCTATATCTGCCATCCTGCACATGTTCCACCATGTTCTATATCTGCCATCCTGTACATGTTCCACCATGTTCTATAGCTACCATCCAGTATGTGTTCCACCATGTTCTATAGCTACCATCCCGACCATTTTAACTGCACTATCAGATGCTGCCCAGAGTAGGATGAGTTCTCCTTTTGAGCCTTGGTTCCATTCAGTGGTTCTTCTTCATGCTCTTAGGGAGTTTTTTTCTGATAAAGCTGCTTTGGGAACTTGGCTCTTGTATGAAGAGTTATATAGTTAGAACCGAATTGAAATGATAAAAATCAGGTAGAAATAATGTCGCCTACATAATATTCCATATTAAGCCAAAATAACAAATAAGTCTGAGTATAAAACTGTTCTACACACTGCCTTTATAAATACACACATGTACACGTTCTCACTGTCACAACTAAAGCTTGTATCTCCTTTTTTGTTTTGTTTTTTTGTTTGTTTGTTTTAAATTTTAAGTTTTTTAAGTTTATTGTTTTCCTTTTCCTGTAAAGTTACTGTTTGGGAGATACGAGTTTCAGTCACTACATCAGCAATACACACTGCAGTTCCTCTCGTTTAACCCTGATCCCTCTTAGCTGTAGTTAAAGCACTTATGGGCACTTATTATAACTTGGAGATTAAATAATTAATTAATCAATCATTGCACTGTGATCAGACAGACCAAATAAACCAGCTTTCTAGGAATGATGGATGTATTTTGAGTGAACTATTGATCTAACATCTGAACTCTTATCTACAGATGACACACCTGCTCTGAACGCCAGCACAGCACAGCAGGTACGAGTATCTGATTCTGTTCAGCTTCATAAACTGTAGGGTTAGCGTTAGCATGTCCTGCTACAGCTGCTTCCTGTGTTTATGTGTAAAATATTTAGTAGGTTGGGCATTAAGTATGTTTATGGTTCCAAGCGGCGTAATCGTCCAATTCACTTCCTGTCTGTTACTCAGGAAACCAGAATAGATCTATGTCAGTTGTGCTATTTACTCTTAATAAAGGTCTTATAAAGGTTTCTTTGAGAAGAACCTATTTTGGTCAAGAAATAACCATGTTTGAAAAGGAACTTTCACATAAATGTAAAATTGCTGTACCAATTTAGAGTTTCTTAGATTCACACAAATTTGCCAATCTGATTCTGAGCCAGTCTGATTTTTTCTTTTCCAAAAAAGTAAACATTGTCCAAAAAAGGCTGAAAATCGAGGAACCACCAATATGAATTTTGTCAGACTTGTACATGACATTTCCAAAGGGGTTCAGTCATGATTGATCTTCACCAAATTAAACATGAATATCTATATTAATTTGGCATTTACGTCTTAAACAGACATCTTCTCTTCTGACTAAAAGTGAAAAGTGAGTAACCTGGTTGCCTTAAAATTTTGAGTTCAGTGAACTACAGTTTTAAGGCAGCCAGGTCACTCACTTTTTTAAGTTTATTGGTTTGGACATATTTAACAGACATCACTAAAACCTGTTGACTACAAATCTGATCTTCCTCAAAGTTCACTTTATTATTATTACTGATGGTTCTGGCTGGTCAGAGTCCAGATTTAAACCCTGTAGTGAATATTTGGTCTCACATTAAACCCAGACCAGCTCAGCAGTGTTTTCCCGCTGTTTGAAGCCGTCAGTGCTGAGTGGATCAATACTGACTCTTCTTTCTGTAAAAGACTGTCTGAACATTCACACACTAAACTACAACACTTAGAGAAATCAGAGTGAAAATCTCTCCGCACTGACTGACTGCTGTGTGTTTGTTTAGTGATTTGTCGTTAAGAACATTAAAAGATTAATGTTTTGCCATTTTGGACTTGACCTATTTTTTTGCCAGGCGTTTACTCTGACACCAGAATTCACCGTACATTCTGTATTAGGTGAATAAAAATATTCTGGTTCTTTGTGTTTGTGCTTAGGGGATCTGCCCAGTGTCCACCGCTGTGCCATCGGTCAGCTGTGTTGAATACGGAGTTCTAGACTTCCAGAACCGACCGAACCGTCCCGAGAGACACAGCAACCCAGAGGCGGCTGATGGGGGCGTCGAATACGCTGCTATAATGTTCCCCCCGCAGAAAAAAAGAACATGAGTGAGGGGGACAGAGGGCACGATGAAGCTTTCTGCAGAGCCGGAAAAGCTTTAAAAACCCTTCACCTTCTTTATTCAGCCACACAAACTCACACCGCCCGCCTTTAAGCGCTGGAACCACTGAGTTCTCGTCCGGCGACGCTTTATTACTCTGATGCACTTTACACCTGCAGAAAAGACTGAGCGGCCTCGCCGGGAGGAAGTGTGAGCGTGGCAGAGGAAGTTACTGTAAATGCAATATTTTAGTGCTAATTTGGGAGAAACAATAGTATAAATAGTTCACATATTTGTAAGATGTGATTGTGAAAAGTCTCCCCACTGTAAGTGAAGCGGTGCTGTAATGACTCAGTGTTTTAGAGAAGCAATAACCACAAAAGCCCCTGGTGAGAAACCCCCAGAGCCGCACTGCACGGGCTCAACACCAGCGGCCACATTTCGCACAGACAGTGTGGGAGCTTTTATGTAATATAATAAACACTATATTCACACTTCAGTGCACTTTGTTCCTGCTGTCGCCTTTTTGCACCGAGTCAGAAGCAGCTGCTGAAATTCAGACGTTCAGCACAGCAGCTCTGCAGCGGAAGGTTCAGAACAGGGGTGTCTAAACTTTCTTACAGTGTCAAAATACCTGAAGGCTAAAATATTATTCACAACTTATTCCAAATATTAGTTTTCTGTGTTTCCTATCACTGTGTAAAAGATGCACGAGGCCTCTTTAATTGCTGGGTTGCTCAGAGCAGTTTGGATCAGTGAGCACTTATAACAAATTACTAAACTGCTTGAGCAACAATGAAACACGTCTAAGGTATAAACTGAATTCCTGTTCAAGTGTAAACAAGAAGAACAGATTAAACAGCCGTCATTGTTCCACCTTAAAGGCTTAATATTTCCTGACCTGCTGAATTTGCCGTGTTCGGCCGTGTGGCCGGACTTTGGACACCCCTGCTATAGAACGTTATTCGGTTTATTTAGTCCTGATTTCTCTGTTTCTGTTAAGAGTTTATTGGAGTTTTTAAACCTGGTTTATTGAGTTAGTGCAGCTGTATAATCAGCACTGCGGCGTTTAACCAGTGACAGCTTTCACTCCACCGTTAAGCTGCGTCGCTTTAGGAACAACGGCTCTCATCTCCAAAATGGTACCTTTACAAGAGAAGGAAAAATGTTCTCAACTTCGAATGGAAGTTGAAGAGGAAATCCACTGATTTTATACAATTTCTGCATAATTCAGTTAATGAACAGAGTCACAGTTCAGTTCATAATTCAGTTAATGAACAGAGTTTTGAGTGAAATGGTTCATTGGATGGAAAATAGTGGAAAATCTGAAATAATACGTTTTCTTTGGGGACTATTTTGCCTCACAGCGCCCTGCATGTATCCCTCCACCATCAATGGAGTTTAAGTTCTCTAAACGATCATAAAACAGTGTCTCAGTTATCAGGCAGTGAATTCATAACCATTTCATGTAGGAACTTTCTGTGAGGGAGCTTTTAGAGGGGGACGTCTGGTTCCTATCACCACCACTGTGAACAGTTCTGACTCGGTAAGTTTATCTAGAACAGCAAACCACTCTGAACACACCAAACCACTCTGAACCTCTCTGAACCACTCTGAACTGCTCTGAACCTCTGTTAACATCTTAACCAGTTAATAATGCGGGAGTTTTGAAAAATCCTTTAATGGAAAACTGATTAATTTCAAGTAAGTTTGGAGGATTTCTGGAGAAATGAGCTTTCCTTCCAACAGTGATAATGTAATAAAAAAGTTTAAATAAAAGTTAATTGATATGAACAAAACGAACATCAACAAAACCCTCATTAAAGGCCCGTATCATGGAAAAAACAAAATTTCCCACATTTTTATTTCAAAGAGTTTAATGTAGTTTACTAAAGTCTGAAAACGCTCCGTCCAGATGCTCCATGTATGGAACCTAATCTGCAAAAACAGCCTGTTTTGAATCCGTTGTTTTTTGTGATTTCAGAAAAACAAGCATATTTACCATTAGTCTACAGCAGCTTAGCCCTGCCCACTGAAGTTTAATATCTAGAACCATGACATGAGTTCATTAGCTCAGCATCAACATCAAGAGAAAGTGGTTTAAAACCACATTTCACAAACGTGTGTGAAAGTGTGTTTGTGAGTGTGAGTGAGTGTGTGTTTGTGTGAGTGTGTGTGTGTGTGTGTGAGTGTGTGTGCGTTTGTGTTTGTGTGTATGAGTGAGTGTGTGTGAGTAACTGTGAGTGAGTGTGTGTGTGAATGAGTGTGTGATTGTGAGTGTGTGTGTGAGGGAATGTATGTGTGTTTGTGTGAGTGAGTGTGTGTGTGAGAGTGTGTGTGAGAGTGTGTGTGTGAGTGTTCGTGTGTGTGTGTTTGTGTGTGTGAGTGACTGTGTGTGAGTAACTGTGAGTGAGTGTGTGTGTGAATGAGTGTGTGATTGTGAGTGTGTGTGTGAGGGAGTGTGTGTGTGTTTGTGTTTGTGTGATTGTGAGTGTGTGTGTGAGGGAATGTGTGTGTTTGTGTGTGTGAGTGTTTGTGTGTGTGTTTGTGTGAGTGAGTGAGTGCGTGTGTTTGTGTGTGTGAGTGAGTGTTTGTGTGTGTGTGTGTGTGAGTGTGTGTGTTTGTGTGTCTCCTGTTATCAGCTCAGCTCGGCCAGTGAGATACATTCAGAGCAGAGTGAGAGTCAGAGGTGGTTCAGTGCTGTGTTTATGCAGAAGGAGCTGAAAGGATGTGAGTTCAGGAGTGACATTTCAGCTTCGCAGCGTCTGAACCGTGACACACACTCACACTCACACACCCGTGTGTTTGGCGGATGCCTCAGCGTTTCCACCGCCCACTCCGAGGAGAGCTGAGGCGCTCTCCATTAACCACTGCACTCCTTCAGAGGCACCGACACTTTCAGTCAGCGCTCAAAACTTTTCCATTCGACCTACAGGCGAAACCGCAGCAGGGCTGGATCAGTGTGAGTAAGAGTCCTCAGGAGGCCTGTTTCCATTCAGCCTCGAGACGCTTTAACCGCGCAGCTCCACTGTGATACGCAGCCTGCGGTTACTGACTCGCCCCGATTTCAGATCATCACTTTATCAGAGGACACTGATCTGCACAGTAAGCACAATCGGCCTGAGCCTCCTCCAGTATCAACAACAAACACGGTCAGTAACTCACACAGTGTCATCGCCCTGCTCTGGAAATTCAGCTCCACCACACACACTTACACACACACTCACACACACACTCACACACACACTGACACACACACACACACACACACTATAGAAACTAAAAACAAAAGACACACGTGACGTAAGTGTGACGTAGGAGCTGCACATGCTTACAAACGTTAAAGGAAACACAGTGACACCTGCTGGAGACTGGAGTCTGGTGTACTCAGGGTTAACACATATTAGGGAGAGGTAAGGCCAGAGCCGGTTTATGGGGAGTCTGGCCTCTTCCTATTTCCCCCATTATATCAAAAACTGGACTGCAAAACAGCAGAGGGCGCCTGTCAGGGAGTTCTCAATGAATGGGGGTGAATGGAGCTAAACGGCTAAAAACAAAAAGTTAAAATGGTTTCTAATCACTCAGAAATTTCCTTTAATTTTATACAGTAGAAGATTGAATTTCACTAAAAAAGCAAAGAAAACTCACCTGTTTGTTTCCTTTTTCTACAGCAAACGGGTTTTGGGCAGCAGGACGCTAACATTACTGCTACTGAGTGCTGATTGGTTGGCGAGCGGAGCAGCTCATTGGCTGTTCGCACTCACTGACATCATAAATGTAAATGAGGCGCCGTTTCAAACTCCTATCATTCGAGTTTAAATTAAAAACCTAACAGCAGCGTTTTAAGCTGTTCTGTATTCAGGAAATGATTGTATTATTTTACATTGAAAATGTTTCAGCATTTATAAACTATGATTTTACTCAAATGCTCCATCTTAACTCATTAATTTTGGACTCACTCAGGAGCGCCCTCTAGTGTTTGAGAAACCTGGAAGACATTATAGAATGTTAATTCTCCTCTCTACAAGTTCTCTGGCCTGTCCCAAATATACATATACAGATTGCAGACAGGGGGCGCTATACTGAAGTCAGGGCTCTGCGGCAAACACTGCCCAGAAGTAAACGTTCCTCGTACACTTGCAATGATTTTCCAAAAATGTTTAAAGGTATTTTTCTTTAAGATGTGAGTCAGAATCACATGTTTTCGTTTTCCATCTGATTGTAAATATTTTGGATGATACACATTCAATTTCTGTCGTTACAAAAGTGCTAATGTCTGCTAGCGTCTCTAAGAGAATCAGTATATAACGTTAGCACCACTTTTCCACTCACAGCGATGTGCTGAGCTGGTCAGCCGAGCTGCAGTTAAACTAAACCACATTCTTACACAGGAAATGTGATGTGGTTCCAGGTGAGGTTTCCTTCTGATGACTCTGCCTTTCTGCTCAAGCAGCAAGAGAGATTCGATTCCATTAGATTCAATTTGTGTCCTATTTTAAAAGCAATAACATGACTGACGGAGCGGCCAGCCCCGACTCTGAGACCGTTTAGAGTCATAAAGTTCCCACAGAGCAGCTAGGCCCGACTCCGAGACCGTTTAGAGTCATAAAGTTCCCTCAGAGCGGCTAGGCCCGACTCCGAGACCGTTTAGAGTCATAAAGTTCCCTCAGAGCGGCTAGGCCCGACTCCGAGACCGTTTAGAGTCATAAAGTTCCCACAGAGCGGCTAGGCCCGACTCCGAGACCGTTTAGAGTCATAAAGTTCCCTCAGAGCGGCTAGGCCCGACTCTGAGACCGTTTAGAGGGATAAAGTTCCCTCAGAGCGGCTAGCCCCGACTCTGAGACCGTTTAGAGTCATAAAGTTCCCCTCAGAGCGCCTAGCCCCGACTCCGAGACCGTTTAGAGTCATAAAGTTCCCCTCAGAGCGCCTAGCCCCGACTCCGAGACTGTTTAGAGGGATAAAGTTCCCCTCAGAGCGGCTAGCCCCGACTCCGAGTCCGTTTAGAGTGATTAAGCTCCCCTCAGAGCGGCTAGCCCCGACTCTGAGACCGTTTAGAGTCATAAAGCTCCCCTCAGAGCGGCTAGCCCCGACAGAGTGACTAGCCCCGATTCCGAGACCGTTTAGAGTCATAAAGTTCCCCTCAGAGCGGCTTGCCCCGACTCCGAGACCGTTTAGAGTGATAAAGCTCCCCTCAGAGGGGAGTAAACAAACACACTGAGTAAACACACACAGAGTAAACAAACACACTGCTTTCTCTCTGATTAAATTTACCATAAATTTGTACAAATTTACAGTAAATTTGTAAAGAAATAACAGATGTACTTTGCACACTATACAATGTAGAAATTAATAAAATAAATGTATATTATTATTATATCCCTAGTTCATTTATTAATTCATTTTTAACTTTTGTGTTATTTATGTATTCATTTATTCATATTTTTGTTCCTCCATTTCAACTCCTTTTTTTAATTCGCTGCTGTATGAAATCTGCTGCTTGAGCCCCAGAGAAATACATCATTAAACCTGCATTAAAACAGTAATGTTTGTGGTGAGAGGTGACCTAAAGAATGAAAGCTGCTCTAGTCATCCTGCAGGGGGCGCACACTGTCTCTGTTTTTAGCTCTCAGTTCAGTTTCTATTCTGACACTCATTTATTCCGTCACACACAAACCGAGAAACTCAGAGTCAAAGTTTCGTTTTCTGAGCTTTTCTGTAGGGGAACCTGCAGCCTTATCTGGAACATCTGAAACTGTTTACAGCAGAACAGAATAATCCAGCGTTAATCCTGTCAGTGGGTCGCTGCAGAACCCAAATACACCAAAAATATTTTGTGGTTCAAAAATGTCCCTAAAGTGGAAACGAGCAGTTTGACTGTTTTATTCAAGTTAAACAGAATTAAATTAAGAGAAAAGAGAGAAAATAAGAGTTTAGATAAAGAGGAAAGTTACATGCTGAAGCTGCTCTGTGTTTACAGTGTGTTTACAGTGAGTTTACAGTGTGTTTACAGTGAGTTTACAGTGTGTTTACAGTGTGTTTACAGTTTGTTTACAGTTTCTTTCTGCTGAAGTGCTGAGTTTCAGTTTCGTTTCTGAAGCTGCTGCCTGTCAAATACAGCAATAAAGCGGAACAGAGAGAGAGAGAGAGGGAGAGAGAGAGATGGAGCTGTGGGTCAGGGTTTTTCGGGACCGGGCTGCTGGGCTGGACGGAGATGAGTGGACTCTGGAGCTGAATGACTCCATCGAGCCGGGCCGAACTCAGCGAGGCTGGAACCAGTACATCAGAAACTCCTATGCTCAGTAAGATACAGCTGCACCTTCAGAATGGGTTCTAAAAGGGTTCCTCAGTAAAGGCAGGGGTTACATACAGAACCATGAGAACCAGAAGAAGAAAGAATGAAGGATGAATTATTCAGTATCTACTATGAATTATTCAGTGTTTATTATGAATTATTCAGTATCTACAATGATTTTGAGATTAAATGGTAAAATAACTATATTTTTTCTCTGGGAATCAAGAAGGTAAATATATTTATCATTTGGAGTTGCTCATCTTTGTTGCTCATAGATACAAAACTTTATGCTGCAGAATGAAAAATGTATCACGCTGTTTGGTCAGTTTGATCTGTTTGGTCAGTTTGATCTGTTTGGTCTGTTTGATCTGTTTGATCTGTTTGTTCTGTTTGGTCAGTTTGATCTGTTTGGTCTGTTTGATCTGTTTGTTCTGTTTGGTCAGTTTGATCTGTTTGGTCTGTTTGGTCTTTTTGTTCTGTTTGGTCAGTTTGATCTGTTTGGTCTGTTTGGTCAGTTTGATCTGTTTGGTCTGTTTGGTCTGTTTGATCTGTTTGTTCTGTTTGGTCTGTTTGATCTGTTTGGTCTGTTTGTTCTGTTTGGTCTGTTTGATCTGTTTGTTCTGTTTGGTCAGTTTGATCTGTTTGTTCTGTTTGTTCTGTTTGGTCAGTTTGTTCTGTTTGGTCTGTTTGTTCTGTTTGATCTGTTTGGTCAGTTTGTTCTGTTTGGTCTGTTTGTTCTGTTTGTTCTGTTTGGTCAGTTTGTTCTGTTTGGTCTGTTTGTTCTGTTTGGTCTGTTTGGTCTTTTTGTTCTGTTTGGTCAGTTTGATCTGTTTGTTCTGTTTGGTCAGTTTGATCTGTTTGGTCTGTTTGTTCTGTTTGGTCTGTTTGGTCTGTTTGATCTGTTTGGTCAGTTTGGTCTGTTTGTTCTGTTTGGTCAGTTTGGTCTGTTTGGTCAGTTTGGTCTGCTTTATTATTTTTCAGAGCTGTGTAATAATCTTCACACTGTTTATGCTTTTTGATGTTTATTATGCAGATCTGTGTTGGCTGATTGAGTCCAGTGAACTCTGAGAGTTATGAGAAAGAGCTTTTATTTATATTAATGATGTATGATGTTTACCTGTCCAGCTTCTTGACTGAGCTCCACCCCCTCCCGCAGGTTCCGCTGTTCTCTGTGCCGGCGCTCGTGGCCGTCGAAGCAAGTGCAGGTTCTCTTCCACTTCTCCCGTGAGTCGTCCCTCCGTCGCGGCACGGTGAGAGTGAGGCGCTTTAAGCAGAAGTGCCGGAGATGCTCGGCAGCGAGGATGGAGGAGCCCAGCTTCACTGTGGAGAACATCGACGTGATGGTGGAGAAGCTGATGGAGAAGATCAGGATCAGGTGCTACGGGGAGGAACCGCCAGAGTCCAACAGGAACTTACGTTTTGACGGCAGAATCGAAGGTCCGCATGAGAGACTGCACTGTGAGGCCTGTCTGAAGGGCATCTGCTCTCAGAGCCCAGCACAGTAATAACACAGTAATAAACACAATTGCATTACATATTCATTGTAGTGTTTGGAAGCATTAAGAATAATGTATATACTATAATGTTTCTACTGTATGGAGGATATTTAATGTATTCTGGAGTGGAAAAAATAAAACACTTCTGTCCTTGAATAATACTAATAATAATTGATTTGTTTATTAATGTGGTGTTCTTCAGGGTTCAGTTCTTGGACCCCTTCTTTTCCTAATCTACCTCTTACCCCTTTGCCAGATTAGACAGGCCTTAACTTTCACTGCTATGCAGATGATATTCAGTTATATCTCACCGCCCCACACCAGACTCCCCTCCCAAAGCACCAACCGACTGTAACCAACTTTCTCCTGTTAAACACTGATAAAACTGTAGTTTTACTGGTCGGCTCCAAATCTAAATCATCCAGTTTCTCTGTCAGTATTGATGTTGTGCTTGTTAAATCTGCACCTGCCATCAGAAATCTTGGTGTTTTACTTGAACCGTCACTTAATTTCGCACATTTTAAGTCCCTAACTGAGACGCCGTTCTTACGTTACACAGCTCGTCTTCATCTGTTCCTGACTAATAACGATGCTCAAGATTTGCCTTCACTGTGTCTCGTATTGATTACTGTAACTCTCTCTTCACTGGCCTCCCTGCAAAGTCTAAACAGAAGCTACTGTAAGTTCAGAACTTCGCAGAATCTGAATCGCTTTATTTCACTGAGTGTGTCACACATACGAGGAATCAGTCGTGCTGAGTCTCACATGTAGGACATCAACACACTGAACAGACCAGACAAACACAGACTGGTAACAAGCATTAAACTAAGAGACAAATCCAATAAATACAATAAAGAATAATGACTAATAATGACTAATGAAGAGATAAGTGAGTATCTGTGTGTAAGAAACAGCATCATTGAAACTGCACCATATAATTATCCTCAACCTTCAGTTGTACTGTGTTTTGTGTTTATAGAGGAACGCTAATTTACATCTGTTCACAGCAGGGTTTTAAAAGTTATTACATTTATTAAAGAAAAACAAATACAAATACAGATAAATACCAATGTGTCAATAAAAGGACATTCAGTGTGAGATCAGAATCAGGATTATGGAGTTTTTGGCCTCTGAGTTGCTGAGATTACTCAGAGTTTTGTTTCCTATTTGAAGGTTAACCTCTTTGATGTAAAATTTAAAGGTTCCTGGTTCATGATTTTAGGTGTCGTCTTATTCTCCGGTGCTTATGGGTGTTTCCAGCATCTTCGTACAGTGTGAGTTTATAAATCGTAGCTTTGTCTGAACACGATGGTCTATTCAAACGGACAGTGAGAGTCACCAAAGAACAAGATCTCTAACATCACACAGTGTCTTTCTGGCTTTAGAGGACATTCAGCTACAGCTCAACCTGCCAATCAAACGACTCCAACAAGACGGAAAACCGGAAGCGTGAGCTCCTCAGATGCGTCAGCCTTGGATGTGATTCCTGCTGTCGCTGCGCTGCTGCTGAAAGAGACAGATGAGGATCAAAACTATGAAACCTACTTTACTCACAGCTGTACAGAAGAGCTTTTCTGACGGGGAACTAAACCTCCACTGCAGCGCTGCTCGATCAGAGATCACTGATGTAGCAGAGCGAGATAACAACCTTCATTAACATCAGATAGATTTAATGATTTAACTATTAAGGTTCATTACACTCATTTACACTGACAGACACTTCATTCTGTGTAGGTATTCACTGTGGCATCATACGCACACACACACACACATATACACACACACACGCACACACACACACACACACAATCACACACACACACAATGCAAATAATCAGCAGATCGATATAATGTTTGATACAAATATTTGCATTTCACAATTTGCAACTCAAATGATTCTCTACAACACACACACACACACACACACACACACTCACACACACACACACACACACACACACACTCACACACACACACACACACACACACACTCACACACACACACACTCAAACACACAACACCTGCTAACAGCTCACACATACATTTTTCTCATTTTTCTCTCTGTGCTGTTTATTGTTGTATCATCAACATCTACAACACTGACATTAATGGTGTAAATCTGATCATTTATACAGTCGTTTATACAGTAATCTGATTATTGACACTGCATTCAGAAAGTCTTCAGGCCCTTTTACCTTTTACCTTTTTCACAGTTTGGTATGTTGAGGCCTTGAGCTAAAATAAGAAATCAAGTTTTCCCCATCAATCAGCACTCAATACTCCATAATGACAAAGTGAAAACAGAATTTTTACAAATTTATTAAAAAAGGAAAAACTAAAAATTGGACGTAAGTGTTCAGACCCTTTACTATGACACTTAAAATTTAGCTCTGGGGGTCTTCCATGTCTATCAAACATCTTTGAGATGTTTCTACACCCTGACTGGAGTCCACCTGTGGTAAATTCACTTGATTGGACATCATTTGGGAAACACACATCTGTCCATGAGAGGAAAGAATTGCCTGTAGAGCTCAGACACAGGACTGTGTGGAGGTCAGATCTGGATTTCTGCTGCACTGAAAGTTCTCAAGAGCACAGCGACCTCCATAATACTTAAATGGAAGACGTTTGGAACAACCAGGACTCTCCCTAGAGCTGGCCGCCCCACCAAACTAAGTAATCGGGGACTGAGCTCTAAAGATGCTGCGCGCAGATGGGAGAAACTTCCACACTGTAAAACCTGATGAGTTAAATCAACTCAAATGATTCAATATTCAATAACTAATTTACACTTAAGTAAACTGAGTAAATTGTACTAACTGCATTTGTTTTGTTGATATTAAAATGATTGAGTATTTGGGATTTATGTTTAAGCTTTACTAACTCAGTATAATTAAGTAATTGTAAATTAAATTCACTACTGGGCTAAACTAGACTATCATTTTAACAAATTCATGTTGTATTGCAGAGATATGATCATAGACGTTTGTAACAATGTCTTGTTCAACTTAATGTTACTTCAGACCACCTTGCCAAACGCTGACAGCTCAGTCCAGAGTGCCGATGTAGTTTCTGTAGCTTTTAACCACAACAGAACCACAATCAGCAGAGAGGAACTCAGTAACTCAGCGTCTTCAACACTCATTTTTGATCCACACTGATTGGCATGAATCACAAACGTTTATTAATCTAGTCGACACGAGGGAGAATGACAACACACAGATGGTGAAGAGACAAGGAATGATGTGAGTTTAACTAAGGTTTCATTGACCAAACATTTATGAAGTAAAGCTGAGAGTCGAAACTAAACTGCAATAAGTTCAACTCAAAGATCCGTTTGAGTCTGAAATCATCAAAATAAAGTTAGGAAAAAGCACGAAAGTCCAAATTATTTAAATGTAAACATTTATGCCGTCTGTCACATTAAGCCACACTAAATTATTAACAGACTTTAAAAACAACCCACTATTGCCCTGTTTGTATTTGCATGTAAAATCAAGTTAAATAACAATAGTGAATATAATACATTTAAATAAAGTTAGCTCAACTCAAAATATGATGAAAAAACAATCCTACTCAAAATGACTAGTTACTATCTCAACAATTCATTTTTGAGTTAATTTGAATTTTTCAGATTAAGTTACTCCAAATTTCTGCAGTATTTAAGGTGTGTAAACTTAATTCTTTCATTAAGATGTGCAGTGAGATTTACAGTGCAGAAGGTCAGCCATCACTGCAGCACTCCATCAATCTGGGCTTTATGGCAGAGTGACCAGACAGAAGCCTCTCCTCAGTAAAAGACACGTGAAAGCACCTAAAGGACTTTCAGACCATGAGAAACAAGATTCTCTGGTCTGATGAAACCAAGATTGAACTGTTTGGCCTCAGTTCTAAGCATTATGTCTGGAGGAAACCAGGCGCTGCTCATCACCTGCCCAATACCATCCCTACAATGAAGCATGGTGGTGGCAGCATCATGCTGCTCTGTAAAAGTGGCTAACCCTAACCCTAACTCTACTTCAAAAAATACTTCATATGGTAAGGGTCTGAATACTTGTGACAGTGCAATATTTTAGTGTTTCCTTTTCAATGAAGTTGCAAATATTTCCAAAATTCTGTGAGTGCGGAATGATGGGAAAAACACGAGGCTGCAACAAAACAACATGTAAACAGTGAAAGGTTCTGAAGACTCTCAGAACGCAATGTATAGCTCAATTATACAGTAATCTAATTATTTATAGTTCAATTATACAGTTAATCTGATCAGATAACCACCCACTGAAGGGTTCTTTTAGGGAACCAGGAATGGTTCTTCTATGATGTCACTCCAACAACCCTTTAGTGCCTCTATTTTGTTTGCCGCAGTGCAGAGACTGATTATAACAGAGAAGAAGATCTTGTTGTTCATTCAGAGAAGATTTACTGAGTTTACTGAGTTACTGAAGATGAAAATCAGCAGCTGACCACCAGCTCACTGACCACCAGCTCAGTGACCACCAGCCTACTGACCGCAGCATCTGCTCTGAGGAGACTCCACACACTGTCACACTTTGCATGTTTGTTGCTGTTTTGCACGTCTGTATGTTGTGATTTGCTGTTTCTCTCGTTCTGCTGTGATAAACACGCTCTCTGACTTTGTTTATGCAAATCAGCTGCGAATATTTAAACTCACTGACGTCCAGAAAAAAAGCCGCTCGTTTATTTGTTTGGGTTTATTCTTCTCTGAGAGCAGCGCCACTGGGAACATGTCTCAGGTAAAAAAAATGTTTGTATTTGTTGATTGTTTGTTTGTTTGTTTGTTGCTGACTGAACTCCATGTTTGTTTTTTTCTTAATGTATTGATAAACAGCAGCTGAAAATCTGCAGGTTGTTCCTGTGATCAGACTTCAGCGTTTGATTATTACACTGAGACTCTCATTAATCAGCTTATTATTAATTATTGGCTGAATATCGTTTAATTCTAAGCGCTGTTTGCAGGTTAAACACTCGGAGCTCAGCTTCATCATCATCATCATCATCTGCTTCATCCTGAACTGTAAGAACATTAAACACTGACTATTTACAGAAGTGTATCTTTTCATTAATCATTTATTAGAGTTTGAATTATTTCTAATGGAACAGTTTCATTTTTTAAAAAAACTAAAAAAAGTGATGGAATTACAGCCTTTAAAACAGCCCATAAATAAAAATCATATAATTGCATTCAGTAATATAAAATCAATCTTGTTTCATATAAAATTCTAATTATAATCTGGTCAATAAGTGTCTTTTAAAATTAATAACTATAAATAATACAAACAAATGACAAACAAACTGCTCTTCAGATGTTGCTGTATATTAATTCATAACAGTTTTAGACATAAATCTTTTTATGTTTTTATGTTTTTTTTTATTTTTATTTCTCTATTAAAGCTAATATTAATTATAATATAGCAAAATAGAAAAACAATCTTAAAGTTCTTTAAAGTGTTCAGGACTGAAACTGTAAATTTCCGTGTTGAGGTTTATAAATAAAGTGTTTCTCAGTGAACGTTAATTAAAGACTGATTATTCCTCCCCCGTGTCTCAGTGCTGCCCCCCCACCCTGTGGAGTCTGTGAACTGCTCAGAGCCGACCGCCCAGGCCTTGCTGACCGCTCTGAAGGACACTGTGCTCTACAGAACTGAAGTTCGGCCCGTGATCAGCCTGCAGACCCCCACAGTGATCACCCTCGACTTCTATATCTATGGCATTTTAGGAGTCGTCAGTAAAAAACTCTGTTATTACTGTATTATTACCTCATTATCATTTCATAATGACATAAACTCTGTTTCTCCTTCAGCATGAAAAAGGCCAAGTTCTGGAGATGTTCATTTGGCTCTACCTGGTGAGGATCTTCACAGCAGAGAGAATCAGTTACATTTCACACAGTCATTATTTATAATATCACATAAACACAATTAGTCTCTTCAGTAAGTCCACCACCTTCTTTCTACACTCATTGTCCACCTTATGAGCTTCACTGACCATATAGTTTCACTCTGTAGTTCTACAGTTACAGACTGTAGTCCATCTGCTTCTCTGCATACTTGGCTACACTGTTCTTCAGTGGTCAGGACCCCCATGGACCCCCACAGAGCAGGTATTTGGGTGGTGGATCATTCTCAGCACTGCTGTAACACTGACGTGGTGGTGGTGTGTTAGTGTGTGTTGTGCTGGTCTGAGTGGATCAGACACAGCAGTGCTGCTGGAGTTTTTAAACACCTCAGTGTCACTGCTGGACTGAGAATAGTCCACCAACCAAAAATATCCAGCCAACAGCGTCCTGTGGGCAGCGTCCTGTGACCACTGATGAAGGACTAGAGGATGACCAACACAGACTGTGCAGCAGCAGATGAGCTATCGTCTCTGACTTTACATCTACAAGGTGGACCGACAAGGTAGGAGTGTCTAATAGAGTGGACAGTGAGTGGACACAGTGGTTAAAAACTCCAGCAGCACTGCTGTGTCTGATCCACTCAGTCCAGCACAACACACACTAACACACCACCACCACGTCAGTGTTACTGCAGTGCTGAGAATGATCCACCACCCAAATAGTACCTGCTCTGTGAGGGTCCATGGGGGTCCTGACCACTGAAGAACAGGGTAAAAGGGGGCTAACAAAGTATCAGAGAAACAGATGGACTACAGTCTGTAACTGTAGAACTACAAAGTGAAACTATATGGTCAGTGGAGCTGATAAAATGGACAATGAGTGTAGAAACAAGGAGGTGGACTTAATGAAGTGACTGGTCAGTGTATAACATTCAGATAAAAACTGTTTATATAACTGGTGTGAATATAATTGTGAGTCTCTCTGAAGGTGTGTGTGTGTGTGTGAGGGGGTTGTATGAGTGTTATAATGTGTTGTGTGTGCAGTCCTGGAATGTGGAGGGTCTGAGTTGGGACCCCTCTGAGTGCGGAACCGAGCGGATCTCACTGCCCAGAACTTCAGTGTGGATCCCTGACATCGTCATTAATGAGTTGTGAGTTAAAGCGTCTGTAACGTCACAGATTTAGGTTCTTATTTAAACCTACCGATAACTGACCACCACCAATCTGCAATTAATCGTTTACCCACAAAATATCAATAATAAAGCTGATCGCTGTGGACTGACAGGTGGAACCAGACGTCAACATGTAAATAAATAAACGCCCAAAACCAAATTAAACAAACCTCACACAAGAACCGGGTTCTCTTCAAACTGAAAAGCTCTAATATATTCATGACTACAGCCATGTGCAAAAGTTTGAGCGCCCATGTAATTATTGATGTTCTGAGTGCAAATAAGTTACACGTCCTCTACAGACTCACTACTGCGCACTAATACACATTGTTTATTTACTGAATTTAACACACTGGAAAACAAAATAATAAAAATAAAGCATAAAATGTGGCCTGTGCAAAAGTTATGGTACATTTTCTGTTTTATATTTTTTTCAGATGTGAAACTCAGCAAATAACTGTGGAGGACGTGTCAATAATCTGTGGAGGACGTGTCAATTTAATGTCAATTAGAAAATTAATAAAACATATATTTTGACTGGGACTGTTCAAACTTTTACCCATGACTGTAAACGACAAACAAAATGATACATTTTTATTTTTGGCCATGAGATTTATTGGCTTTACGGCCCGAGTGGCCGGTGCAAAATTTTATACGTTATTAAATTATGGCTCATTTTATATTTTATACTTTTTTTAGTGCTCTTTTCTAAATCAGGAAATACATAGAAATTGCATACTTAACACTTCAAGCTGCCACCAATATGAAAAGTGCTCTATAAATAAATAAATAAATAAATAAAACAAATTTGCAGAAAAGTCTGATATTGCAGTGTGTTCGTAGAGGGCGTGGTCACTTACTTACACTTATGAAATCGACAAAACATAATTTGATTGGGGCTCACGACTGTATTTGAGCTAAAACTAAAACGTTGATGAAATGACTGGAATATGAAATGGTGTTCTACCAAAGGTTCTAATTATCACTCGTTACTAAGTTAAAACATAAACACCATGAGCGGTTCTAGATTTAGCTCAGGGTCCACCACGTCCTTTTCTATAATTGTGTGATTTCCTCGCATCAAGGTTCTCCACACGTTCTCTTGGAGAACATGGACCAAACAGCCACAGAATCTCCTACAGCACCCTCATGTGTCCAGTTCAAAAACGTTCCACAACTTGAATAATAAACCATTTCAAACGATCTGTTCTTCACTGAAACTGATATCAAATTAAATTAACCCTTAAACTGATAATGTTGGTCGAATAATTACTTATTTATTGGTTAATCTGTACATTTACAAACCTAATATATGCGTATATTACAGTATGACCTGTTTATTAATCTGTAATAACTGTCTGTACCCCACTGTTCTGATTCTGCAGTATGGATGAAAACAAAGTTCCAGCGACGTTTTACGTCTACGTGAACCACACAGGCCATGTGACGGACGCTCTGCCCTTCCATGTGATCAGCTCGTGTAATCTGGACATCTACACGTTTCCCTTCGACATCCAGAACTGCTCCTACACCTTCAACTCCTACCTGCACACCAGTGAGCTCAAACACAGGGGAAAATCTCAGAACATCCAGCATCTCTCAGCACACAAACTATGTGGCTAAACTGGCTTCTCTTTAGAACTTCCCATTCCACCTTAAACAGCAGAACCAGAATGTAACAGCTGCCCTGTTTAAGGTGGAGTGGAAAATAAGAATCTGGGCATCTGTTTATTAAACTCTATATTTCTATTTTTGGTCTAAAATAAAACGCTGAAGCTCCAAAGTGAGGGGAGTGACGAGAACAGCAGCTGAACCAGCTCAGCAGAACCAAACTGAACCCAGAACAGAGAAATAGATGTTGTTACAAATGTTGTTAAATTACAGTGGTGGTGATAGGAACCAGATGTCCACCTCTAAAAGCTCCCTCACAGAAAGTTCCTACATGAAATGGTTATGAATTCACTGCCTGATGACTGAGACACTGTTTTATGAGAGTTTAGAGAACTTAAACTCCATTCATGGTGGAGGGATACATGCAGGGCGCTGTGAGGCAAAATAGTCCCCAAAGAAAACTTATTATTTCAGATTTTCCACTATTTTCCATCATCAACATTCCATATAAACTCAGAAGACTCGTGTAGGTTCACTGGTGGTTCTGGATAGTAAATAAAATGTCTATATCTGTGTTGTAGTCATGGCGACCCCTGGTTCCTATCACCACCACTGTAAAGACATCTGAGCCATTTCACACCAAACCACTCTGAATCCTTCTGTTTACATCTCACACACTGAATTATGGAGAAATTCCCCTTTAAGGATTGAGGTGAAACGAGGAAACAGTAGATCACTAATCCATCAGCACTGTACTGAAGTAAAGGAAGTGAGGAAGAGTAACTGCTCCTCTGATGTTTTGTTTGAACAGTGTCTGATGTCCAGTTATCTTTCGCTGATGCTGCGCTGAACGTATTTGAGAATTCTCTGGAAACCCTAGGAACGAACGGAGAGTGGGAGCTGATTGGAATCATTCCTGAAAAGTTGGAAGTGGATGTAAACCTCAGCCTTCAGGATCAGTGGGACGGCCTCGTCTTCCATGTTAGTGCACTTTAAAAACGGATGATATTCATAAATATTTAGAGGAGTATTAAACAATGTAGGTTGCAGAATATAGAAAAGGTTGTCGACTAACTGACCGCAGTTATTGAGTAATCAGCGTCAGTGACTGGTCCTTGTCTGTTGGTCAGATAGTTCTGAGGCGGAAGGCGGCCGTGTATGTGGTGAACCTGCTGCTGCCCAGCTGCTTCCTCGTCGCTCTGGACGTCTTCAGCTTCCTGCTGCCCCTTCAGCACGTGGACCGCTCGACCTTCAAGATGACCCTCATCCTGGGCTACACCGTCTTCCTGCTGCTGATGAACGACCTGCTGCCCGTCACAGGAAACAACATCCCGCTCATCAGTACGGCACAAATACCCATCATGCATTTCTGTAGGGGTGCAAAGATGCTGTATTTACTGATCTGATCAGGAAGTGACAGTTTAACTGCACTGATTTTGGAATGTCAGTCAGACAGTTAGCAGTTCCTGCACTTCGGTTCCGCTCATGCTGCATTTAAGGTCACTTTACAGAATTATCAACATTACTGTGTGTTTGTTTGTTTACTGTGTGTTTGTTTACTGTGTGTTTGTTTACTGTGTGTTTGTTTGTTTACTGTGTTTGTTTACTGTGTGTTTGTTCACTGTGTGTTTGTTTGTTTACTGTGTGTTTGTTTGTTTACTGTGTTTGTTTACTGTGTGTTTGTTTGTTTACTGTGTTTGTTTACTGTGTGTTTGTTTGTTCACTGTGTTTGTTTGTTTACTGTGTTTGTTCACTGTGTTTGTTCACTGTGTGTTTGTTTGTTTACTGTTTGTTCACTGTGTTTGTTTTTTTACTGTGTTTGTTTGTTCACTGTGTGTTTGTTCACTGTGTGCTTGTGTGTTTGTTTACTGTGTGTTTGTTTGTTCACTGTGTTTGTTTACTGTGTTTGTTTGTTCACTGTGTGTTTGTTTACTGTGTTCACTGTGTGTTTGTTCACTGTGTGTTTGTTTGTTTACTGTTTGTTTGTTTACTGTGTGTTTGTTTGTTCACTGTGTGTTTGTTTGTTTACTGTGTTTGTTCACTGTGTGTTTGTTCACTGTGTGCTTGTTTGTTTGTTTTCTGTGTGTTTGTTTGTTCACTGTGTTTGTTTACTGTGCGTTTGTTTGTTCACTGTTTGTTTACTGTGTTTGTTTATTTGTTTACTTTGTGTTTGTTTGTTCACTATGTGTTTGTTTGTTCACTGTGTGTTTGTTTGCGTGCAGATGTGTTTTTCTCGGTGTGTTTGGCGCTGATGGTGGGGAGTCTATTAGAGACGATATTAGTGACTAACCTGCTGTCCAGTTCTGCTGGTTACCCGCGGTTACCGCTCTGGCTCAAAGTTCTGCTGCAGTGCGGCGCTCGGCTCGTCTGCCTGAATAAAAACTCCAAACCTGACGGTAAAAACAGTGACACAGTTAACGGGTCAATACAAACTTAACTTCAGTTATAGTTTTAAATTTTCTCCCATCGAACTCTGCATCTTAAATACTCAGTAATAGTTAATAAGACAGTTTATCTGCTTACAGAATAACATCATTCTGACATTATTGATTAATCATCCAGTTACAGTGTAATATTATTATCGTTAGTGCTGTTTTTTATACTCAGTTAATGTTTCAGTTCAGTTTTTAAACAGTTAAACTCAATATTTAAAATGACGTTAAACCTGATGGGAACAACTAATAAATTCATTACTATAAAACCATTCGCAACACAGAATTATGAATTACATGTGTTGAATGATACTAGAGCATAAGCTTTTACACATTACTGCATTATCGTCAATTTTCAGAAACACAGTTATCCTCTAATGTTGTTTAAATTGCTGGAACTTGTGGGGCTTTAATAAATCATCTGATTTCACTCCAACAGAAAACAGCCGAGAACTCTCAACACAGTCTGACAGAACAGAAGACACGGGTGACACGGGAGACACGGGAGACATTGGAGACACAGGAGACACTGGAGACACGGGAGACACAGCTCTGGAGAGAGAGAGAAGAAAGAGAGAGAGGGCCGATCCAGAGCTGCTGCAGGAACTGAGGAACGTGAGCAGAGATTTGTTCTCCATCCGGCTGAAGGTGGAGGATCACCTGAAGACGGATGAGCGAACAGAGGAGTGGATTCATCTGGGCCTGGTCATCGACCGGATGCTCTTCATCCTCTACTTCATCTTCATCACCATCAGCTTCATCATCATCCTCATCCTGTGGCTGAGCTGGTACAGAAAACACAGCCAAACATAGAATTTACAGTCTTCATACTGCAGTACGAGCTGTTCCCATGGTTACACCAAACTCATTTCCATAGTTACGCTACACCCATTTACATAGTTACACTACACCCCTTTCCATACTTACACTACACCCCTTTCCATGGTTATACTACACCCCTTTCCATAGTTACACTACACCCCTTTCTATGGTTACACTACACCCCTTTCCATGGTTACACTACACCCCTTTCCATAGTTACACTACACCCCTTTCTATGGTTACACTACACCCCTTTCCATGGTTACACTACACCCCTTTCCATAGTTACACTACACCCCTTTCCATACTTACACTACACCCCTTTCTATGGTTACACTACACCCCTTTCCATAGTTACACTACACCCCTTTCTATGGTTACACTACACCCCTTTCCATAGTTACACTACACCCCTTTCCATAGTTACACTACACCCCTTTCTATAGTTACACTACACCCCTTTCCATGGTTACGCTACACCCATTTACATAGTTACACTACACCCCTTTCCATACTTACACTACACCCCTTTCTATGGTTACACTACACCCCTTTCCATAGTTACACTACACCCCTTTCCATAGTTACACTACACCCCTTTCCATGGTTACACTACACCCCTTTCCATGGTTACACTACACCCCTTTCTATGGTTACACTACACCCCTTTCCATAGTTACACTACACCCCTTTCCATGGTTACACTACACCCCTTTCCATAGTTACACTACACCCCTTTCTATGGTTACACTACACCCCTTTCCATGGTTACACTACACCCCTTTCCATAGTTACACTACACCCCTTTCCATGGTTACACTACACCCCTTTCTATGGTTACACTACACCCCTTTCTATGGTTACACTACACCCCTTTCCATGGTTACACTACACCCCTTTCTATGGTTACACTACACCCCTTTCCATGGTTACACTACACCCCTTTCCATAGTTACACTACACCCCTTTCCATGGTTACACTACACCCATTTCCATGGTTACACTACACCCCTTTCTATGGTTACACTACACCCCTTTCTATGTTTACACTACACCCCTTTCTATGGTTACACTACACTCATTTCCATTGTTACACTACACCCCTTTCCATAGTTACACTACACCCCTTTCCATAGTTACACTACACCCCTTTCCATGGTTACACTACACCCCTTTCCATGGTTACACTACACCCCTTTCCATAGTTACACTACGCCCCTTTCCATGGTTACATTACACTCATTTCCATGGTTACACTACACTCATTTCCATGGTTACACTACACTCCTTTCCATGGTTACACTACACCCCTTTCCATAGTTACACTATACCCCTTTCCATGGTTACACTACACTCATTTCCATGGTTACACTACACCCCTTTCCATGGTTACACTACACCCCTTTCCATGATTACACTACACCCCTTTCTATAGTTACACTACACTCATTTCCATGGTTTCTCTACTTTTATTTATCTGTTTATGCTGTTTGCTGTAAGGTTCTTTATTTATGCTCTACTGACTGACTAATAAAGAACAATGCTGATCATTTATGCTGAGAAACATCTGTTCTCTTGTGTTTCCTTTGTTGGGTTTCAGTTGGGGGGCTTTACTGGAAGAAACTGGGATCAAAGTAATCACTTCAACTAATTGGAACCAATCAGAATCAAACAGAACCACACAGAACCAATCAACACCAAACAGAATTAGGGTATACTTTCCGTCACTGACTCTTCACCACAGCACCCCCACCCTCCCCCCACACACAGCGAGTGTGCTAGAGTTTTAAAACCACCAATAACTATGTTAAAATCACAAACTCACAACTTTAATAATGAAACAAAAACATCAGCTTCAGTTTTACACAAATAACTCTGAGCTCTGAAAAGCGTCTCCTTTATAAAACTGTTTATAACAGTGCTGTAAAACTGATATAACAACAATAATCTGCGTTATTTACAGTTTAATCAAATATGAATGCTAAGGCAGTTTCTGAGTTTAGTGATGGATATTTGGTTGGATGTTTTAATATATTAATTTCTTTTAAATAATAAATTAAAATGACCCGAGAGTCAATTTATTGAAAAAGTGAAGTAGAGAAATGATCTTTAGGACTCGTTATGAGTTCATGCGAAACTCTAAAAATAAACATATATATTCTCTAAAGGACAGGAAGTGATGCGTGAGGATCAGCTGATCAGACTGTGGCTCGTTTCTCATTAATTAATTAAAGGTGTTAAAGTTCTCTGTTCGGGGAAAAACAGCCGAATCGACACTGAGACACAAACAGAGCGGCTGACTGATCATCACAGGTGCTAAAAAACAGCTTTAAAAGATGAAGATCCTGAGAGACGCTCACTGTGCTCCTCAGCGGCTGAGCCAGATCAACCGCAGGGCATTATGGGGCGACTCCAGGCTCTCCTTCTACCTGCAGGGTTGATTCTCCTCACAGGTAAACAGACAGTAATAAATATCTCAGTATTACAGTTACAGTTATATTCATGTTTAATCTTTTAGCTGAACAGCACAAGAATCTTATTATTCCAGGTTAATTATTTGTCTCTTTATTAACTCCTCCTGACTAAATGACCTTTAATTCATTCTAATTAAAGCTGTTCTGATTTCTTCATTTTCATCTGTTCACTTCGTTACAGAGATGTTTGTGTTCCTGTAAGAGTTTCTACAGCAGATTTAACTCACTGTCATATAAAGATGTAACTCATAACTTTATTATATAAATATGAATGTGGTAAAGTGTAGCTGCTGTTATATCACTGTTCTGTAATCAGATTTAGAATTAATTATTTGTGTATTTTAATGATGATGTTATAAAAGTATGAGATTAACACCAACAGAATGAAGAAAGTATAAACACTAATTCATCAATAACAATCAGAAAACTCATTTAGATCATCATATCATTACATATATATATATATATATATATATATATATATATATATATATATATATATATATAAACATTGTTTAGATGTATGGAAAACATTGACTTTTGCAAAGAAACAGTTGTTATTTTTTGTGATTTTACTCATGAATAACTTATATAGTACATTAAATGATACATAATATAGTACAAATAGCCTTTAACTATAAATTGTTCATGTGCAAAAACAATAATATTGTAATTATTATTCAGCACTGTTCAATCAGCCATTCTGAATCTCAGTTTTATTATAATCTCATTCTGGATGATCATTTTAATCTCACGTCATTGGTGATGCTTTACAGCTTTACTGATAATTTATCTGATATGATGAATATGATAATAATCTACAGCTCTGTTATTATTCTGGACCTAAAATTTCCTGAAGTATTTTTTAAATCCTGCTAATTATTTGTTGAGCACTAATGAATTGTACAGTATTAGCATCATATTCACATCAACTACACACCTGCAAAACATGACGAGCCCTTTCAGAAGAAGCGAGTAACGCTGATCATCTCGTAACAGCAGTGCAGCTGAAGGTCTGGAGATACTAGATGGTGAGTGAACGGTCGGTTCTCGTAGTCACCATGTTGGATGTGTTAAGACAAGCAACTCCGAAACAGCGAGGCTTTTGTGCCTCCCGGTCAGCAGTGGTGAGTACCTACTGACAGTGGACCGAGGAGGACAAACCACAAACTAGCAACAGAGTGTTGGGCGCCTGAGGCTCATTGATGCATGAGGTAAACCAAGGCAATCCCACCTGGCCAGAACCGACGGAAGAGCTACAAAGGTAAAGTAATGTTTACTGATGGTTACAGTAGGAACCGCACACAGTGCATCTCATCCTGCTGCGTATGGAGCTGCGGAGCTGCAGAACGGTCAGAGCACCCACGCTGACCCGTCCACCTTCGAAAGCACCTACAGTGGACACTTAAGCGTCAGAGCTGGACCTAGGAGCGATGGAAGAAGGTCGCCTGGTCCAGTGAGTCCCGTTTTGTTTTACATCACGTTGATGGCCAGGTATGTGTGAGCGTTCACCTGGAGAAGTGATGGACCAGAATGCACTGTGGGAAGAAGACGAGCCGGTGGAGGGAGTGTGATGCTCTGGGAGACGTTCTGCTCTGGACAGCAGTTTGACAAAAAGTTACTTAAAGGTTCCTTTAAATTTACCTGATTCAAACGTGAACATTGGCTCCATATGAATGAAATATGGTACAACAACATGGTTACTCCTTTTTTTAAATCATTTTTTTCTAAATTTTTAAATCATTTAAATTCAACAATTCTTTCTTTCTTTCTTGTAAACATGGTTGATGACCAGGTACACCTTCCATGGTGATGGTGTTGCCCCCCCTGGGGGTAGTGGCCTCTTTCAGCAGCATAATGACCTGCACACATTGTTCAGGCAGGCCTAGGACCAGAACGAAGAGCTCAAGGTGTTGCCGTGGCCTCCAAATTCCCCACATCTCAGTCCGATCGAGCATCTGTGGGATGTGCTGGAGCAACAGGTCCTGTTCACAGCAGCTTCACCTCACAACTTACAGGACTTAAAGGATCTGCTAACGTTCCGGTGCCAGACACCACAGCACACCGTCAGAGGTCCTGTAGAGTCCATGTCCAGCAGGTCGAGGACCAACAGCTTATTAGGCAGGAAGTCACAATGTTTCAGCACATACATACAATATACGTCTGTGTGTGTGTGTGTGTGTGTGTGTGTGTGTGTGTGTGTGTGTGTGTTCCTCAGCCTCTGTGAGTGTGTGTGAGCTGAGGTGTCGGCCGGGTGACAGCGGACCCTCGTTCGACTCTCTGCAGGAAGTGTTTGAAAGGAAACCGTTCAGACCAGCCGTTAACCTGAGCAACCCCACTATCACCAACATCTCCTTCACTCTCTACGCCGTGCTGGGGGTGGTGAGTTGGGGGTGGGTAATAGGGGGGCTGGGGGTGGGTGATTAGTGGTGGGTGATGAGGGTGATGGGTGGGTGGTGGTATTTCGGGGGGTCTACCTAGCTCCATTAACTCAGTTCCATGGATTTCAGTACTCGTTGATGGATTTATACTTTTCAAATGCCAATATTTTCACTTCTAGTGAAGCACATCAGCGATTCATCTGCTTTTATCTCCATTTCCCATTTTAGCCATTAACATTTAGCTTGTAATTATCTGTTTTGGGTTTAATCTCATTTTGCTGTGTTGGTTCAGCTCCTGTTCTGCTTTACTGCTGGTCACTCCTCTCACTGTGGAGCCCACTCTACATACAGTGGTTTAGCCACGCCCACTTAACCTACAGCAGTTTTGACGCGCTCACAGTTTAGCTATGCCTACACTGCGTTTTGAATACGGCACAATGCAGGACAATTAATCAGAGCTCATATGCATATATCAGTCTTAAAGGCACAGTAACAAAAACAGCCTGTTTAATTCCAAAAGATAAAGAGAGGCTGGAAAATTATAATGTAGAATTATTGGTTGGTACATAAAACTAAACAAAGAAAAATAAAATTGAAATGAAATGAAATTACAAGAAAAAATAAACAGGAAAACTGCAGCGTAGGAACTGCAGTCAGTAACTGGAATCTCATTCCAATTTTCAGTTTTATTTTAACTGTTAATCTTAGCTGTTACTTTAGGAACATTAGGAAAATGTAAATAAGCAGCCTGAATGTTCTAAGAGGTTCCACTGCAGTTCTACTAGGGAACTCAGTGGTCGCTTTTTTTCAGTGTTGTTGTTTGGTACTTCTACTGCAGCCAGTATTTCACTATCAATAAAGTACAGATTTAGCTTTTTATACTCTCTCCTGCAGAACGAGAAGACGCAGATCCTCACCACGTTCCTCTGGCTGCGGCTGGTAAGAGTCTGAGTGACGTTCAAACCCTGAATTAACAGTCAAACTGGGTACAGCGACGGTTAGCTTAGCCTAACTCCACAAACAGCGACGGTTAGCTTAGCCTTCCTTCACAAACAGAGACGGTTAGCTTAGCCTTCCTCCACAAACAGTGATGGTTAGCTTAGCCTTCCTCCACAAACAGCGACGGTTAGCTTAGCTTAACTCCACAAACAGTGACGGTTAGCTTAGCCTGACTTCACAAACAGTGACGGTTAGCTTAGCCTGACTTCACAAACAGTGACGGTTAGCTTAGCCTAACTCCACAAACAGCGACGGTTAGCTTAGCTTAACTCCACAAACAGCGACGGTTAGCTTAGCCTGACTTCACAAACAGTGACGGTTAGCTTAGCCTAACTCCACAAACAGTGATGGTTAGCTTAGCCTTCCTCCACAAACAGCGACGGTTAGCTTAGCTTAACTCCACAAACAGTGATGGTTAGCTTAGCCTGACTTCACAAACAGTGACGGTTAGCTTAGCCTTCCTCCACAAACAGCGACGGTTAGCTTAGCTTAACTCCACAAACAGTGATGGTTAGCTTAGCCTGACTTCACAAACAGTGACGGTTAGCTTAGCCTGACTTCACAAACAGTGACGGTTAGCTTAGCCTAACTCCACAAACAGCGACGGTTAGCTTAGCCTGACTTCACAAACAGTGACGGTTAGCTTAGCCTAACTCCACAAACAGTGATGGTTAGCTTAGCCTGACTTCACAAACAGTGACGGTTAGCTTAGCCTTCCTCCACAAACAGCGACGGTTAGCTTAGCCTAACTCCACAAACAGCGACGGTTAGCTTAGCCTTCCTCCACAAACAGAGACGGTTAGCTTAGCCTAACTCCACAAACAGTGATGGTTAGCTTAGCCTTCCTCCACAAACAGTGACGGTTAGCTTAGCCTTCCTCCACAAACAGCGACGGTTAGCTTAGCCTAACTCCACAAACAGTGATGGTTAGCTTAGCCTTCCTCCACAAACAGCGACGGTTAGCTTAGCCTAACTCCACAAACAGTGATGGTTAGCTTAGCCTTCCTCCACAAACAGCGACGGTTAGCTTAGCCTAACTCCACAAACAGTGACGGTTAGCTTAGCCTGACTTCACAAACAGTGACGGTTAGCTTAGCCTGACCTTACAAACAGTGACGGTTAGCTTAGCCTAACTCCACAAACAGCGACGGTTAGCTTAGCCTGACTTCACAAACAGTGACGGTTAGCTTAGCCTAACTCCACAAACAGTGACGGTTAGCTTAGCCTAACTCCACAAACAGCGACGGTTAGCTTAGCCTGACTTCACAAACAGTGACGGTTAGCTTAGCCTGACTTCACAAACAGTGACGGTTAGCTTAGCCTTCCTCCACAAACAGTGACGGTTAGCTTAGCCTAACTCCACAAACAGCGACGGTTAGCTTAGCCTTCCTTCACAAACAGTGACGGTTAGCTTAGCCTGACTTCACAAACAGTGACGGTTAGCTTAGCCTTCCTCCACAAACAGTGACGGTTAGCTTAGCCTAACACCACAAACAGCGCCAAATTCACTAGAAAACAAAGAAACTAAAAACAGTGAATGTGGTTTCGGAATAACATGAAGTGCTACACGAGGAACAGACACAAAACATGGAAAATACAGAAAAGTGAGACACAGATGCTGATAATGATGAACAAGGTTCTAGGTGTTCCTCTACAGACAGCGTCAGGGTGATTGAGCTGTAGTTGATCCCAGTGTGTTCCTGACTGTCTGTGTGTTTTTCTGCAGTACTGGTTCCACGAGTTTCTGATCTGGGATCCTGACGTCTGTGACGGAATCACTAAAATCTCCCTCCCCGTCAACAACCTGTGGATGCCGGACATTATCGTTTATGAGTTGTTAGTGTACTCTCATATGGAAGTTGGACCCCTTTGTCAGATTTAGTAATTTTCTTTTTTTGTTTTTAATATTTTATTTGAAGTTTGGACTCACAGACTTTAGACTGCAGAGATAAATACAGACATTGTTGCAAAGGAGGAATATAAATAACAGAAAAAATGAAAATACAGATTAGACAGAAATAATGATGCTGAAATATCCCTCTGTCTGTCTGCCTGTGTGTTTCAGTGTTGATGATGACGTGTCCCAAGCGTGTCCGTATGTATACGTTAATCATACGGGTCATATCCGTTATGACCGGATGCTGAGACTGGTCAGCGCATGTAACCTGGAGATCTTCAGCTTCCCGTTCGACATCCAGAACTGCACCTTCACCTTCGGCTCCTACATGCACACCAGTAAAGCACTCCGCAACAAACACTCTGCAACAAGGTTAAAGGCCCAAAACACAGAAAGCTGAATTTCTTTAGTGAAAGAGTTCGTTGTTGTGTATAAACGCTGATAAAGGTTCAGCCGACTCACACTGAAATTATAAGGAGTGTTTCAGCCTGAACTGCTTTTTGAATGAGGCGTAACACAGGACAGCCAATCAGAACAGAGCTCATTTACATATATCAGTCTTAAAGGCACAGTAACAGAAACAGCCAGTTTAACAGTAAGGGATAAAGAGAGGCTGAAAAATGATCATTATTAAAACTGTTTTGGGGAATAAAACCACACAAAGGTGATTATTTAGAGAACAAATACAACACAACAAGAAATTCTTTAAAACTGTTACAAATGGATAAACAGCACCTTGGAATCAAAATCTTCATATACATATATTTTTATGGCATTTAACAGACACACTTAATCTGAGTGATCTACAGTCTGATCACATTACAGTGGTCAGTGGATATGTATATATATATATATATATATATATATATATATGTAAATATTAGTGTTTCTAACGGCCAGAGTGTGTGTGTGTGTGTGTGTGTGCAGTAAAGCATGTGCGGGTGAAGACAGCGCTGCCCTTTGATGAGATATCCGGGAACTCTAAGCGGTACCTGGAGGCGAGCGGAGAGTGGGAGCTGGTGGAGATTTTGGGAGAAGAAGGAATTCTGAAGTTTGGAATAGACGAGTGGGACATCATCACGTTTTGGGTGAGAATGACCACGAGTGCGTTTATCAAAAGTGTTTTTTGGCATTATTGTTGACTAAAATATGAAATGAATGTGGTTTATATTGAACCTGGTTCCTGATGGAGCTGCGTTACCATGTCTGTCCACTAGGTGGTGATAAAGAGGCGTCCGATTCTGTACGTGGTGAACCTCCTCATCCCGAGCTCGTTCCTCATGATCATCGACATCCTGTCCTTCTACCTGCCGCCGCACAGCGTGGACCGCGCCTCCTTCAAAATGACCCTCATCCTGGGCTACACCGTGTTTCTGCTCATCATGAACGACCTGCTGCCCAGCACAGCCAACGGAACGCCGATCATAGGTCAGATACCTCAGAAAGGCCTACAGAAGAACCGAAAGAACGTTTAAGCACCATGAGTTGGTTCTTTCAAAGACATAAAAGTAATGTAACTGCATACCTTGTCAGTTAGCATAGTGCTCACTGTTACCGATGAGGACATTTTTATCTATAAAAATGGACAAAAGTAAATCAGCGGAGCCGCATCTTAGAACCTGAATATCCGTACTTTAGTCCACGTTTACAGAGCACAGTGAGTCATACAGTGTCAGAAACAACATGATCAAGACTATTAGAGAGTTAGGACTGTGCTAATTGGTGGGGTGTGAACTTGTTAGCTACAGTACTGTTCAAAAGTTAGAGACCCTTAATGCGTTTAATTTCCAGTCAAAACAGCCTTTAAGTACAAATCACCATTTTACCTTTATTCCAGCTTCCATTCTCTTCAGGAGCCTCACTTTCAGTTCCTCAAAGAATCTGCAGACACACCTCCAAAGTTCAGTCTTAGAAGCTGGTTGATGATTTTCTGAAGTAATCAAACACGTTCAGTGGTGTTGAGGTCTGGACTCTGGGGTGGTCAGTCCATTGTTCAGCTTCTTTGTTCAATGTGTCCGTCTCCTTTTCTCAGTGAGGTTCTTCTTGACAGCTACACATCCTTTCAGACCCACAGCGCTGAGTCGTCTTCTCACAGTGGAAGGATGGACAGAAACACCTGTGGATGTTTTCAGATCTGAAGCAGCTTGATTTTCTCCTCTCTCTCAGAGATGAAAGCTTTAAGTGCTGTTAATCTGGTGGGGGCAGTTTTGGGGTCGACCAGCTCTTCCAGGTAGTTGTTAGGAGGAAGGTTTTGTCTGTAGTTTTTAATCAGTTTTTTAAACTCCAGTTTTGGAAACTCTTATTTTTTTCCATGCATTTTCCTTCAACTTTCTCCTTATTTATGTAAGTGGAATATTTTATATCTAATCTCCTCAGAAATATTAGTAATTTGTACTAAACGGCTTCTTGCACAGCACTGTACGTTAGCCTCATAGCACCAGCGCTAAAACTAAAGGAGCAAACTTTAGACACTAAAACACGTCTGGGCTGATCCACATCTGGAGCGGTCAGGTGGATATTTTTGTGTTCTGCTTTCACTTTAATCCTGTCTGACGTGTTTGTGTTTGTTCAGGTATTTATTTCTCGGTGTGTTTGGCTCTGATGGTGATCAGTCTGCTGGAGACGGTCATCATCACCAACGTTCTCCACCACAACTCCATGAAGTACAGAGAGGTTCCACGCTGGGTGCAGGTTGTGGTTCTGCGGTACATCGCTGGCCTCATCTGCTACAGACGGCCCGAAGAACCGCCCAAAACAGAGCTGACCAAAACGGACAGCGGCGACCCCTGGACCGTCCACACTTCACACACAGCGTCCAGCCTGAGCGCAAACAGCAGTGAGACACACACACACACACACACACACACTATATACAGGGTACACATGATATACACATACACACAATAAACACACATACACACACATACATACACACAATAAACACATACACAAACAAAATATACATACCTACACACACACACACACTATATACTATACAAATTATACATACACACGTTGTACACATACAAACACACTCATACACATGAAATACACACACACAGAATATACCCACTAAACATACACACACGACACACACCGTATACACAAACACACACGTTACACACAGTCACTATACACACACACACACACACTGCTGAAAGTGAGGTTCACATGAATGAGCGTTCTCGTCGCGTGCTGAGTGTTTATTCTGGTTCTGTTGTGGTTCTGTGTCTCAGTGTGCGTGTCGGGTGGCGTGGCGGTTCCGGAGCTGGTGGAGATCTGTGCGGATCTGCGGGCGATGAGGTCACACCTTAACGTCCTGCAGCGCGAGGAGAAGCTCCAGGATCAGTGGTGTCACGTGGGCTACATCCTGGACTTCCTGCTGTTCAGAATCTACCTGATCATCATCACCTGCTACGCCCTCGTCATCATCAGCATGTGGTGCATCTGGATGTATCACTGATTTACACTCAGATTAAAGTTCCTGCAGATCCTCAACAGATTCGCGTTCTCTAAACTGTAGATATAGTTTAATATTTATATCACTGCACTGTAGCTTTTTATTATTATTAAGACATTTGGAGCACTTTTCAGAAAACTGACCATGAACATCTGTAAATTTTAAAAGAAAAAAAAATGAAAAATAACTTTCACAAGTTTTAATTTCACACTGTAAGACAAATAAACAGGCTGAACAGTCGTTAATAGTAAATTTATATTGTATAACAATGTACATTACTAGAATCATTTACTTCTTCTCAGTAGTGCATGTCAGTCTCATCAAGAGCCTCCGCAGAAAAAAGGCATTTCAGGCAAAATAAACTCATTTTAGAAATTATTAGTGAACAGAAATCAGACTGTTGAACACAGTTCAGATGCCTCGCACTTTAACTTTAACTTCATCTTTTTAACTTTAACTCAGTTACAAAATGACTCTTATTGCAGAAAACAGCACAAACAGCAGGTCATTTTAAATAAACTTTCATACCAGAAAACAAGTCTGTTTCATTTACACCTCAGTTTCTCTCTAATCCGTGAGGCTGATGTTGCTCAGAAAGGAGTCAGTTATCAAAACACACACCCAACAAACCCATTAATGACAAATACAGCAAATAAACTGAATTACAGAATATTTATGCAAGTATTTCATACCTATGGAATGACATTTAGAGGTTCAGTCTGAAGCTGCTGCAGCTAATCAATACTTAGAGGAATCTGCAGCTTATAATCGCTTATAATGAGATCTGATATAAACCTACAGAAGTGTGAATAAACCTGCACTGATTAACCAACCAAACACGGTGATGATCTGATTTTCAGTGAAGGACTGGACGTTGATCCTGTGCAGTGATGCTAGGATTAAGATTAATAATAAAGACAAACAGCTGAAGCAGATGTGGAGTTAAACTAGAGAGAGATGACAGAGACTCTTCTGAAGAACAGGCTTCAGTGGGATTTTGTACTAAACTCTTAAAAATAAAGGTGCCAAAAATTGGTCCACTGGAGCGACATCAGGGGGGGACTATTTTGATTCAATAAAGAACCTTTCAAAGGGGAATTCCACCAAAGTTTTCAAAAATTTTCTGCATAATTAAGTGGTTAAGATGTAATCAGAGTGCTTCAGAGTGGTTTGGTGTGAAACGCTCCGTTCTAAAGAAACTTACCGAGTCAGAACTGTTCACAGTGGTGGTGATAGGAACCAGACGTCCACCTCTAAAAGCTCCCTCACAGAAAGTTCCTACATGAAATGGTTATGAATTCACTGCCTGATGACTGAGACACTGTTTTATGATAGTTTAGAGAACTTAAACTCCATTCATGGTGGAGGGATACATGCAGGGCGCTGTGAGGCAAAATAGTCCCCAAAGAAAACTTATTTCAGATTTTCCACTATTTTCCATCATCAACATTCCATATAAACTCAGAAGACTCGTGTAGGTTCACTGGTGGTTCTGGATAGTAAATAAAATGTCTATATTTGTGTTGTAGTCATGGCGACCCCTGGTTGCTATCACCACCACTGTAAAGACATCTGAACCATTTTACACCAAACCACTCTGAATCCTTCTGTTTACATCTCAGACACTGAGCTATGGAGGAATTATGAAAAGTCAGTGGAATTCCCCTTTACAGAACCATGTAAATAACATATTAAAGTGAAAAACAATGTGAAGATACAGCAGCAGTAAAAGGTTTTATCTAGAAGCGAAGAGCCTTTTAGAAACCTTTATTTTTAAGAGTGTACGTGATGATACTTTTCTCCTCCTTAAAGCAACATCGTACTAGTGCAAATGAAATAATCCCAAAAAACAGACGGTCATCCTTTTAAACAAAAACACAAAGTGCCTTGAGTTGCTGTTAAAACGACAAACTTTGTCTTAAAGCTTCCGTCTCCTCTCTGCGACACAGATACTGTGCAAAACGAATCACATCTACAGCAGCAGGAGGAGCAGCGGCCACGAGAGGCACAAAGGCTTTGTCACAGCACGAACGAAGACAAACAACATTTAAACAAATAAATAAAACTGACTGACGTTTCTGAACTTCTTCCAGTGACTTATAAAATCTCCTCTGTACTCTTTACCTGCCTTTCCTACGATTAAAAGTAACAGAAAAACAAAAACAAATCAAACGCGGACGGAGGCAGAATACAACTTCTGCAATAACACCTTAAACGGAATATGATTTCATATCTCAAAAATGAGGCAAATATACAAACTGAACCGCTGCAGTAAAACGCTTCCCCGTTCAAAGCTGAAAAACTCATGAGCGACACAAAAGCAGTGTGCAGTGCATTTAAGCAAACAACAGGAGGCGGCGTTTCACAAAGCAGTAGGCTTAAGTTATCTGGATAACTGAGTAATTCTGCAACATTGCATTGTGCAACGGCGCCCCCTGCTGTATAGCTTGACTTCGGGCTTAAGTTCCCCGGCTAACTGAGTAATCCTGCTTTGTGTAAAATATATCCCATAATTGTGCATCTCTGTGCTTTTGTTCTGTTGCTACGTCCCCCCTTCGTCCTCTTCCTCCTCGTCCTCCTCCATGTTTTTGCGGGCCATCCTCTCTCTCCTCTCGGCGAGCCGTTGGCACCGCGGGCAGTCGCGACCGCTTTTAAAGCACGTCTTGTGGTAGCAGGCGTTACACTCTGCAACACATTTACAGTGATTTACTCAGCAGACGACAACAAACCGGTAATCCAGCACTTTCAGGTCTTTTATTACAGACATAATAATATATACACCATCAGTCCTCCCAGCAGCAGGGGGCGCTCACCTTCACACCGCTGGCACTTGTTCAGCTCGTAGGGGAAGATAATGTCTTTGTCGTTACCACAGAATTCACACACAAAGCCCTTCGCCTGGCAGAGCTGGAGATTAAACCACAAACAACCACAGAACTGAGTCAGTTTTCAATTTTAAGCTGAAATTAACGCAGCGCTGTACGTTTTTAGCTGACGGCGCTGCTGTCGCACAAACATTCAGCAGCGAGCGGAGAAATATTTCAAAACCTGTAATAATTCAAAAGTGCAGAGGGAAATCTGTAGGTTTGTGGTGGATGAATAATAGAAGCTGCCCATTCAGATGAGCTAATGCGCTAATGCTACACTAAAGCTAACAGTACAGCGCTGGGTGCTGATGAAGACTCGTCGTCTTCTACATGAGCTTTTCTGCTCAGAGGACGATGAGCCATTTAAACACAAAAACAGTGTTTCACTGAGTTGATCTGTATAATTATATTTATACTTTCAGTAATGAAACATAATAAATACCTGAACAGTGACTTCAGTATTCAAATACTGGCACCTCGTACAGTTAACTGAGCTAATGCTCGAGTATTCGCACACCCCCCCAGATTTCACTAATATGCGTATGTTACATTACTAATTTATTCACGGCCCAATCAATAATGCATGATTAAATTATTTAACGACATAAACGCAGTAAATTTATACACTAGTTATCTATAATAATATATTGAGTAATTGTGACCGAATGTGTAGCAAAAGCTGACAGCTGTACATAGCAGTGCATTCACACAGGAAACCAGCGCTAATGTGGAAAACTGGTTCCCGGCACTAGATAACGGCTTGTGTTCTCACAGATATATAATTATAATAATACATAATTACGGAACAGTTGAGAACTCTATGTGCGCTGGATCTCCGCAGAACGATGGCGCTGTTTGTGTCTCATGTTCTGTTCGAGAAGTTATTCTGCAGAACCTGATAAACGTTCAGAGTTCAGATTTATTTAATACAGTCATGAATACAGAAGCCTTGATTCCCATCAGAACATCGTTCAGGTACACGAGAACAATTCAGTACGTGATGAACTGCTGAATTAAAACAGTGTAAATATAGCAGGGGGCGCTGTAGAGCTAAACACACAGAACACAGGGAACCCACAGAACACGCAGAATACACAGAACCTACAGAATGCGTGAAACCCACTGAACACATAGAATGCACAGAACACAGTAAACACAGAACAAGCAGAACCCACAAAACATTTAGAACCCACAGAACACACAGAATGTGCAGAAGACACAGAACCCACAGTACCCAAGCCAAGTTCCTGCTCACCATGCAGCCTGAGACGTGGGCGGAGCCTGAGCGGAGCAGCTCGCGGAGTTTCGGGGCAAGTTCTCCGGAGCGGACGGCGGTGAGGTCATTCAAAGAGAACAGGTGCAGATCCTCTGTCAGGTGACCCGGAACCGAATCAAACTCATCCAGCACACTGTTAGAACACACACACACTCAGTACTGACAGTGTTTGTGTCTCTGAAGCATCTGCAATGCAGAAATATTTGGACACTCACTCTTTAGCTAAACGGCAGGTCTTAAAGAGGTTCTTCATGTGGAACAGCTGGACTCTTAGAACCTGAAACAAAACACAACTTTATTTATTCATTTATTCGTGTTCAGCGACTGATTCAATAAAACTCCACAGCCTGTTTACTGTTCACTGTGTAAACCTTCTGTTTCTGTTCTTTCTGCATCTCAATGAGCTTCACAGTCTGAACAGAGAACAGACAGAAGATCTTAAAGATCTCAGTGTGACGAGGCACTAATGGAGCTGTAATGACGGACAGCGGCTGAGTGGACACTTCACTACAGAAAATGTTCAACAAAATGATGTTTGTTTGAGAGAAAAACACTTTTAGCACAACATCAGACTGAAGTTAGACTCTGGTGTTAGAACCCCATACGGTTCTAAGAGTTCTGAGAAAGTGACAGTGTTGGAACGGTGTGTTTAAAATAACACCTGGTCAGACATTTTGTTTCATAACGCAATGAATTTGAGTATTTTCAAATAATTTTTCGTTCCACGGTAAACCAAATATTTCATTTACACCGTAAAGCAAATGCAGTTTAATATTTTAATTACTTTGACAGATCTAGAAAAAAAAGAAATAAAGCCTGTTCATAAATCAGTTCACCCACACTCTATTATGATGATTATGATGATCATTATTATTATTATTAATATTAGTACTGACCCGCACTGTCTCCAGTGCTTTGACCTTCTTGTAGAGCGCTGTGTTGATGTCATTGGGGTTGAAGAGCGGGTCTCCTGAGATCTTCCCCAGCAGGTCTCGGGCGAAGTTACTGACGTAATATTTACTGAAATCCCATTTCCTGAGCACGCGGCCCGGCACCACGGCAACCGCGTTCTCATGACAACACTGACAGAAATACCGGCCCAGATACTCGCAGTACCGCAACCGCTTTATATAATCTGTCAGAGAAACACACACATCACAGTTTTGGAAATATACACACTATATTACTATCTTTGAAGGGACTTCATTCTACTACTATCTTTGTGGGGACCTCCACTGACTTATGTAAAACACTATTTGAGTAACACTACACCTACAGCTAATCCTAATCTTAAAATCAACCTCAGTAACCAAAAGATAAGAGATTTCCCCACACTACTCTAAATACACAGAGTGAGGCCTTCATCACTGAACTACGACCTCAGAATTTTCTCACTTAGTTTCGTACCTGGATCGATACGTGTACCGCAGCCTGCACACCTGTAGTTCTGTTTAGCCACCACCACCTTCCTCCTGAAAAACACCCACACACAGAGCTCTGTTACCGTAATGCACTGTTGGAGTCACAGTTCTGCCCTTCAGTCACCTGATAATCAGAGCGATACATCAGTATGAACGGTGCTGCAGTGAGATTAGAGTGTTTTTTGGACTCACTTTGGCGCCGGGTGGATGTTAAAGATGATCTGCGGTCGCGGCGGAGCCCATTCCAGATTCCCCCGCACCCGGATCCGCAGCTTATAGATATCCGCATGCTCTCCATCATCAGGAGAGATTGGGAGGGAGTCAGGAATCGGCAGGAGCTACAGAGAGAGAGAGAGAGAGAGAGAGAGAGAGAGAGAGGGGCGCATTTAAAAAGTGCTCTATAATGTTCATATGGTCCACACAGTCATTCTGACAGACTGTAATACACAACAGGAAGTGTAGGGGGCGATACACCATAAAAGAAGTAAGTGCTTGCTGCACAGACAAAACACAGTGGTAGAGAGAGAGAAACTGAACAGACAAAACAGTAGACTAATAATAATAATAATAATTGATAGGTTAATAAATTATAGAAATAACAGTTACAGCCCAGCCCTCAATGCACGTTAACTGATTTCAACCTCAACCTATCTAATTTATATAGAGAGCATATTTATTATTACACACATGTAGCTGGTTATAGTGAAAGATTAATGTGCAGACAGAGTTAATGTACCTTCTGCGGAGCGTCGTGTTCTGGAACCAGCCAGTCCAGCTCTGAAGCTGCCGGGAGCTGCATCCCCTCAAACTGCCTCAGCAGCCCCATCGCCACCGACTCGGCGGAGTTCGACTGCAGGAGAGATGGAGAACTGCGTGCACACACACACACACACACACACACACACACACTCAATATTACATTCATTCCTAAAGTACTGAGATATTACATTGTGCCATATTGCCCAGCTCTACCCAGCAGTGTTGCCAAGATGAACAGACTTTCCTATATGGATTTTGACAGTGTGCAGCTGCAGTTAGCCAACAAGCTAACATAGCAGTCAGCAAGTCAAAAACAAACAGCCAAACCATAAAAGAGAATAAAGTGTCTAAAAGATAATAAAGTCTCTAAAGTGACTGCGCATTAAACAGTCTCTACTTATGTTTAGAAATTTAGAAAAATGCTTATAAGTGTAAACACTGATAAAATTAGCAATTTTAGAGGATCAGTGCTGCTATACGAAGCTCCGCCCCCTCAAAGGTCAACACTGCCAGATGTCAAAGCTCACCAAAGTTGAACCTGATGCAAAATTAGTTTGCCCTGAAAATCTGCAGCACAAAATCACAGCAAACTCAACTGAAATGAAGTGCTTTTGCTCACGAAATACCACTGACAAAGTGAAGCATGACTGAGCTTTTGGAGACGTACCGATCTGACTCTCACTCCCCCAGTATCTGAACTCAGAATTTGAACCAACACTGAGTATCTGATATCAGAACTATGTTCAGCTTAAATGTTTCATAAAACCAAATTACATAAACATAAATATACAGCCTGATGTGTCACACATCAATATTTATTTTATTGATCTAAAAGATTGATAAAATTTATTATAACAGCTATGACTAAAAAACTACTGAGTTACTGAATGTGGATCATTCCTGTCTGACCATCTACTGATCTGTGTAATAAAGTCAGTATCTGCACTGCTATTGATCATATCGATGCATCACTACTTAGCATTTAAGTAAACTGATGAACTGGCACTGTTTGTGTTTGACTCACACAGACTCGGAGCTGATGAAGGACCTGCTGGGAGTCACGCTGGGTTTAATATCTGCATCTAAGACGGAAAACAAAACACAGTATGTCTGATACACAGTAAACACTAACAAATATAGCAGAACAGAATACTTTCTGCAGATTAAAGATTATTTACTGATTAGGTGTTAAACAGCTGGACTCAGAAGCAGAAAAACAGCAGAAGCTGAACTGTTAAAGACTCAGAAACATATTTTGTGGAGTGTGGGTTCAATAAGAGCCTGTTTATCTCTGACACTGTGAACAAAAGCCTCTTGTTCTAGATTCAGAGCAGAGTTCAGCCCTCATAACTAATCCACTCAGCTCAGATCAGCTCTCTGAGGGAAATCACAGCTACTGATGATGTACATTAAAGGGGCATTTCAGCCTAAAACTACAGTTTAATGTGATATTTGTGGCTTTATGCAGGATTCTGTAGAGCCACATTTAAACCCTCAGCCTCGCCAGTTTCTTGTCCATCAGTGTTTTCTCACTACAATACCCAGAATGCATTACTCAAATACATCACACAGCTGCTGTGAATCCCTGTGGTGATAAAGATCTACAGGCTAATAAACACAGAGGTGATATTCGGCTTCCTAGCAGTAACGTTAGCTATGTAGCTTCCTTCTGCATCAACAAAGCTAGCTTATTTTTAAGAGTGTACACCTGAAAACTCCCCCAAACCAGCTGTAGTTCCTCCCAACTTCAATATACATCATCAGAAAGGGGTTTATCTAGTCTTTAATCCAGAAAACCTCACTATAGAGTTACTGAGGTACCATTATAGGAGAGCAGGCATGTTTACAGCAGGTGTAGTGATGGTTAAATTTTTAATTTTGTCTGAAGCTCCCCTTTACAGTAAAAAATAATTAAACTGTAAAAGTCTCTCAGATAAAGAGCAGCTGAACAGGGTTAATTTCTCCGATAGTCAGTTCAGTTTCACTGGTTAATGTTTCTGAGTCACGGTAGCTAATGCAGGCAGACTCAGTGCTAATGCGCTAACGGCTAATGGCTAATGGAGGCACATGCAGAGTGCAGTGAGGAGCAAACAGACATGAAAAATGAACATTAACACAGGAAAAAACAGCACAGCCACTGAAACAGAAATCCGTCCTACTTTTTATTCACGTTTATTTATATTTACTCTAGTTTAAAGTGTTTTAAGGGCAAAATCTCTGAACGCTGAGGAAAGAAAGCAGCACAGCAGCTAACACTGAGCGCTAAACGCTAAAGCAGCTAAAGCAGCTAAACACAGCACTAAAACCTGATTTACAGCATCTGTATCTGTAATGGAGTCACCCAGTCATCTTCACTGGACACAACTAATGACTTTGGGCTCTCAGAGAAAAATTTAAAAATATTTAATAGAGTTAATGTCTGTTTCAGACACTCTGAGGCAGCAGCTGCTTTACGCACCAGCTTTCAGACACAAGGCTAATTAAAGATAAAGCTAATGCCATCAGAGACACCAGATAAAGGCACACACACACACACACACACACACACACACACACACACAGATACACACACACAGATACACACACACAGACACACACACAGACACACACACAGACACACACACAGATACACACACAGAGACACACACACACTGAAGCCAAGTTGGCTGAATGCTGCTGAGTGGTATTTTGCGTTAGCTGCCTGTCTCTGTGAGCGCTAAGCTGAGCTGCGCTAGCTCCTAGCACCTTCCTGTGTAACAGCTAAGCTTCTCACCGCAGACCAAAAATAAGGCTGAGCAAAAGTTCAGCTGCTTTCAAGTGAAAGTGAGGCGGCAGTTTTCTCTGAGGAGGAAACTGTCTGAATGTAAATGTGGTTTACGTGAGGTAAACAAACCTGTGCTCATAAAAAGCTGCTGCAGTTTGTTAGCTGACATCTTTCAGTTTCAGCCTTCACCTGCTGTGGTGAGCTGACACATATTACAGCAACCCCCCTCAAAAAAGACGGTTCTTCAAGGGTTCTTTAGTAAAGACACTGGGCCTCATTCACCAACCGTTCTTAGGAGGAAATCTCTTCTTAAACCCACTTTAGCAGTTTTGACAAAGACTCATTCACCAGTGTTCTCTTATGTGGGGTTTGTTCTTAGGAAAGAACAGAATCTACAAACACTCAAGAGCACAAAGGTGAGAACAGTTCTGCGCTTTAGGAACACGTCATGAATCTTGAACCATCTGCATACCTAAAGAGTTCTCTGCATGGTCAAATGGTTCTTCAGACTGATGCAGAGTGTGTTGTATATGGTTCTATATAGCACCAAAAAGGGTTCTACTATTCCCTTTTAAATAGAACCATTTTCAAAAAGGTATACAACCATATACAACACATTTTCCATCCATCTGAAGAACCATTTCACCATGCAGAGAACCACTTAAGTATGCAAATGGTTCTTTGAGTGTTCATCGTTCTGTACAGATCCATTGTCCTTACTAATGAATCCTTGTAGAATCACCTTTTTCAAGAGTGCAGCTAAAAGCAGCGTAAACTATCGCAATCAATTTAGTTTCTCTCTCTGATTACAGTGAGTTTAGTGACGTCCTTTAGCTACAGTGAGGAAGGTTTATCTGCACTACAGTGATGTCTGTAAGTCTACAACAGACACACACGCACACACACACACACACACACACACACAAGGTGCACAAGCTAGCAGCATTAGCATCTCTCTGTCTGTCTGTACCTGAGAAGAGTGAAGCGAGGGACAGTGAGAGTCCGCTCTGAGACGCCAGCAGCGCCGGACCGTCACAGCCATCTGAGAGACACAAACTACACTCAGCACTCACTCTGTGTTCAGCAAAGCTTTAATAAAAACCTCCACTGACCATCTGACCACGTCCACTCAAACATCGCCACCAACCTCAGACCTGCAGAGTGACGGAGGAGCTGACAAGCTTTTTTCTGTGGGTGTTAAAACGTGAGAGCACTGTACAGCCATTTTTTCCTATTGAGCAACTATAGCATCATAACGGTCACTGTGCTAGCTGGTTGTCACTTGTCTGGGCTGAAAGCCCAGGACTGTCGCTGTCACGATGTGTGTGTGTGTGTGTGTGTGTGTGTGTGTGTGTGTGTGTGTGTGTGTGTGTGTGTGTGTGATGCATTAACTATGTATGCAACTTGTGTGTTTAGTACAGTAGTGCGTGACTAAGTGCTCGACCCCCAGTGAGTGATGTGTGTCTGAGACCGTAAGATCATAACTGTCCTCTCCCTGGGTGGGCAGGGTGGTCCTCCCCCATCACTTAGTATGATGTTACCTGTCTGTTAGCTAATGTACCAGACCGAGCAGTTAGTGTTCTCCTCCAAGTGTGTTGAGGCCAGCCTTACTAATTATCCAATCCATCTGCTTCAAGCAGAACTTGTTTTAAAGGGGGTTCCACCAGTAGTACAAAATTTCTCCATAACTCAGGTGTAAACAGAGTGGTTCAGAGTGTTTTGGTGTGAAATGGTTCTGATGTCTTCACAGTGGTGGTGATAGGAACCAGGGGTCGCCATGACTACAACACAAATATAGACATTTTATTTACTGTCCAGAACCACCAGTGAACCTACACGAGTCTTCTGAGTTTATATGGAATGTTGATGATGGAAAATAGTGGAAAATCTGAAATAATAAGTTTTCTTTGGGGACTATTTTGCCTCACAACGCCCTGCATGTATCCCTCCACCATGAATGGAGTTTAAGTTCTCTAAACTATCATAAAACAGTGTCTCAGTCATCAGGCAGTGAATTCATAACCATTTACTGTAGGAACTTTCTGTGAGGGAGCTTTTAGAGGTGGACGTCTGGTTCCTATCACCACCACTGTGAACAATTCTGACTCGGTAAGTTTATCTAGAACACCAAACCACTCTGAACCACTCTGTTTACATCTTAAAGCAAAACTAATAATAAGTCTGTGTTCTCCGTCTGAATCTCTGCGGACAGAAATGAGAGAACTGCATGAACCGATTTAAAGACTAACACGATCACGAAGAGGATTTAGGCATGATGTGGTTTGATGACATCACAACGATGTGATTAAATGATGGAAGCAAATCAAAAAGGACTGATTGATAGGCAGCACAGATGAACACAACCCACCCACACGGTTCTCCCACCTCTCAGCTCGAAGTCCTCCACCTCCTCCGCTGATCCGGAGTCAGAGTGGGGAAAGGAACCATGGGAACTCTTCGGTGAGCCGCTGTCTGTGGAGGTGAACGCTGAAAAAAAACAATGACAAAAACAATGCATCTTCAGTTTTAGCACTGGAGCTACGAGCCGAATGTAGCTAACAAGTAATGGAAGCTTATACCCACCAATTAGTAGTGCGCTAACTGCTTGAACTATTGCCTCAAGCAGCATCTTATTGGATTTAAGGAGGTGCCAGAATGTAACTGCTGCACCATTTAAGGTGGAAGGAAAACTTCAGCTTTGTGCCTCAAAACGTGTCAAATTATCAAATAATCTAAAATAAACTCGCTTATGGTTTCTGTGCGTGATGCTAATTGGTGGGGTATACGCTTCCATCACCTGTTAGCTACATTAGCCTTGTAGCTCCAGTTCTAAAACTAAAGGAACTTCAGATCTGTGGGTGAACCATCACTTGAATGCAGTGATGAAGGCTGTGCGCTCACCGTGCTGAGAGCTACTGGGCTGCAGTCGGCTGCGGCGGATCTGCTGTCTGCGCAGGCGGATCTTCTGCTTCAGCTGCTGGATCTCAGAGTCGCTGTCTCCCTCCTCCTCCGCCTCCTCCGCTCTCCGGCACATGTTACACTTCATCAGCTCGATCGCAGCGATTAGAGACTCTGAAATGCTGAAGTGAGCGTTCTCCTGCAGGGGGCGCAATACAGCTCTCAGAGCAAAGCATTACATTGATTGTGGAAAAGATGTTTAAAAACAAAAACATATTTAAAAGCATAAACTACTGTTTCATTTAAAAAGCTCTATAATGTTCATACGATCCACACAGTCACTCTGACAGACTGTAATACACTACAGGAAGTGTAGGGGGCGATATGGCTTCTACTGTTTCATTTAAAAAGCCTCTATAATGTTCATATGATCCACACAGTCATTCTGACAGACTGTAATACACTACAGGAAGTGTAGAGGGCGATATTGCTTCTACTGTTTCATTTAAAAAGCTCTATAATGTTCATATGATCCACACAGTCACTCTGACAGACTGTAATACACTACAGGAAGTGTAGGGGGCGATATGGCTTCTACTGTTTCATTTAAAAAGCTGTATAATGTTCATATGATCCACACAGTCATTCTGACAGACTGTAATACACTACAGGAAGTGTAGGGGGCGATATGGCTTCTACTGTTTCATTTAAAAAGCTGTATAATGTTCATATGATCCACACAGTCACTCTGACAGACTGTAATACACTACAGGAAGTGTAGGGGGCGATATGGCTTCTACTGTTTCATTTAAAAAGCTCTATAATGTTCATATGATCCACACAGTCACTCTGACAGACTGTAATACACTACAGGAAGTGTAGGGGGCGATATGGCTTCTACTGTTTCATTTAAAAAGCTCTATAATGTTCATATGATCCACACAGTCACTCTGAACGATCAGTGCATTGCAGCTCTAAAGAACAGATGGATGTGGAGGCAGTAGATCCTCCTCACCTTCTCCAGATCAGCACAGCTGCCGAAGTCCTGCTCCGAGAGATAACTGATCAGACTCTGGCCCTCCGACGGCTTCCGGAACATTCCATCAGAAACAGTGCTGTACTGAAAACCATCTGCAGGTATGCAAAAACTACAATTACTGCTCTAAGATCTGCTTCTGCAGAGTAAATCAATATAAACGACTGTATCCCACAATGATTTTATCTCAAACCAATCAATCAAATCCCACATATTTCATCAGACCGCCCCCCCAGCCCCCCTCAGTGTGAACTAATCCAGGCTGTGCAGTGTTCCTCAGTGAAACAGTGATGCACTTACTGGCCTCCATGTAGAGCGAGCTGTGGCTGCTGCTGCTGCTGCTGCTGCTGCTCTGAGGAGAGAACGGGCCGAAACTCTTCACACTCGGCTCATCCACCGCAGATTCTGATTCAACACACACACACACACACAGTTAATCACAATATAATTACACTTAGAGAAACTGTATCTTCTGATTCTGGCTCACAGACACAGCGTACAGGGGATATGAATGAAATGAAAACAATAAATAAAAATAATAAATAAATTGGACTTTAAATCACATGCAGTGTGTTTTCTGCTTACTGAAGGCAAAATCTGTTTCCTCTGCACTGATACTCCTTTACTCGCCCTACTGTCCATTTCTGGGTGCCACCTCATTACGACAGGACTAAGGCTGTGTTCAGACTGACAGCCTGAATCCGATTTCTGTAATATTCAGATTTTTTGATAATCTGGTAAATAAAAACGTGAAATCTGATTTTTGAAAATCAGATCCAAACCACATTTGGAGATGGTTTGAAATGCAACTCCAGTCAGATTTTTACAGATGTGTCTCAGTCCGGACGCTCCAATCGGATTTCAAAGTGTCTTTTGCCTCACTTGCAACACGACAAACAGCGACGTGTTGAATCCAGAGTGATGAAGTGCTGGGATTCTAAAAGAGCTCCAAAGATTCATGATTATGAAGAGATCTGAAGAGTTTGGAGGGGAGATGATGCTCTTCCATCTCTCCTGCAGCCACGACTGAAATCCATGTCACCAGCGTAGCTACGTAATTAATGACGCCTACGTCGTTACCACGGCAACCCATGCAGATAGAAAGGTGATGTCTGGACACACAAATCTGACCTGACTCGCCTGCAGTCTGAACACAGACTAAGACTGTCTATGAAGGGCAGGTCCACCCAGCAAGAGTAATGTGAACTCTGGAAAGCTTGTAATCTAAAAAACTAAACCAAATGAAAATGAAAAGTTCCTCCTTTGTCAGGTTTTCTGTATTTAACTTGTTTCTTCTGAGTGTGAAAGGCAGTATGACCGAAATGCATTATTTTACTGTTTACATTCAAAAAATGTACTAATCTCAGTGTACAGGGTTGACTGTAAAGTGAGGAAGAGGGAAGCGCCTCCAGCACTCCCACTATTCTTAATCCTTCACCTGGTTTCTCTCACTGGAGGAAGTTCACTAACTACCCACTGTCGAACTCTGAGAAAGAAAGTTTGTGTTTTAACGTTCAGACGTTTCTGCAGCGTTTCAGAGCTGATCAAAATAAAAACTACAGTCAGTGTGAAGAACAAAGCGGTAAATGAAGAGCAGCGGAGAGACATGCAGGAGGATGAGAGAAGAGGAGGTGAGGGCTCAGATGGAGGTTCAGGCTCAGGGGGAGAGTGAGCAGTAGAGCACTGCAGACCTGCTACAGGATCCTCTATTATTATGGTGATTTTCCTGTGGCTGCCTGCTTCACAGCGAGAGAGAGAGAGAGAGACAGAAACATTACCCAGAACCCCGCAGGGCAGAGCGCAGACAGTCAGAGAGATTAGCAGAGGGAGTAGCAGAGAGATTAGCCTTGGCGTTTATTTTATAAACCAAACTACAGAAACTATGACTATAAACTACATTACAGATACTAAATAGTCCATTTGCACAACAGCAGAACCAGCAGAAAGAAAGAGAGAAAAACAGAACACACACACACACAGTTATAGCTACAGTGATCAGTAAACGAGCAAATAAATTAATTACTGGTTAATGACTATGGAAAAAAACACTTTCTTTACCTATAAATAAAAGTCCTCTATAATGTTCATATGATCCACACAGTCACTCTGACAGACTGTAATACACTACAGGAAGTGTAGGGGGCGATATGGCTTCTACTGTTTCATTTAAAAAGCCTCTATAATGTTCATATGATCCACACAGTCACTCTGACAGACTGTAATACACTACAGGAAGTGTAGGGGGCGATATGGCTTCTACTGTTTCATTTAAAAAGCCTCTATAATGTTCATATGATCCACACAGTCACTCTGACAGACTGTAATACACTACAGGAAGTGTAGGGGGCGATATGGCTTCTACTGTTTAATTTAAAAAGCTCTATAATGTTCATATGATCCACACAGTCACTCTGACAGACTGTAATACACTACAGGAAGTGTAGGAAGCGATATATCACTCCCAATATAAAATCCAACACACTGTCAATAAGTCATTGAAGATGACAGCGGCCCTTCTCCATCACTGCATCACAGGCAGTAAAAAGAGTGAAGAATACGACCTTTGACCCCACACATCCAGCAAGATTTGTCTTTCAGCTGTTGGTCTCTTAGAGGAGCTACAGATCTCTGCCCATCAAAACAGTCCAACTCAGAAACAGCTTCTTTCCCCCAATGAAACACAAACACTGGACTTAATCCGATAGTGTAATTCGTACACTGATCTACTGCTCCTGCTCTCCGTCTTTAACTTGTACTTCATGTCATTCGTTACTGTGTCAATATTAATTGAGCTGGTCTGTACTGTATTATACTGTATTTTGATGTAACACTATTACGATGTTACAACGTGAAAACTAGGTAAAAAAAACTTTGGTAAAAGTTTTACTGAAAATGTACTAAAGAAGTTCGTCTGTGTTCACTAAAGAACCTGAATCTGACAGAATAGTTACATTAATCCATTGATGAAACAACGGTTCGTGTAAATAATCAGTTGCAGCTCTATAAACCAAACCCCCCCGACCCCCTCGACCCCCCCATTTCTCACCTTGTTTATGTTTCTGTGCCACCCCAGTGTCAGACAGTGACCTCGTATGAACCCTGAAGCTCCGCCCCGTTCCCCGCTGTGTGTCGGAGAAGGAGCTGCGGCGGGGGGGCTGCGGAGGGGCGGGGGCAGAGCGAGTGGGCACCGGAGGAGTCTCGCTGCTGTGGGCGGAGCTGCTGGAGTGTCTCCGCCTCCCCAAGTTGCCGATGGCGAGGTACTCTGGCCCATCGTCACCGTCTCCATCCACACTCTCCGCCTGCTCTGGTTGGGGAGGGTTGGGGGGCTCACTCACACACACCTGCGGGACCCCTGTGCCGACATCATCACGGTCACACCCACACGGAGCGCCCACCTTACCTTCCACCCTCATCGAACTGCTGCGTGCCACGACCTCTGCAAAACAACAACACAAACACACAGTGGGTTTAAATCTGACTACAGCGACTACAGCTGGGTTTATCTGACTACAGTGGTATTTATCAGACTATAGTGGAGTTTATCTGACTGTAGTTTAGTCTGCTGCTGTGGTAAGAATGTGTGATAATGCATTAAATCTCGTTTCATTAAGTGCTGCATGAAACATTCACTATTACAATGAGCCTCATTCACACAGAAAAACACGTGGAGATTACTGAGTAAATTCCAGCTCATTGGAGGAACCATGGCTTAATGTATGCAGGTTTTCAGTATTGGTCTAGAAAATTCCACATACAGAGTCTTTTCTGTTGCCCCTCTGCGCCCCCCCTCCACTCCCGATTCTCAGTTTCTCAGTTTCTCAGTAAGACACTCCTGTCCTGTCCTGCTCTGTGTGCTGAATCTAAAGGAACTTATTCACAGTCCATGAAGCTACATGCACTGCACATTTCTACATTTTCCCTCAAATTATCAGATTTGAGCCAGGCTTATTAGTGAAAACAGCAGCGTGTGCAGTTCAGGCCATTAGCAGGAATGAACTGGACCCTTATGTGGACAGCAGAGTGCATAGTGTGTAGGATGTACTGAAAACTGTACAAACCATAAGGCCAAAAAGTTGGAACAGTGGAATGCAAATAAAAACAGAAAGCAGTGATTTGTAAATCCACGCTGACCTGCAATTTAACAAAACTATTACCAAGACAATATAATCAAACTTTAATCTCATCAACTTCATTGTGTTTTGTAAACATACCCTTATTCTGTAACTGATGCCTGCAACACTTACCAAAATAGTTGGGACGGGACAATTTATGACTAGGAACATTGTGAAATGTTCAAAAACATAATAAAAAAAGGATTTAAAAGGAGCATCTGGGAAAAAATTAGACAGGAAATCCAGAGAAATCTCTGTACATAAAGAAAAAGGCTGAAAACTGATGCTCAGAGAAAACGTGTATTGTGGTCTGATGAGTCCACTTTTCAGACAGTTTACAGAAATAATGGACGATGTGTTCTCCAGGCCAAAGAAAACAAGGACCATCCAGATTGTTTCCAGCATAAAGTTCTAAATCCAGCATCTGTCATGATTGGGGGGGGGGCGGGGTTAGTGGGTAACCTGCACCATTAACACTGAACACATTTCGGAGCTACATATGTCTCACGCTGAAAACGTGTCTTTATAAACTGAAAATATGACAATAAAGGCCCTGGATCACCTGGTTTCTTCAGTCTCAGAACAATTTTTAAGTGCCTTTTTGAAGGAAAAGTGATGTGGGAAACATGCTCCTGTCCCAACCTCACACAAACACACACACACACACACACACACACACACACACAACAACAACAACAAATTGACACCAAACAACAAAAACAACAAATTCATCACTGCTGTCTGTTTTTATTAGCTTTTCACATACCGTCCCAGTTTCTTTGGAACTGAGCTTTGTACAACGCGTGTAGAGTGTTCGGTGTGTAGTATGTATAAGTGTTGTGTATTGTGTTCTAACCAGAGTCCGTCTGAGTTTGTGAGTAGGTCTTATTGCTCTCTGTGAGGGAGGAGTGGGATGTGTGTCTGCGGACAGCTGCCAGGGGGCGCTCTGGAGGCAGCAGGTACAAGCTGTGACTCTTCACCAGACCGAGAGGAACCGGTTCCTTCAGCCGGGACAGCTGCAGGACACACACAGAGCAGCTGTTACACACACTGACACACAATAAAACAAAACACAACACTTCCAGAGAAAACTGTTAGTACAGTTTACATAGCAGGATTTTCTCAGTTAGCCCTGGTTAAGCTCAGCGTCATGTCTGTGGCAAACAGCAGGAGGCGCTAGTTTACAAAGCATTTTTTTAATTAGCTAGAGAACGTAAGACTGAAGATTCACTTTTGTCTGAAGTTATTTGGCTAATTGAGAAAATTCTACTTTGTGAAATCTGCTGATTCCACACCTGCACTGCATGCACTGCCTCTGTGATTATATCCAGTAGGGGGAGAACTGAGGAACGCTCCTATTGGACAGCCCTCACTCTGGGCTTAAATTACCCACTTCGGTGGTGCTAAATAATTCCTGCTTTGTGACACCCCTGTTGGACTTCAGTGACCTGCAGAGGGACCTCGCTAACCTCTCTGATCCGGACGGTGTCGATGAGCGCCAGCAGTCGGGGGTCGTTCTGCTCTACGGCCTCTAAACACTGCAGCATGGCAGACACATGCGGCTCGCTCAGCAGGAACGCTTCATCTGCGCGAGGAGAAACACATGAAAATATACCTCCAACACACAAACCACCGGCGCTCAGAGGAAATAAACTTGTTTGTGTGTTTGTGTGTCAATTACAGTCAATTAAAAACTGTGGCTGTAAAAGTGTCTCCAGGCATCGATATTTACACAGATTCACTACGAGGCTTAAAACCGTCACATAAAAAATGTTTAAAGGTGTTGAGTGTGTGTGTAGATGTACTTTCAGGGTTTTCTCTGTGTGTGTGTGTGTGTGTGTGTGTGTATTACTGCTGTAGTATTTGCGGGTGTTGTTGGGGGGTGTGTGTGTGTGTTACCACTGTAGTATGTGCAGGTGTTGTTGGTGTGTGTGTGTGTGTGTGCGCGTGTGTTACCGCTGTAGTATGTGCAGGTGTTGTTGGTGTGTGTGTGTGTGTGTGTGTGTGTGTGTGTGTGTGTGTGTGTGTGTGTGTTACCGCTGTAGTATTTGCGGGTGTTGGTGATGTGGGTGAGTAGGGGTCTGAGCTGGCTGGACAGCAGGTGATTCTGCAGGCTGTGGAGGAGCCAACGCTCGGCTTTATAGCCCTCACCACCGACACCATAAACACCACTGCTCAATACCGGCTCCAACTGACTGAACTACAGAGAGAGAGAGAGAGAGAGAGAGAGAGAGAGAGAGAGGTAGAGAGAGAGAGAGAGAGAGAGAGAGAGAGAGAGAGAGAGAGAGAGAGAGAGAGGGAGAGAGAGAGACTTGTTTATTACTCAGGAGTGTACATTTCTAATCCTTAACAACTGAGATTTCAGTTTTCACCATGATTCGATGCATTATGGTGTATTTTAACACTCCAGCTGTTACTAAGCAGCGCAGCTGCATTACCGTATTTACTGTACCTGCTCCACGTGACGCGCGAGGCTCGGGCTGATAAACCGCAGACACCAAACAAACTGCCAATAATCCTTCTGTTTATAATACACCTGCAAAATAAAACACACAAACAAACTGTCACTAATTCCTGGGGTAACTGCACTCCGATTAGCTTAGTGGCAGTTTAGTGTTAGGGTAGGTTTAATAAACAGGGATTAAAGTCTAGTCCTGGACTAGGCAGCATGTTTAATGGAGATTTTCCACTGAAAAGAAAATACACAAACTCAGCTGCTGTTTAGTTGAAAGCCAAAGTTTAAACTACATCCACATGAAAGATCTTTTCAAATGTCTGCCACTAGATGTCGCTGTATCAAAGGTTTAAACTAAAATGATCAAATCCTGCTCAAATCTCAGATGTCAGCTTCATACTGGATTAAGATCACAGATCTCGTCAGTAATCACTCAGAGAGCAGCAGCTCCTCACATTAAAGGCAAGTTTATTTATACAGTGCATTTCATACACAAAGGCAATTCACAGCCCTTTAAATAAACAAACACAAACTAAAACCAGCAATAATAATTTAAAAAAATTAAAAACAACTGTGCTAAAGTGTAAAACTAAAACAGATCAAAATAAAATTAGAATAAAGTTTAAAGGCATAAAGAGTAAGCAGAACTGAGAATAACTGTTAAAGTGCTAAACAGATGCAGTGCAGTAGATTAAAGAGTCTGACGGGCACATCTGAACTGAGCGTTTCGGTCTTGAAGACGGTTCTGTGAATCTGAGCACGTCTGACGGACTGTGTGGAGTTTATTCCAGCTGACTGCAGCGTATCGGCGAAAGGGGCCTCACCAGGTTTCATTCTGGTTCTAGACACTGTTAACTGTCTCCAATGATGCGAAATGTGATGTTATTAGATCCCGACCGTTCAGGCTAAACTGAACAGCAGCTAAATTAAATGTTCTGATGTGTTTTCTGCTCGTCTCTGGAGTGAAGACAGAGTGTAAATCAAACAGCTGTTTCCATCTTTGTCATTTATACTGAGAACTTTGGTTATGGGTTGATGTGGCTGTTATAGACGAGGTCTGAGGTCATTAAGACTCTGTTTTGTCTTTGACTGGAGGAATTTTTTCACTGATCAACTCACTCAGTACATTTGCATAAACACTATTAGAGTGTCTTTAGTGCTGTAAGGTTTCACTGATACTAATTTATAACACTCAAATTAATTTGATCAGTTTGACTCCAGCAGTGTGTGTGTGTGTGTTTTACTCCATAACTCCATTCCTGCTGTAGTGGGTTACTATTCATCCTCGCCTGTTCTCTTAGTTGTCTGCCTGTTCACTTCATTTTTTTGGGCTGTTCACATCTCTCTCAGCTGTTCTCTCAGCTGTTCTCTCGCACTGTTGCCTCGGCCGTTTACCTGTTCGTGTTTGAGGCCGTGGCTCAGGATGTTGTTCATGTCCTTGTGGAGTCGCTGCAGTCCTCCATACCGCGACCACACGTTCGGGTTATTGGTGGACAGAAGCCCCTCCACGGTGGTCTTCAGATTGGACAAAAGCTTCCAGTGTTCACGCCTGAACAAAAACACATAATAAGAAACAACCATGAACATAAAAACACAGCTGTATCACATTATTCGCTTTAACAGTACTGACGTCACAGAGGGCTGCAATATGCTAATGAGCTCCCTAACCAATCAAAGTGTTTACTGTGTGCTGTGAACATACTGACCAATCACAGCTCCAAATTACTCCAACAACAGAAAATGATTCACACGATGTAAAAGAAATCAGGATCATTGGTTGGATTTGGTTAAAACGGTTTTTGTTGAAGTAACGTAGCTCAAAGAGTTTATAACATATAGCAATAACATTTCAAATGTACAGTGAATTACAGTAACACACAGTTTCATCACAGTATTGTAAACATATTTTTAATGAAAATTCAGTTCAGCCTCCATTCCTCAATAACCTGAAAGTTCATCACGAGTTCAACAACCAACCAAAACAAACACACACACACACACGTGTGCACCGCCTAGAGAGAAGCACATGACTGAATCACACACACACACACACAGCTTGCTGCAATCCCAAATACAAAAACAACTGTGTTGGTCTTTTATTTAAATCTCAAACTGAGTCTATAATTACTATTATTGTTATTATTATTACTAATAATATTATGATTGTTCATACAATAAAAACAGCAGATATATTTCTATCAAAAACAACAGAATACAGAATAATATCATTTGAATTTCTGTGAGTTTAGCTTAAAAATTATAATTACAGTGTTACTGTGGACGTAAACACAATTAACACAAATACTGTTTATATTTATGGTGTGTTTCACACACATACGCACACGTTATGGGGATGTTTCTTCCTTGTGGGCTGGTCCCCACAGTGTAAATCATTACATTTTAAGGTTAAGGTCAGAGTTAGGGTTTAGGGTTGGGTTCAGGGTGAGGGTTAGGCTAGTAGTAGTTCTGCTTAAGGTTTGGGTAAGTCTCCGGGAAATGAAAGGAAGTCTATGTACTGTCCCCGCAATTCACAGAAACAAGATTGTGGGAACAGGTTTCGGTCCCCACAGTGTGGCATAAACCTGGTCCCCACCCACACTCACACACACCTTAAATAACTGACCTGAAAGATTCCAGAAGTTAACTCGGGGTCAAAGTTCATTCACATCATTTTTTCTTAGTGTCTCCTTCAGCTACATTAGCTTCACTGCTAACAGCTAAATACTTTAAACACCATCCACATGTTAAATATTCAGTACACTGTCTCTGTGCCTTAAATACTCTAATTAACACATTCAGCATGAAGGACTGAGATCTGGACTTCAGCTGTGACTTCTCTTCTAAACCTGACCGGTAATTGAAGAGTGCGATCAGGTGTGTCTGCCCACAAACTGACCCTGCAGGGAGCTCACACATCTACACAAAACAGGGTTCAGTATCTAACAGCTCACTATTACTATTATTATTATTATTATTAAAGGTTCTGTTATATTGAGGGTTCTCAGAGTTTCGTTTCTGAGTTCCAGAGAAACAGAACCGCCCACGCAGCAGATGATCGACCACTCATCTACAGCTGGGAGAGATAGATCACTGATCACCTTACACTAAATATTAATAATCACATTAATAATACCTCTCATTGCATTAATACTGATAATAACGTCTGATGCTAATGTTGTCCGGTGTCGCGCGAAGCTGAACTCGGCTTATTGCTCGTATTTTCCCGTTCCACCTTAAATGCTTCACCATTTAAGGTGGAACGGGAAAATTCGAGCAAGAAGCTGGCTAATAGGAAGCCTCGTCGGTCTCGCTGACTGAGCAAAACTCGCCGAAGCCAAATTACCAACAAAAAAATTGCTAAAAATCTGTGAAATATTGATTTTTTAGTGCTGTACTTGTTAAATACAGCGACCCCGACGTTATAAGGAGATATTTATCCCCGTTAGCCGCTCGCTGAGGGCAGGGACGTCGCTGCACTCTGTGCGGCTCCTGGTGCGCCAAACTCGGCAGCAGCTCCCACAGCAGCCCGGCGGCGTTAGCATTTAGCATCGTTAGCATCGTTAGCATCGTTAGCCGCCCGGATAACCCAGCCCTAGTGTCAGTACTATTTACCTTCGCTCCGCGACGTCTGCCTCAGTCTGTATCTCCATTACTCAGCTCAGTTCAGCTTCTCCACTCCTCAGTTTAACCGCCAGTCATTTCTGTGAGAAAAATAATCCCGGTTTAATGTAAAATTATGTAACTGTCAAATCTGGACCAGTTTAAGCACACATTCAGCTCTGCAGGCTGTGCCGAGTCCTACCCGCATTCCGACAATTCCCACCCGTATACGAACAGGTTCCGCCCCCACTGCGCCGTGATTGGCTAATACTGTCTCACCATCTGTAACAGCATTGGCTAATGCTCTATCCTAATAGGGAGTGTGGCCAATGGGCGCGAGCGAGTTTTTAGCCAATCCCTGCGTGGAAGGTCGGAAAACAGGTGGGAAATAAAACCCGCCGCTCTACCACTGCTCGGGAAAATCCATGTTGCGGGGGAGAAAGGTTTACATTTTCAATATTTACTCCTTTTGTCGCAGGTAACACATTTTAGTTTAGAAAGTTTCGAATGTTATTTTTTTCTTCCTTAATTAATTAAGGTGGAAAATTAACGTGGAAAATGCTTTTATAGAGTTATTTATTTGCACTGCTTGAAATATTAGTTTACCGGTCCCCCCGGATTGTGGATTTCACCGATGGTGTGTTCCCATCTGCGTTCGTTGTATGTTTGAGTCTGTTTTCTTTATTGATGCGTGTGTGTGTGTGTGTGTGTATACATACATAATATATATATATATATATATATATATATATATATATATATATATATATATATATATTAAAGTGTGTGTTAAAGTGGAACTTTCAAAATTCCTGCATAGTTAGGTGGTTAAGATGTAATCAGAGTGGTTCAGAGTGGTTTGGTGTGAAACGCTCTGTTCTAGATAAACTTGCTGAGTCAGAACTGTTCACAGTGGTGGTGATAGGAACCAGACGTCCACCTCTAAAAGCTCCCTCACAGAAAGTTACTACATGAAATGGTTATGAATTCACTGCCTGATGACTGAGACACTGTTTTATGATAGTTTTGTCTTAAAATTGTGCCTAAAAATGTCCATATTTGTGTTGTAGACATCGTGGCTCCTGGTTCCTATCACCACCACTGTAAAGAATTCTGAGGCAGTAAGTTACTCTACAATGAACACATCAATGTGAATTTCACATCAAACGACTCTAAATGACTTTGTTTGCATCTAAACCCTTTAATCACATAGAACTTTTTAAAAAAGTGTTCCCCTTTAAAGCTATATTATGTGGGTTTTTATCCTCTCCGTCCTTTTGTCTCTCATTATTCTGCTGCTGCATTAAAACACTACTTCAGCTCTACATCACGGTTACAGTGTTGTGTGTATTTTCAGTGTTTATTAATCTGCAGTTGCTTCAGTGTTTCTCGTCCACATTCAGGCTGAGAGTTACTGACCTCAGCATTTCTCTCAGACTGTTTTCTGCTCCACTGTTCTTCAGGTGCAGTAAAGTGCCGAGTTATCAGTAAAGTGTTTATTTATGTAGCACCTTTCATACATTAAGATGCAGCTCAAAGTAAACACAACAGAGCAAACTGTAACTGGAGTTTTCAGTGTGAACATTTCTCTGTTCTGTGAAATATTAACACCATGAGCAGCTGAAAAAGGGCCAAACGTTCAACTGATCCTTAATAATAATAATAATAATAATAATAATAATAATCGGGGTTGTATTTGAGGCTGAATAATGATCGGCGTGTTAAAGGGTTAATGGCGTGTCCAGTTTTTTTTAGGAATAACAATAAAGAAAATAAAGACCACCTGGTCTCAAAATTACAGTGAAATCATTACAGTTCTGCTGTCATTAGGGCTCTTTTTATCTCCAGCAGCGGTGAATTAGTCTAAATCCGACATCTAATAACTCTGATATGATCTTTGTACTACATTCCCTGAACACTGGGTGGCGGTGTTGCTGCATGTTGGACACAGACAGAGAAAAAGTTTACTGGAGTTTATTTAGAGTTTAACAGTGAGGCTTTAGTGACGCTGCGCTCACTAAAATTATGGTTGTTTATGGGTTCTTTAGTGAAGAAAACAGTTCTGTATAGAACCATAAACACTCAAAGAACCCTTTGCATAATTTGTGGGTTCTTTCCATGGTGAAATGGCTCTTCAGATTAATGGAGAATGTATTGTGTATGGTTCTATGTATAACCTTTTTGAAAAGGGTTCTATGCAGCACCCAAAAGCGTTCTTCTACTGTAGTAAGCTTATTAACACATAACACTTACCGAACCCGTTTTGATGCTAAATAGAACCATATACAACACATTCTCCATCAATCTGAAGAACCATTTCACCATGCAGAGAACCCTTTAATCACGCAAGGTTCTTTGAGTGTTCATGGTTCTGCACAGAACCATTTTCTTTACTAAAGAACCCTTGAAGAACCGTCTTTGTTAAGAGTGTAGGCGAGTAAATGAGCTTATTTAAAGCACACAGACTCGCGCGAGACGTCACTTAACTTTTAAACCTGCAGCTCTCGAGTTCTCGTGCCTCCTACCGCCGCACTGATGACGTCACCTGGGTGCGTGTCAGAGGAGAACCACAGGATCCGGCGCTCTGAAGCCTGCGGTGCCCCTCAAATCAACACCCTGCAGGTCTGCAGGCTGAGACGCCTCGAGGGTTTAAACAGGTGCGTTTGGGGCTCGAGGCTCTGCATGCGCCACACGCGCCATATTGATGGACACTTTTAAGGGCGCGTATAGAGGGCGCTGCTTAGCAACCCGTTAAAATGAGAATGAAAAAATGCTGGTTCGGCTGGTCAGACTCTTGGTCACGCTGGTTGGTCAGAATACCAGCATCAAAACTTAACATATACTGGTTTTCTAGCAGGGTGGGGACACCGTACCGCAGGACGAGGGAGTGCACCGTTCAGGGCTCGGCTTTTGTCGTCTATCAGAAATTGTAAACATCATCAACCTGTGGAGAGATCAGGGGGCTCGAGGTTAAAGGGGGAGTTCAGGACTCCTGTGGCAGCGAAACTCTGTGTGACCTGAACCAGCGAAGGGCGTTTATCAGTCATGCTCCATTTTCAAAATGAGCTCATTTTCTGTTTTTTTTTACAGCGTTTAGTCCACAATCATATGTTATTCATATTTAACTGTATTTTATGGTTATTCAGTCAAACTCCTGCTAAAGGGGTTTATTTTATTAATGTTTGGTTCCTCTGATGGAAACAGTGGCAGAAAGGAACAGTAAAGGTACCGAGGAGAACAGAGGACAGAACATCAGAGTAGCTTTTAGCATTGCAGAGATTTGTAAAACTGCTGAGTTAGCTTAGCATCTGCTGGAGCTTCTTCCAAAAAATACTTCCACACCGAAACACAGAGCGCCAAACACAGAACAAACCAGCATGAATTCCATACTGGTTTATGCTGGTAACCTAGCATGGTCATACTGGTTGACCAGCATACCAACATCAAAACACAACGTATGCTGGTTTTGCTGGTGACCGGCCGTGCTGACCTATGCTGGTTTTCGCTTATATTAGCCAGCACAGTGGTGTTACACTCTAGACTGGTCTGCTTGGTGTCGTTAGTTATGTTAGCGATAGCTGTATCTAGCTGGGTTGTGTGTCATTGTGTGTTTGTCGTTTCTGAAAGCGTCGCTAATCCTGCGCTTCCTCTCAGTGCAGGTGTGGATCTCTGACGAGGAATCAGGTGTTTAAGGAAGTTACGATGAACATCAGCTGCAGCTGCTTCAGCACTAAAATTAAGCTGTCAGTCAGCACATTTACTCTCTCAGCTCTGTGGAATGTTTATAATACAGTAATTACACACTCAGCGCAGTGAGTCACTCAGACCTGTTACAGCTGGTCGGACTGACGTAGAGAAACTACAGCAGAGAGTGTGTGTGTGTGTGTGTGTGTTAATGGGTGAAACTGTAGATAAAAGACAGAAACGCTATTACACCTGCCGCCCCCAGGGGTCAGTCCTGAGCCCCCTCTTCATTATCCACAGGTTCTCCCTCAGTCAGATTATTCTTCCATGGTCTTCATTTTCATTGTTACATTTGCTAGATCTACTCTGATCTACTCTGATCTGCCGAGTTTAGCTCCACCCCTAATTTAACACACCTGATCCAGGTAACGAAGGCCTTCAGGAGAACCTATACAGAGCCAAGTGTGCTGGATCTGGGCTCTCTGTGGTGGTAGATCTCCAGGAGCAGGATTGGGCATTTCTGGCCGACACCAGCCACGTTTACATGCAGCCTGATAATCTGTTAATAATAATAACAGCTCAATGGGAATAAAATACGCCCGACCTCAGTCTGAATAGTCTAGTCTGATTGAGGCCATTCAAAATACAGTTTCTATCTGATTGATCGAGGTGGGTAATCCTGTAAATAATCTCTTAAGAAGAAGAATAATATTCATCTAAACATCTGTATCTGATTACATTCCCAGTCTGAAAGTTCGAGGCCGTTCTGCGCGTGTGTGTTTGTGTCATAACAGAGGGTTCTAACATGGCGGCAGCAGAAACTGATCTGCAGAGGGGAAGTTTGTGTGTCTAACTGTAAAAGACTTAAAAACTCAGTAACTCACAGCGGTTCATGTCACTCTGACTGGACTGATGCTGGTTGTCATGGTAACGTCTACTCCTCACACTAAGGCGTGTTTATTGTCCGGATCGTTTTGGATAAACTTCGGATTCTGTTTGCACTTTTCGCTAAAATGTGAGCAGGTGATCCGATTTTACCTCACTGTGTAAAAAGTGCTTCAACACGAGCGCCGTCTCTGTTCCACTCTCCCTCTTCTTACGGTTCGAGTGGCCGAGCTCGGCTTGGGCTCTTTAATCGGCCGCAGTGAGAGGAGCTGCTGGTCTGCGGAGCTCCTGCCTCGCGTTTCCTCATCTTTCAGCTCTCTGTTTATTCTCTCTCCCGCTGTTCAGAGCTCAGCAGATTCACTTCAGCTCACAGAATTACACACGGATGACGGAAACACATTCCGTTCCGTCTCTGATCCCGAACGTGGTTTGAGTGATCCGATCGGAATCCGGTCACAGCGCCTCCAGTGTGTATTTATTCCTGGATTTCCATGCAGTGAAATCCGAACAAGATCTGATCACCGAAAACAAGTTTTATCGTACTCTGCCAATCGGACATTAAAAAACAGATCCGGTCCTTAACTCTGATTGGCTGAGCCAAGTTTGAAGCTGATATACACACTGACCACATCACAACAACTGAGCTCTGTATCACTGCGCCACATCACGAAAACCCTTCTGCTGTTAATGGAATATTTTTTGACTCTGCTGCTGCTCGCACGGAGCACCGAGTGTACTGAAGAAGTAAGAACCTGGGTCTGTTTAAACTGAGGGGCTGGCAGTTTATTTTCTTATCTAGAACCAGGCTGGTCAGCAGGCTAACAGGCTAAAAGAGCCAACAGCCTGAACAGCTCCATCTTTAATATCACAGGCTTGAATTAAAGCTCTTACAGTGTGATTAACTGTAAAACTGCAGAATAAACGTCAAAAATGTCACATTTTGACACACTTCAAACGTCTGTGTTTCAGTCAAACTCAGGCTGAATCCCAAACGGCTCTGTACTCCCTAAATAGTGTTCTAGCTATGAAAGTTGAGTAATTCTCGCCTCTACAGCCAAACAGTGCATCATGTATCGAATGTGGATGAGTCTGAATCCCAAATGACTGTATTCTGCTCTGTTGGGCTGCAGGATCCAGTATTTAAACTCCTGTAGTGCACTATGTAGGGAGCAGAGAGCTGTTTGAGATTCAGCCCCAGTGTGAGAAGAGGAGCCGCTGGATTGGTGCTAAATAAGACTCGCAGTGGTGATTTGGTGACCAAAAGCGCTTAAAAAGCGAAGTGCTGTGTTATTATATGTTACACTTACACACACTCCACACACTCCACACACACACACACACACACACACTCCACACACTCCACACACACACACACACACACACACACACACTCCACACACTCACACACACTCACAGACACTCCACACACTCACACACACACATACACACTCCACACACTCACACACTCACACACTCCACACACTCACAGACACTCCACACACTCACACACACACACTCCACACACTCACACACTCCACACACTCACACTCCACACACTCACACACACTCCACACAGTTACACACACTCCACACACTCACACACACACACACTCCACACACTCACACACACTCCACACACTCACACACACTCCACACACTTACACACACTCCACACACTCACACTCACACACACTCCACACACTCCACACACTTACACACACTCCACACACTCACACACTCACACACACACTCTCACACACACACACACACACACTCCACACACTCCACACACACACACAAACACACACACACACGCTTTGACACACACACACACACACACACTCCACACGCTCATACACACACACATACACACACACTCTGACACACAAACACACACACTCACACACACACAGATGCTCTGCTGCTTCAGTCTCTCCCTCCCTCCCTCCCTCTCTCTCCCTCCCTCTCTCTCCCTCTCTGTCTCTCTCTCTATCTCTCTCTCTCTCTCTCTCTCTTGCTGTGTTTTCTGAAGCTCTTTATCAGAAAAACCTTCCCAGTGTTTTCAGCACATCAGCACCGAAACCTCCACACTGCAGGGATTAGGGATCAAGGGTTTAGGGTGTAGAGGCTTAACCCCTCACATGTCCAGGATCTGTCAGTGGGCCCAAAGTTTTATTACACACTTCTATAACCTAAGAATAAATCAGCCAGTTTACACTGAAGTCCCTGTAGTTGAGATTTTAAGGGGTTTAGGGTTTAAGATTAAGGTTTAGGGTGTAGGGTTTAGGGGTTGAGGATGAGGTTTAGTGTTTAGGATTTACAACTTAGATAGAGATAGATAGATAGATAGATAGATAGATAGATAGATAGATAGATGGTTAGATAGATAGATGGATAGATAGATAGATAGATAGATAGATAGATAGATAGATAGATGGATAGATAGATAGATAGATACTTTATTGATCCTGAAGGAAATTTAGCAGTCAGTGTCAGTCACACAACACAGGACAGTAATAATAATAAGTGATACAATATAAAAAGAAGAATATATATAATAAAGTCTATCTACAGGCATAAATACAACTAGAAATATACACAAATATGCAGTAAGATCTATAACCTGAGATAAAGAAGGCAATGTAATAATGAATGTAAATGTAATGAGGTTAAAGGTCAGAGTATTTCTGGATATTCAGGTTCAGTCGGGCTGATTCACTTGAGCGGTTCTCTGTAAAGATGAATAAACTGTGAAGTTTCCACAGAAAGATTTTTCCTCTGGATTCTGCTGAGTGTTGACAGGGAGGCGTGTGTAAACACGCTGAGGGGTTTCCACAGCGTTCAGAGCTGATTTCCTTCTCAGTTTCTCTGCAGCTTCAACGGCTTTAACCTGCTCTCCCTGTTCATCACTCAGACGCCTTCATTCTGCTCAGCTCCAGCCTTTAATCAGCTTTAATCAGCTTAATCAGCGTTAATCAGTCCTGAACCTCCATACAAACGTCACACTGTCACTGCAGAGAACAGCCGCAGTAAAACTGACAGTAACTCTACAAACAGCTCGAGAAGCTCAAACAGAGCAGCTCGGAAATCTGGGTAACTTTAGAACTTCTCAGAACCTCCAGCATCAAAACTCCAATAAGAAGCTGATGAATAAGAATCTCTGTAGGAGCCTGAAGTCTGTTAGAGTCTCTTGTTCTCTATTCGGATCAGTTCACTCTAAAATAATCGCTGAAGCTCCACAGTGAGAAGAGTGACCAGCACAGCAGAACGAACTAAACCCAGAACAGAGAATCAGGAACTAAATATTAATGACTAAAGTGGAGCTGAAACGGTTGATTACCGCACTCGCTGATATAATAACAGTAGGAGTTCAAACTCCTGACGGTGTGAGTCGAACTGAGTAACTCTGTGTGGATTTATAATCAGGAACCGAGTTTAATGATGAGCTTCATCACAGAGATCTAGAGCAGAGATAATTTCTTTGGAATTCCAGAGCAGAATTCCGACTCAGGCGTGGAATTATTTTGGAAAATTAAGAGATAATAAACAGATATTTGTGTTTCTCATTCAAAAAGAGCAGATCACACAGACTTAATAGAACAATTATTTATTTATACTTCACAGAAACAAACAAAACACATTACAGAGACATTCTGAACATTTTCTCAAAGATGTTTATTATTAATTATTCATTATTAATCAATTTCCTTCTAAAACAAGAAGCTCCAGTAAAGAACCATTAGAGCTGATCAGGTGATCATTTCTGTAACGATGAAGGAAATTCAGTTTGTGTTTTTCATGTAAACAATTAATTATTATTATTATTATTATTATTTCTGTTATAATTTAACAAAATCTTTCTCTGCTTAAGATTTAAAGTGAAAGTGTATAGAGACGTTTTCCCTTCACCAAAATCCACACAATTCCCAAAATCTGCCGAAGAATAAAACGTTTTTTGACTTGAAACCATAAAAAATACAGCAAACAAACATGTAAAGAAAAATAAATTACACAGTGTTTCATCTTTGGTTAAAAATAAGTTTCACAGCTTTTCTCTCTGTCACCAAAAGAGTTTATATTCATTTTAATATGAGGATCAGGGTAAGTGTGTAAAACATTAAAGCTCCTCCTTTATAAACTAAAGTACATTCAGTTCAGTGTTATAAACACTACACAACAGAACCACACAGTTCCTTTATAACACACACAATTCATGTTTTATATTTACATTATGAAAATAGCAGCCGTGTAATAAAATCAACGCAAACATTAAAATATAATAAATGAAAGTGTCTGAACATTTATGAATTGAATAATGGCTTTGAAAAAACAGGTAAACATTCACCTCCATCATCTGTTTTCTATCTGTCCATCTTTCCATCATCTGACTGTCCGAACATCAGCGGAGGAAAAATGACCAACTCCGCCATCACTCAGCAGGAGAGCGGCCAGCAGGGGGTGCCAACGGACAACTTCTCAGTTCCTCACTATCCCTATGTCTCTCTCTCTCTCTCTCTCTCTCTCTTGGAAGGCAGTGTTATGTCTGGTCTGGTTCCCTGAAGCTGGAGAACCGTCTGCAGCAGGACTGCTGGGGAACGTCTGACAGCAGAAATGCTGAGACATCTGAAAACATCTTTACAGGCGTTTATTTGTGGGTTTTTACACGGAGGTCATGCTGTGGTGAATCAGGGCCGCGCTGTTGCCGTTCGGTGAGGTCGGCACCGCCAGCTGCGTCCACTCCGCCATCTGTACCTGCTGCACCCACTGTACCCGCCATGCCCACTCTGCTATCTGTGCCCGCTGTACCTGCCGTGCCCACTCTGCCAGCTGTGCCTGTTGGTCCAGCTGTGGGCTCTGGGGGGCGCTCTGGGGGGTGCTCAGGTGGGCGGAGAGCGTCTGCAGCTGCTGGAGGTTAGCGAGGGACTTCAGCAGAGTGTTTTCTCGCCGCAGCTCAGAGTTTCTCTCCCAGAGTTCCTTAATCCGCTCCTTCAGCACCTCCACCTCCTCCCTCACCGCCAGCATAAGGTGACCCTTCACCAGGTCCTGCAGGAGGAACAGCAGCAGCAGAAGAAGAAGTTAGACTTCAGCTCACACAGTCTGCTCTGCACTCAGTTTAGGGGTCTCAGGGGAATCAAGTACAGGGGCCGTGGTGACTTGGGGAAATATGATTTAATCATGTCAGACAGACAGACGGACACTCACCATCGCCTGCTCTATTTTGTTGTCAATGGCCACAGCGCTGGCTCCACACACACTGTGAGAGGAAGAAGAAGAATCAGCCGCTCAGTTCAGTCAGTTCTGCAGTTTCTATATTATTAAACACATTCATAAATAAAAACACACAGCCTCTTCTGACTGGTCTGAAATGATGGTGTGTGTAGTTATACTTTGGATGAATATCTCTTTTGATAAAATGTAATGTAATGTAGTTATTGTATCAGTTCTATCAGTCCCGTGTGGCCAAAAGAAATTAAGTGATAAACTCCATATCCTTTATTTTTATTGAGATTTGTGCTGAAGAGTGAAAGATGTGATATTAACAGTCAAATCTTAAATCTGAAATACTGAAACAGCGTATTTTTAAATATTTCATGCAATAACTTTATGTGAGGGAGTTATTACATTAAATAAAGCTGTACGTTTCTCTAAGGTTTCTCTAAGTTGGTGGAGTTTCCCTTTAATTAGTGGAAACCTGCTCTTAACTCGGTGGAACACTGCTGTGTTTGTTAAGGGTGTTTGTATGAAGTGTAACTCACGGAAAGTTTATTTTAAAGTCTCCTAATTCGCTGCTCTGCACACTGCTCTGATTCTCTCAGTCTACGTGACTGGCCGCAGGTCAGCCAGCAAAACAGAACAGCTGGAGAGTTCTTCTCATTCCCACCCGTATTCGGGAAAGACCCCGCCCATCTGCGCTGAGATTGGCTGGAAAGTGAGCGATGAGCTCATACTGGCCAATGACAGTGCAGGATGGCGGGGCTTGTATGAATACGGGCGGGAACAACAGCGTTAGCCACCAGTGCTAACAACAAAAACACAAACAGCTGCACTCGTCAGATTTTACACAGAAAATACCTCGAATTTCACAAATTTAATGTGTTTAACGACTCAATGTGGGTCTAAAATACTGTTCTAACTAGTCAGATTTCAAAATCAGCCCTTTTTGTGAATCAAAGCTACACACGGCGCTTATAAGTTAACATTAGCCAGCAGATTCAAAATGGAAAAGTAGTAAAAAAAGAAATAAAAACTAAGAAACGCTTAAAAAGTGGGATAAACAGAAATAAAACAAAAGCAGAAAGAAATCGGTAACAGCTTAAAGCTCTAGTTCATTCATAAAGATTCGCATGTGACATTTTAAAGCTGAAACCAGCTTCTTGTCCCGTTCCACCTTAAATGGTGCAGCAGTTACGTTCTGGCGCCTCAGGCACCATTTAAGGTGGAACGGGACAGTTCGAACAAGAAGCTGATTTCAGCTTCGTACGTTGAGCATTTAAACCGAGGAGAGGAGTCAGTGTTTTGGTCACACGGGACAGATTTACAACAAATTAAGTTACAAAAAAAAATTGAGCAAGAAGCTTCAGCATCTTCAGTCAGTGAGTTCTGAGCGGTTCTGTGAGGTTTAGATTAAAATACTGAATCGGTACTGAATAAATCGTGCTTACCTGCTGCAAGTCTGTTTGCTGGTGCTGGCCGCGTGGAGCTCAGCAGGTCTGCAGGTCAGAGAGCAGCGCATCTTTAATCCTCACACAGAAACAGAAGCTCCTCAGAAAGAGTCTGAGCGGAGCCGCGGAGCGCGCTGCTTTTATAGAGCGCGAAGACAGCGCCCCCCGCAGGACGATCACAGATCACACCGCAGACAAACTGCCGCGGAGTTTATAGTTAGTCTTCCTCAGAAATCTGTTCATCTCCTCTCCTCTCCTCTCCTCACTCTCACTGAGGAACCTTCCCCTCCTCACAGCCCGCGGATATCATTCCGCGAGAATCCGGGACCCTCTAAGAAACAAACATTTACATTTACATTTACATTTACATCATTTAGCAGACGCTCTTATCCAGAGCGACTTACAAAAAGCGCACACTCAATCACGTGCGCATGAAGGAACAGGCAAGCATGCACGCGCTCTCGCCCACACACAGCCATGAGCGCACGTAGAGTGCATAGACGCGCGCGAGGAGCTCTGAGATAACGTGGAAACGTAAATACTGTCAGATCTGATGACTGAACAGGTGCGATTATTTATTCACACGAAGAGAGATTCTGATCAGACTGAACAACCCAGGCTTATAATCATTATTATTATTATTATTATTATTAATAATAAAGTACACACTTTAAAAGAAGGGTTTTATATAGAACCATTTGCTTAAATGGTTCTTTGCATGGTGAAGTTGTTCTTCAGATTGAGAGAGATACTGTCTGTGTGTGTGTGTGTGTGTGTGTGTGTGTGTGTGTTGAAAAGGGGCCAGTAAACTAACACTACACTGAACCTGTTTGGTGCAGTGTGTGTGTTCGGGTCATGTTAAGACCTGCTGAGTGACACTCACACACTGTCTCACACACACTCACACACACACAGTTTATTTCAGTGTGTTCTATATAGGTGGAGCTGTACAGATCACTCTCACCCACTCACACACACTCAATATAAAATAAGCTGTAAACTGAGTTATTTTTGTGAATCAGAGTTATGAGCGCAGAGAGATTCAGTAAACAGAGCGACTCTGATCTGTTACATCACCATCACTCAGGAAGAGGTCACTGCAGGTCACTGTGGGGTCAGCACAGCACAGAGTCTGAGTGTGTCAGTAGCTGTGTCCCAATTCAGGGGCTGCATCCTTTGGAGGCCAATTGCGTCCATGGCAACGAAGGAACCAACGGGTTCACTGTGCGCCAGTGAGGATTCGAGAACATGCCGGTATCAGCAGAGGAGCGAACGGCGGCTGAGGAGACTCTTTTAAACCGAGTCGAATAGCGAACGATACATATGTTAAAAAAAGCCGATGTGGTCTGAAGCAAAACCTTCGCTAATGTTTCGTTTTGTTTTAGGGAGACAGACAGACGCAGCTCCAGCTCTAATAAATGAAAAAATAAAAACTAAAATCAAAGTTTCTCCGTCTTTAAAAAACTAAAATAACTCGACAGAGTGACGTTCCGTGATGCAACAGTAAGGGTGGGGACAGCGGTGCTGTGACACAAACAGGAAACCTGCCGCAGAGCAGACCGTCTCATTTTGGTTCAGCGTTCTCTGCTCTATGCAGCCTTCGGACGACATGCCTTCAAAAACTGGCCTTGAACTGGGACACGGCTACTGAGTGAAGCTGTGAAGGAGGCGGCGGAGGTGACTGCGCGCTGTGGATGCATAACGCTGCTGAAATAAGAACAGAATAGATCCTGTTAATGTCATTAGCATTAGCGTTAGCTGGCCTTTCACTCCTGACTGTAGGAGGCTAGCCAAGCTGCGCTAGCTCCTAGAATATGCTGTCACTCACCGAGATGGAGCTTAGAGTCACACTGATGAACAATCAACACTTCCCTTCTGCATTTTTAAGGACAACTAAAGAATTAGAACACTGAAGAACCCTTGAAGAACCATCTTCAGCCATTCTGCAGATATCTGCTGTAGAGCGGTGATGGATAGCCTAGCCTTAGCTGCAATGCTAAGCTAAGCGCATTTGTATTGAATATAGTCGTCGTACTTGCTGTACTTAAACTCTGTAAGTGTTTCAGTGACGCTCCTATTTTAGTGTTAGGTTTTGTTTGGAGAAAAAAGGGTTAAATTTTAAAAACACCCAACAGAAAATTATCCAATCAGGATTGTTCTCTCTGTGATATCTAGGCAGATACAGCAGAGCTGCTCTCTCATTGGTTAGGACTTCAGAAGCTGGACTGAAGACCTTACATGTCAGTTTAACTACCAACATAATCAGGAAGTGACAGTAGAACCAACCAATCATGCTCTGATTTGGGACCAATTAGAAAAAAACAGCAATCTGGTCCTTCTAGAGGTTCTAGATAACTGACTGTAAATATGAGTCGTAGTGTAAGCAGTGTTTCGGGTAGTTGTTATGAATGTAAAATAGTGGCAGCAGCTCTATGGCAGACCTGTTTACTGAGAGAGTCACTGTAACAGAGAAAGAGAGAAAGAGAGAATCTGTGTGTGTGTTTGTGTGTGTGTGTGTGTGTGTTTGTGTGTTTGTGTGTGTGTTTGTGTGTGAGTGTGTGTGTTTGTGTGTGTTTGTGTGTGTGAGTGTGTGTGTGTGTGTGTTTGTGTGTGTTTGTGTGTGTTTGTGTGTGTGTGTGTTTGTGTGTGAGTGTGTGTGTTTGTGTGTGTTTGTGTGTGTGTGTGTGTGTTTGTATGTGTGTGTGTGTGTTTGTATGTGTGTGTGCGTGTGTGTGAGTGTGTGTGTTTGTGTGTGAGTGTGTGTGTTTGTGTGTGTTTGAGTGTGTTTGTATGTGTGTGTTTGAGTGTGTGTGTGTGAGTGTGTGTGTTTGTGTGTGTTTGTGTGTGTGAGTGTGTGTGTTTGTACGTGTGTGTGTGTGTGAGTGTGTGTGTTTGTGTGTGTTTGTGTGTGTGAGTGTGTGTGTTCGGGTTGTGTTAAGACTCGCAGAGTGACACACTCATATACACTCTCACACACTTACACACACTCAATATAAAATAAGCTGTAAACTGAGTTATTTTTGTGAATCAGAGTCATGAGCGCAGAGAGATTCAGTAAATAGAGCGACTCCGATCTGTTACATCACCATCACTCAGGGAGAGGTCACTGCAGGTCACTGTGGGGTCAGCACAGCACAGAGTCTGAGTGTGAGTGTGTTTGTGTGTTTGTTCCACCAAACAACTGAAAAAACAAAATTCCACAGAGTTCTTAGTGAAGTTTCCTCAGCTGTGTTTTGTTGTATCAGAATTTTCTGAAGATTCTTCAAACAGCGGGACATTCACACACACACACACACACACACACACACAAACACACACACACACACAAACACACACACACACACATTCACACACACACACAGATTCTCTCTTTCTCTCTTTCTCTGTTACAGTGACTCTCTCAGTAAACAGGTCTGCCATAGAGCTGCTGCCACTATTTTACATTCATAACAACTACCCGAAACACTGCTTACACTACAACTCATATTTACAGTCAGTTATCTAGAACCTCTAGAAGGACCAGATTGCTATTTTTTTCTAATTGGTCACACACACACACACATTCTCATGTTATACAGGAATGAGGCCGGAGAATCAGTTTATCTGAGCAGTTCTCTGATCTCTGTGTCCTTTTAAACTCTTATTCCATCATAAAGATTATTACTCAGTAATTACACATAAATCAGCCTGAACTGCGAAACTGTAAAACGCTGTAAACGTTTCCTAAATAACCAGAAAATGAGGTTTTCCGTGATTAGGAACACTGAGCAGACTCCCAGCAGCGCATCTTGAGAGGATTAGAGGGAAAACTGACACACAGCTGGAAACTCAATTGCGCTAGTGTTGCATGGGTCCTGAAGGGGGCGCCTCGCGCTGTGAAGTCAGACTGTGCTGGAGTGAACATAGACGACAATAATCGAACTCTTCTCTTAAACAGGTCTGAGCTCAGTCAGGCTGTTTTGTGTGTTATGTAAACAGTTCTGAGTCCAGAGAAGATCCAGAACTTCAGGCCAAACCCCCCCCGAACTGAGACGAGCCAGCTGAACAGAATGTCCCAGAATTCCTCAGTTTAATCTGATAACGAGCCAAAGCTGAGAGAGAGCTTTAATCCACTCAGACTCGGTGAATGTTTGGCTTCTGATTCAGAACTTTTTATGACTGATAATTAAAACCGATCTTATAATTCAGTTAAACTATTAAAACTGAGTATAAAACACACTTTTAACTGCAGAGTAAAGATGGAGGAGCAGCGTTTAGATACTGAAATGAATCCAGCTGAAAGAACGAATCAGAAGAGCCCGACACAAAATAGTCAAAAAATGTGTTTGTTAAATATATTTTAGATGTGTTTATCAGTATTAGTTATTATCTGTGTTCAGTTGAGTGTAATGAAGGTTCCAGATGTAACTAAACGTACTGACTTCTGTGATCTGCACTGTGCTCTACATTAACCATGTACGTCTGCAGTCAGACTCTCACACACAATGTATTTCACATAAACAAGATATCAGATCATAACTGCATTTTCACAGAGTATCAATACCCACAACACTCGCTTCTGTCCTGATAAAGGATCATTTGATCAGATTTAAAATGAAGATACTGGAACACAAATTCATCTCTAAAGGTATCAGACAGTGAAGAGCATCAGACAGGATTATGTAGGATTTTCATACGTTTTCAAATGGATTTGATAAACATTTACATACATTTATTTTTGTCTATGTGTAATATTTCCACATACATTTTAAAATATATTTAAATATATTAGGTTAATATTTGGTTGATATGGCAATACATTCTGAAATACATTTTAGTGTTGGAAATGTATTTCAAATATTTTTCAGTTTAATCTTTAAATTGATTTTAATTTAACGTTTAGTTCCTTCTCTTTTAAATCTGTTGTTTTAATCATGTTTTTATTCTCCTTTGTCTTTTTAATGTTCATTTGAATTGTATTTGTATTTTCTCTGTAAAGCTCTGAATGAGCTCAGCGTATAATTAAATGTGCCTGAAGGAGCCGCTACAGCTGGAACTTCTATATTTCCATATAAAATACTGAAACGAGTCAGGCTGTGTTCTCAACAACCAAACCAGGACTTACTCATCCTTTTACTAAAAAAACCTCCTGAATTTGAATAAATGTGAGCTGGATCTAAAAGCCCAGAGGCTGCATAGACTTAAAAGACCAGCCGACACTCAGACTGAGCGCTGAGGAGCGTCGGAGCTTCAGGACGAGAGAAGATTCTGGATCACAGTGTTCAGTTCCATCTGAGTTACAGTCACAGTAATAACTGATCTAAATCAACACAAACTGCACAGAAAACACGACAGGACACTTTTAATAATCACAGTTTGAAAAACGGAGCTAAACAGGTCATTTTTACTGAGCAGTTCAGCTGTGAAAACTACAGAGTTTAAAAACGTCTTTACGCTGCGATGCTACGAGCTAACCGGCTTAAAACCCAGCATTAATAAACCCACATAATACACATTGATACACATCAATATTACACAATAATAACACATCAATAACACATATTAATACACATTAATAACACATTAATACACATCACCAGTTAAAAACGCAGTCAGTCTGTAAATTGGCGTATGACGCGGCCGAGATCAAGACCAAACGTGAAGATTCTCTGTTCTGGTGCAGTTAGCATGCTAGCTAGCGCTCCACACATCAGCTGTTAAACATGAGAGTAAACACATCATTGTTACTGAGAGGAGATCGGAGTTTTAAGGCTGTGTCAGAGAGAGTTTCGAGGTCTGTGAGCTGAATCAGGGAGCATCTGTGTGAGCGGAGCCGAGTTTCAGTCAAACAGTGTAGAGAACTTGCACAGCAGCATTTAGCCAAACAGCTAACCGAGCAGTTAGCCAGCAGGTTCATTTAGGAGAAACATTTACAGGTTTGTGCTTCGACTCTAAAAAGCTAAAATTAGAATTTCTTCTGTTTTGGAGGTTCAGTGCTGCTACGTGAAGCTCCGCCCGTTCAGAGGTCAACAAACAGAAGTCAACACACAAAGGTCAACTTTCAGCTGTCAAAGTTATTAAAGCAGAATTAAACACAAAGTTCAACCCAAAATGTTTTCAGTGTAAAGTCTGTGATGTAATAATCATCCAGCTGCACTGAAACAAATGAATGTTTATTGGATTATCAGTTAATTTGGATCCCAGTTAGTGAAACGCAGCAGCTGCTCTTCCTGCAGTTTACAGAAACAGAAACATTAATTTAAATAGCACACAAAATTACACACAGAATGTTATATGATTTTACGAATTGCAGTTGTGTTTACAGTAATAGAGATATTTGAACTTAATATGCATAAACTATAAATCACAACAAATATTTCTATCATTTATCAAACTGACTAATAATAATAAGTCATAATTAGTGTGTTTTAATATGTAATTCGCTTGTTTTTAAAAGTTAATTCTCTAATAAAAACAGACAGGATGTAATTTTACTCTGATACACAGTTTGAGTGACTTACCTACATTTTTCCACACTGACACACCTACAGCTGATTGATGTGCTGATCTGACCTGAGGACATTCAAACCAGACTCAAATCAGCTAACGAGGCCGTCACTCGGAGTTCCAGCAGGAAAACGGCTGTGTGTGTAAAACGTGATGGATGTGCAGCTGCAGTAACATTAAAGCCTTTTCTGCTCATTTTCATGATTTTGTTCTCTCATCTGTGGTTTTGCGTTGGTTTTATTCTGCACTGGCAGAGAAAGACAGCTGTTTTTTTCTGTTGAGAGATTTTTTAAATCACTTTTTTCTGCCTTTTTTCTGTTCGATTTGTGGTGGGCGGGGCTAAATTTGGAACAGGTGACATCAGACTTGCCAAAGTACCAACAGAGACGTTATGAAAGAGGAGCATATTGACTGATATTAAAATATCAATCGGGAAGCTCATTACTCTCAACATGGTGTCTGTTTCTGTAGAAAGTCCCACTGTTCGGTAAAAAGAGCCAATCAGCTCGCTGGTTATGCCGCGAGTGGAGAGGTGTCGATGATAGAGAGAGAGAGAGAGAGAAAGAGAGAGAGAGAGAGTGAGGGAGGGAGAGAGAGAGAGAGAGAGAGAGAGAGAGAGAGAGAGAGAGTGAGGGAGAGAGAGAGACAGAGAGAGATGTTTGAGTGGTTTAGGTAGAAACTTTCTGAAGCAAAAACAAAAATTCAAATTCCTCTTTTTCTGCACAAATCAGCTCCTAATTTTACTATAATTTGAATTGCCTGCACTAAAAGGAAAAGATGTAACAGATCGGTTTCCTTTAGGAGCCTCACTGAAGACCAAAGGCTGCATATATACACACGTTATTTTATCATCATCACCATCATCACCACCATCATCATCATCACCACCATCATCATCATCACCACCAACAATCATCATCACCACCACCATCATCATCATCATCACCATCATCATCATCACCATCACCACCACCATCATCATCATCACCACCATCACCACCACCATCATCATCATCATCATCATCACCATCATCATCACCATCATCATCATCATCACCATCACCATCATCATCACCACCACCATCATCATCATCATCACCATCATCATCACCACCATCATCACCATCACCATCATCCTAATCACTATCATCATCATCACCATCATCACCACCATCATCATCACCATCATCATCATCATCACCATCATCATCATCATCACCATCATCATCATCACCATCATCATCATCATCATCACCACCATCATCATCACCATCACCATCATCACCATCATCATCATCACCATCACCATCATCATCATCATCATCATCATCATCAGAGCTCATGGCTGAAGCCCATTGGTCAGTCCATTTCTAAATAATGTCAAGTAAAGTTCAATACTGATCACCTAAAAATGCAGAAAATTCCAGAAAAGCAGAAACACCTGCTCCCAATCCAGCAGCTCTCCAAGAGACAATCTGGGAAAATTTAAAAATAACTTTATAATCATTCCGCAGAAAATTCCAGAACCAGAACAGATCTAATCATGTTTACATAACATAACTGCAAAAAAGTGAATAAAGCTGTCAGCCCCACCCCCACACCGCTGCCACACACACACACATACTGACACACACACACACACATACACACACTGACACACACACACACACACACACATACTCTCTCACACACACACACACACATACTGACACACACACACACTCACACACAGATTCTCCAGAAGACTCATCTGACTGAGCGAATTCCGTTGTAGGAACTTTATCTGAATGATATCCATCTTTTGGCTCCTGAATCGGAATCTGTGTCAAAAACACTCGGAGCGGAACGGAACACTGGAAAAATCTATAAAACTCAACCGGAGCTGAATTTCCGGAACAGTGTGCCAAATAACTGACTGTTTCTGTTGTCCTGAACTGAAGAACAAAGGAGCTCAGTGCTGAGGAGGAATATCAAACATGAAGAGCAGAACCGAACTAATTAAAGGATCTTTAAAACTGAACTAACACTGATTAATAATTCCATTAACCATTCGCCACATTTATATCTAATACACATTAATACAGATATTAGACCTGGAGTAACTCAGCAGAAGTGCTGTGACCTTGAGACTGAACATACAAACAAACAAACAAACAAACAAACAAATAAACAAATAAATAAAGGCCCTATGACAGACAGAAAGCTGGACAAATAATCATAAATCAGACTGAATTTAATTTGACAGTAAACTCAGAAAACACTTTGATGTCTGGAGTTTAGATTTCTGTGTAAATCTGAAAGATCTGCAGCTCAGAGACTCTAAACGACCCACATTGACCCGAATTACACTGAATCTTTTTACTTTTTCCCAGAGGCGGCAAAATTACTCTCCAGACAACTTCCGAGAACAAAACACACAGAACTCCAACAGTAACGATCAGACTGGAAAATCTGAGTGTTTTCACTCCAAACAGGACACGAGGAAGAAAAAGCCTGAGAGGTGGGTCTCTCAGTGCGGCCCACGGATAAACATTGACACACAATTCATTGATAATAATAATAATGATAATAACACTAATAGTTTAGATCAGTTCAGTCTGGAATCTGTGTATAAGACTGAATGTATGTATTTTGAGAATAAAGGGTCACAAAGGAGCTGAAGTTTTGGCCCCACTGTGTTTGTCCTCCAGTTCCCATCAGACTCTGACCTGTAAATGCTCACTCAGTTCAAGAAATCCTGTACCACACTGCCCCCTACAGCTCAGCACTGAGAACTGCACTCTACAGAGTGTGTGTGTGTGTGTGTGTGTGTGTGTGTGTGTGTGTGTGTGTTTCATTTTAACACGTGACCTTTATTAAAGAATAATTTTAAAGAGAATTTAAAACAATTTCCGGTTTTCTATTTTCACTTTTCTGTCTGTTTGTCCTTCTTCACTGTCTGTAAGGAATGAAGTGCTGCAGTGAAACAGCCTGAACTCCTCATTAGCGCTGCTTCACTGCTCAGTGGTTTATTTAACCCATCAGTGATAAACGTGTTACAGGTAAATATCAGACACTAAGTGGGAATTTGGGTTGCCAGAAGTTCCGTTTTGGACCGGACAGTCCGGTTATTGAGTCTGTTTGGTGTCCTTTAAAGTATTTTAGTTGGTGAAGTTGAGTAGCCCACTGCACCTCTCTCTCTCTCTCTCTCTCTCTCTCTCTCTCTCTCTCTCTCTCTCTCTCTCTCTCTCTCTCTCTCTCTCTCTCTCTCTCTCTCTCTCTCTCTCTCTCTCTCTCTCTCTCTCTCTCTCTCTCTCGTGGTGGCTGTGTGGTCCTGCACACTGTTCAGTGCAGCAGCGGGACGCAGCCGGTCGGAGGAGCAGAGCGCGGTGAGTCTGACCCGCAGCTGAGGCTCCATCAGAGCCGCTTCCACAGAGCGGCTGATCCGCTTCAGCTCCCAGAGCCGAACTCAGACAATAAATAATCAGACATTTTATGTCTGTTTTAATAACCTGATCATAAACGCCGCGCGAGCGGCGGAACAGACTCTCTGACTCCGCCCATCACGACCCGCATGACCCGCCGCGCAGGCGCAGTGCGTTCCAGCCCAGTCTGTGATTGGGGCGGTGCGCGTGCGCTTGATCTGCTGAGACTCTGAAAGTTTGTATTTATTTTGATCCGCTGCTGCAGGTATAGATTATAGATTATAGATTATAGGTTATAGCCTCTGTGAAGGGGAGTTATAATGTCCTCCTGGCAGATTTATGTGGATCATCTGATGTCCGACGGCGCGTGCCAGGACTCCGCCATTGTGGGCTATAACTCGGACTCTAAGTACGTCTGGGCGGCGCACGAGGGGGGCGCGTTCAACAACATCACGGTAAAGAGCCGGGCACGTGGAGGGGGGCGGGTGTTGGGGGCACTGGGTACACAGCGGGGGGCACTGAGGAGATTTGGGGGGTTTAATCACTGAAAACAGCCTGTTTCTTACTTGAATTGCCCCGTTCCACCTTAAATGTACTCTAATGTAACTGCTGCACCATTTAAGGTGGAACGGGAAAATTCGAACAACCCTCGTAATCACACAGAAGCTCTCCGCTCCGCTTTAAACCCGGGCAGTCCTTTCTGTGTTGGTTTACTTTGTTTACCTGCAGCGCCATTTTTAGGCTGTTCAGCTTCACCGCTGTTGGCCGGTTAGCCGGGGGGTGGGGGGTGATTAGTTTTGCTCTGTATCTGAGTTTCAGCTGATGTTAAAGATTTTAAACAGTCAGTTCAGTCATTCAGTATCAGCTGAGGGCGGATTCAGACCTGCCGAGGTTACTGAAGGACACGAAGCGTTATGTTACCCTTAAATTTAATCTTAATCCTAATCTTAACCTTTATCCTCATGTTAAGCCCCGCTGAGTTTCCGCTGTTATTCAGTGTTCAGGGTTTCTGTTTAACTCTGTGTTTAATATCTGTGAATGTGCTTTATAATCATCTTTTCTGGATGTTGTAGAAACTTTAAAGAACCTGTTTTCACATATTTAATTCTTTAACACGCGCGTGGTTTTATGTACAAAAACAATCATAATTCATTTCCATTTTTTATTCCTTAGAATATACAGGCGGTTTATATGTAAATGAGTTCTGATATATGTACTGCTGTGGGTTGAATGGGCGGGGCTAACCTGCTGTGGGTTGAATGAAAAAGTGAAAAATCCAGTTTTCTAAGATGCTTATCCTTCTGGGTTGCGGGGAGTTTTTAATCTATAAATCCAGTTTATTAATATCAAGGTGTTTTATTAATCTGTGATTGTTCGCGCTGCCCGACTCTCCTTTAACTCTCGGCCGCAGCGTAAACATTCAGATTAACTCTGAACAGAAGCTGCGTTTTTCCTCTCAGATCAACACTGAAAATCACTTCCGGCAAAAGAGTGAAGATTTTCACTCTGAGTTTCTGAGTTTTGTTTCTTTCTCTGCGTTAAGGACTTTTTTTCAGACTTTTCAGACTTTTCAGTCTTTTTTGTCACTCACAACACGACAAACAGCGACGATGTCAAATCCAGAGTGATGCAGTGCTGGGATTCAACAAGAGCATGATTATGAAGAGAGTTCTGAAGAGTTTGGAGGGGAGATGATGCTCCTCCATCTCTCTTGCATCCGCGTTTGAAATCCAACATTTAAATCTGATCTAATCACTCAGACATAACAGAGCAGACAGTCGACTCAAAACATCTGATCTGAGAAACAAACCTGATTCACCTGCAGTCTGAACACAGCTTTACTCTCCGGAGGGAAATAAGCTAAACTCACGTTCTAGATATTAACGTTAGTAAACGTTTCGGTATCTCCGAGTTTTCCACGCAGCTGATGGCGAATTTCTCTCTGAAACGTCCTGTTTCTATGGAAACATGAACTGTAATTAATGTTTAAATGTTTATCAGTATGTTTCTTTTTTTCAGCCCACAGAGATCGACTTGCTGGTCGGGAAGGACAGAGAGAGTTTTTTCACTAACGGTTTGACTCTCGGCTCCAAGAAGTGTTCGGTGATCCGCGACAGTCTGCTGGTGGACAACGACTGGACGATGGACATCAGAACGAAGAGCCAATCAGGAGAGCCGACGTTCAACGTGTCTGTAGGCAAAGCGGGAAAAGGTAACTTAACGACTTTAATGAGTTTATGTTTTTGCTGATATTCATATTAATTTTCCAGATTTTAATTTGAATTTGTTTAGAAAAGTTCAGATTTTAAGGTAACGTGAGATTCACTGAACGGCTGATAAATTTGATCAGTAAAGCTGAACGTTTTTATTATTTTAATCTCTGCCATCTGACTTTAAACTTCCTGTTCATAGAACAGTTTCACAGAACAGCGCAGTAATGATTCATAACTCACATAATATTCAATAACCTGAAACCCATAATCAGTAATTCTTCTTGTTCATGTTTTTATTTTTCTGATTTCTGGTCAGTTCACTTTTTTCTCTTCACTATAAAAATGTCAAAAATATCTGATTAATGAGCAGAAAGTCAGAACTGTGAAGTGAATTAGGTGGAAAGTCTTTAATTTCTCTGTTAATTTATCTGCGTTTTTTTAAATGAATCTTTCAGGTTAAACGGTGGACGATTCTGAACCTCATTCTTAGACGGTAGAGTGAGAATCACATTAACCTCTCTCTCTCTACCAGTTAAGATGATCTGAACACTCGGATGTTTTAGGGAAACTGAACATTTTCAGGCAGATCAGATTATAATGTTCATTGTTTTTCCCCCAAAAGTGATTTACTGATATATTATGATATATTAGAATTAATTTTTCTATTTCTGTTTATTTAAGAGCTTCTGCTTCACTCAAATGTTCTAAATGTCAGTCGTATCGAGAACAGTCACTTGTTTATTTCTGTTTTCTTGTTTGTTGTTGTTTTTGTTCGTTTACTGTGATGATGAGATATTTCTCAGAAGTAAAACTCAGTACTTTATATCAAAATAATGAGATTCTGCTCAGAATTTTGTAAAAACTGAAGTTTTGGAGGAGAAACACACCTGAAGCTCCTCCCCCTCACAACTCACCTATAACTGATCCGCCTTCTGTTTATTGTGATTATTATGTTTCTCCTCTGTTCACTGAAGATTCAAACTAGTGATGCATCGATACCATTTCTTTCAGACTGAGTACGAATACATACTTTTTAGTACTCACTGATATTGAGTCTGATACCACACTGAGTACCTACTCAAAATGAAGTGTCTGTCAGTGTAAATGAGGGTAATGAACCTTAACAGTTAAATCATTAAACTGTAAGTTTTGTATGTTTGTAAAGTTAGCTGTAAGTAAAGTAGGTTTCATAGTTTTGATCCTCATCTGTCTCTTTCAGCAGCAGCGCAGTGACAGCAGGAATCACATCCGAGGCTGATGCATCCGAGGAGCTCACGCTTCCAGTTTTCTGTCCTGTTGGAGTTGTTTGATTGGCTGATTGAGCTGTAGCTGAATGTCCTGTAAAGCCAGACAGACACTGTGTGATGTTAGAGATCTTGTTCTTTGGTGACTCTCACTGTTCGTTTGAATAGACCATCGTGTTCAGACAAAGCTACGATTTATAGACTCACACTGTACGAAACGCTCCGTCTGACTGACCTGCTACGGGAAACGCAGCCTCTACAGACGCTCTGTCTACAGACCGTTATCAATAAAGCTGATTCACTCAGAATAACCGAGTACTGAGCAACACGCTGAGATGCTGAGCAGCGCTGCTAACACTGAGCACTGAAGCTAAAGCAGGCGCTGATGTTCACGGTAGGACAGTTCGGTCTCTCTACAGCCTGATTTACAGAAAAATCACTGTATTAATGTTTATATCTCGATATTCTACCCAGTCATTCAGAGTAAAGACTCATATACAGACTTTGGTAGGAAATGTGGACTTTTTCTCCTCCGTTTTGTTGGCCTGTGTGTCTCCACCCGTGTTGGGGAAGCGGTTGTGATTGTGTGTTTATAAACAGTCTATAATCTCTCAGTGTGTCCTGGTGGGAATCGGCCGAGGCGGAATGTCTGAAGTGAGCGACGGCTTTGTGTCCGACTGTGACGGGGTCAGTAACTCTTCTCTGTGTGATCAGATCCTCCTCCACTAGGTTTGTTAATTAGAGCAGCAGCTGCACTCGGCTTACGGCACACGGTATCAGCTGGTATCAGAATGTTGGTATCGGTGAATTTTTATGAGTAAATGAGCACAGAATCAGTATTGGTATTGATGCATCCCTCATTCAAACAGTTTCTTTTAATTCTGAAAAAGTTTCTATTTTTTTTTTTTTGTGGTTAAATTTCTAATTTATGATGTTCTCTGCGTCTCTCGCTCAAATCTTTCTGTTTTTACTCTGCACTAATCTGTCCTGCTGGTTCCTTGGGATCTTCTAACCTCTAAACGTTCCTCTTTTTTCTCTCTTTCCTTTCAGTCTTGGTTCTTGTAATGGGGAAGGAGGGGGTCCATGGAGGCGGACTGAATAAGAAGGCGTACTCGATGGCCAAATACTTGCGGGATTCAGGATTCTAGTTTAGTTTTCACATTTTGAGAGAAAACGAAAAACTTTCAGACGCAGAATCAGTTTTGGACACGTTTCTGGCAGCAGCGGACGATTAGTTTATTAACGGCCGTTTATTTTATTAACGTGTCGCTGTAGGAAGGTTTTCTTGTTTTTGTTGATATTTGTTCTGTTTTTTACTCCAGCATTGGTTCTAGTGATGGGTAAAGAGGGAATTCACGGCGGAACGCTGAACAAGAAGGCTTTCCACATGGCCGAGTACCTGCGCAAGGCCGGATACTGACCGCAATGCCGTCCACCCAGAAAACACTACATTCACAGTTCACACACACACACCCCTTCACTTTCCCTTTTGGTCCTTATTTACCCCCCGCTGGTCTGAACGCCAACGAAGAAATGGAGGAAAATTACAAACTAAAGAAGGAACACGTCAGTATTTGATTATCTGATCAATGATTTCAGTATTCTGTAATTTCTCCAGATTCTGTCTGAATGAGTTTCTTGTTCCTGTGTTTAATTTCATCGTCTTCCTGTTTGTTTATCTCTGAATGATTGTAAACGTGATTATACTGAAGCTCCGCCCATCTGAGTTTTGGGATAAATCGTCCAATGAGGTTTCGTTCCTGTAAAGTTTTCTTTAAACAACCAGCTCCAGTTTTATTTCTCCTTTTTTAGGTTCTGTAGTTCAGGCCGGCTGGAGAGTCACTTCATTATTTTTTTAGGACTAACTTCAGAATTTCAGTCTGATTATTTACACAGAAGCTCTGAAACTCGTTTTAAAGGACAGATTTTGGCCTTTTAGCTATAAAACACTAACGCACTCCTGACGATTCGCTCCTCAGTGGATTGATCTGCAGTTTAATTTTTTATAGATTTATTAATTACTGCATTTTAAGCCCACAATGTAACTGAACTGTGGAATTAATTACAGTTTATTTTAAAACTGTTAAAATGGTTAAAATTGTAAACCAGATGTTGAATCCAGTTTTAAAGCTCAGATCCAAAAAAAACACTGAAGCAGAATGAACTGAATAAACGAGTTCATGGAGAAACGGACAGTGGTTGGTCGTAATAAACGTATTGTTTTAGGAAAAAAGCTCAGAAACGCGTTTATTCTGTGCCAAAATGCTGACAGAACACGTTTCTGTTGAAGGATTTTAAGTTATTTTATTTGTATTTTTGCACAGATTCAGAATTTGCTGCTGATTTTCCCTCCAGACTTTTCTTGCATCTGATTTCATATCAAACCCATAAAACGCCATCGACTGATTCTCTGTTTACAGACTGATCAATAAATTTATTCCAACCTGATGATGATTGTTTTCCTTTTCTGCACATTCACACACACACCCCTCACACACACACCCCCCTCACACACACTCTAATGATCCTGTAAAAATCACTTATTTTTTCTCCAACAAAATCATTTTAATTGAGATGAAGTGAAACGATTTACAGACGAAGGCAACAAACAGACTGTAACGGTTCTCCATCGGAGAGACGTTCTAGATACAGTATTTAAATGATATGAAATTACTTGTTTAAAAAAAAAACAAAAAAAAGCTCACAAAATGACTACATGAATATTAATGAAGGTGCATCAAAACTTTGAGTGACGGTCATTTAGAGGCTGAGCATTAAAAGGAAAAGTTCTTCATTCAAACTTTTGAAAAACAACCAGAACCAGTTTGGCTGAATTCTGTTCAGATCAACATTCCGATCGATTCTCCTCTGATCTTTCATCTTTACAGTTTGGCAAAAAATTATTACAAAATTATTTGTATTGTAGCGACGATCATTAAGGAAAATGAGATTAATAAAACGGTGCTTGATAAAAGGTGAATTACAGTTCTCCATTCAGAACCCTGTTTATAATTTAAACACTGTTTATTATTAAACCGTGTAACCCCCCATCCCTCTACCCCCCCAAAAAAATCTGCTTCTGAAAATGTACAGCAGAAACTTTGACATCACTGATCCATTAAAGCGTACAGTATTAAACCTTTACTGTATAATTGACTGTTAAACCCCACCCTCTAATTAGCATACAGTCACTGTTTTAATCAGAGAATTATTAATTAATATCAGAGTGATTTACACAACACACACACTGGTGAGTCCGGTTTATGGTGAGTGTTTCCTTAACTGTATCGGTCAAAGTTAAGGTTAACATTAATGAATATTAATTAACTCCTGATTTGATCCGCAGAACTTTATCGTCCGTTTATTCGTCAGTTAAAGAAAGAACGTGCAGGTGTGTGTGTGTGTGTGTGTGTGTGTGTGTGTGTGTGTGAGAGAGAGAGATGAATTTATGCAAGCAGTGATGAGATGTTTCGGTGACCCCCCACCCCCCGGTACAGTCTGAGGGGAGCGGGCCGGGCCGCTGTGTTTCGGACCCTCGCTTTAAGCCTTCGCTCCGTCGCCTGCGTGTCGCTCCTGCTGCAGCTGCACCACCACTGTCTCCACGGTAACCTCCTCCTCGCTGTCGCTGGTGTCCATGTCGCTCTGCTCGTCGTAGTTGGAGGACTCCTCGTGTTCCTGCGGGGACAGCGCAGTCGCCATGGTGCCGAAGGAATGACCGCTTGTGGACGCCAGCGAGCGCAGGAGCGGAGTGTTTTCCGAAATTTCCTCGTTCTCCTCCGGGCCACTCTCTCCAGAGTCCGAGTCGGAGTCAGAGTCGCCCTCGGACGGAACCACCTTCTGCTTACAGACCGGACACGTCTTCTTCGTCTTGGTCAGCCAGGGGTCCACACACTTACAGTGATACGCTAAAGACCACCGGAGAGAGAGAACGGCTCCATTAAAGCACTTTAAGATCATTTCCCCCCCCCTGGAATACATAAAGTGGGGTACAGCAGAACATAGAACACTTTGTACTGAAATAAACTGCACTGACAGCAGAACATTCTAGATAGAAAGTTTTAGATGGACAGAAATTTGGAACGCTGGTTTTGTTCTAGCAGGTTCTCTCAGCCTCTGTTTCAGCTGTTTGGCCCAAATTACAAACGCTGAATATCAGAAAAAACATTACATCACTAAAAGAACCAGATGGACTCTAAATTGCATCTGTGCAGGTTGGACAGTGAGAGTGACGATGTAGACACTGAACTGACCATGAGAACATGGCAGAACCCGCAGCTTCTCTCCTTCCTCATACTCGTCTAAACAAATCGCACAAACGTCATAAACGTCACCTGCAACACAAACAAACAACATCATTAAAGTAGCAGCGTTCAGCATCATTAGCTTCATTAATATTCATATAATTTATCATTTCTGTTCACATCAAACATCAGCATCTTTCTTCTATTTCATCGGCACAAAACGTCACATCAGTCTTACATCATCTGTACAGCTTTTCTTTTACAGTGAGCTTTGAACTGCAGATCAATTTCCTCATTAATAAATTCCTCATTAATAAATTCCTCATTAATAAACTGAGGAGCTGCAAGAAAAACTCAACTTCAATATCATCTAAGAATGATTTATGAAAAACACCTGAAACTTACTATTATACACACAGAGTGAGAGAGAAGAGAGTGAGAGTAGAGAACAGAGAGAGAAATAGGAGTGAGAGTAGAGAGCGAGAGGAGTGAGTGAGAGAGTGAGCAAAGAAAAGCTGCTGATTCTGATGTTTATATTAAACAAGATTAGAACTTTTGATGATCTGAACTTTCAGTCTGAGCTTAAAGTGTGAAAACTCATCTCTATTAAACTGACTGTGTGTGTGTGTGTGTGTGTGTGTGTGTGTGTGTGTGTGTGTTTGTTCATTCTGAGTGAGTTTAACGTCAGTGTTGGTCGGCTGACGGATCGGCTACTTTTCCTTTCAGTACGCTGTGTCCTGCAGAACATTGACAGAATGTGTGTGTGTGTGTGTGTGTGTGTGCACGTGTATGTGTGTGATAGTGTGTGTGTGTGAGAAAACACTCCTGGAATTCCGGTCTTTCTCTCGGTGCAGTCGGTGTTTATGTGAGTTATAAACGAACGTGTGTTCTGGTGGAGATGGTCGGAGCTGCAGGAGACCTTATATGGAGTGAGAATCACATCAGGAATGACGTTCTGCTCCACGGCCGAAAAAAAGAAACAGTGGAGAACTCTGCAGAACACGGACTGCTGCACAGCAACACCCAGCAAACACAAACCTCCTGGGAACTTTGGTTTACACACCTAATACACACTGCACACCAACTACACTCTGCACACCCCAACTACACACCCACTATACACCCACTACACACCAACTACACTCTGCACACCCCAACTACACAATACACAACCCAACTACACACCTAATACACACTGCACACCAACTACACACCCCAACTACACACCTACCACACAACACCCACTACACACCTAATACACACTACACACACCTACTATGCACTACACACCCCAACTAAACACCTACTACACAATACACACCAACTACACTCTGCACACCCCAACTACACACCTACTACACAATACACACCCCAACTACAAACCTACTACACAATACACACCCCAACTACAAACCTACTACACAATACACACCCCAACTACACACCTACTACACAATACACACCCCAACTACACACCTACTACACAATACACACCCCAACTACAAACCTACTACACAATACACACCCCAACTACACACCTACTACACAATACACACCCCAACTACAAACCTACTACACAATACACACCCCAACTACACACCTACTACACAATACACACCCCAACTACACACCTACTACACACCTAAAGCAGATATTGGATAGTAAATGTAAATAACGCTGAGCTTCTCAGACAAAAAACAGCTAAACAAACATTAACACAGATAAAAACACTTTTTATATATTACTTGTATTTACTGTACTATCAGTGCTTCTCTGAGTAAATAAACATGTACTGACCAGATAAACATCATCTGAATCTAACCATCCTGCGCAGAACTGTCTGTACAAAACGACTGAAAACTGTTCAAACCATGAAAAACTGACCGGTGAAAACCAACGGAGTGACACCCAGAACAGCAGCTCAGTGCTGCTGATAAATTGTGTTATTTCTACCTTTCTTGTATTTGTGAACCGGAAGTTTCTTCAGCTGATCTTTCCTCAGGCGGCTCCTCCTGGCTCTGTGACGATCCTGCACAAACTTAGTGATCTGAACAGAAAGAAAACAAAGATAAACAAACAGCAGCGACTTCTGATTTACTAATGAATATTAATCACAACAAATGTTTCCACAACCAACCATAAAAACGACGATAAGAATGAGGCAGATTCCAACGATGATGAGGAACGGGATCAGGTAGTATTCCAGAGGCAAGCTAAAATCCGGCATGACGATCACATGACCTCTACAAAGAAAACCAGGAAAAACAAAACAAAACAACAGGTGAACTCAGAGAGAGTGATCAGACACTCTGAGCTCACAGCGGTGATCAGTGCACTGTTCTATTCATGCTCATCTCTTTAGCAGTCACAGTGTTATTAAACGAACGAGATCATCAGATTCCCGAACTGATCCGAATTCACACTGCATCTCTCTTTAAACTGGTTTAAAGAGAGACGTCAATGTGGAGTCGGGACGTCTCATTCACAGAAACAGAGCTTGTCTGAACTGCTGTAGGTTCTGAAGCGTTAGTGGAGTTTAACGCTCAGTGTGTAACGTTCTAAGTGGAGAACTCACCCTTTCTCATAGGTGTAATCCTGCTTTAGAGCGTTTGCAGCAACTTCTCCAATAAACACTGATGGAATGTCTATCTGCTTCACAATGTCCACTAAAACACAACACAAAACAGGGTCAACACACACAAATCTACACAACACACTTGCTCTTCTGAAGGGGAAACTAAGGACTTAGTTAGGTCCCGAATAATTGAGGCGCACTCAGGACCGATTTTGGGGAGGCTCGTTTGGGGGAGGAGCTCATTATCGCTGGTTTGCTTTCACACTCAAGAATTCCATCCAAACTGTGGGTCGACTGCGTAATTCCTTATGTCACTTTTCTGTGCAAAGGTTTGCAGGATGGTCGGCAGCTTTGTTCGTTTACTGTTTTTTGTTATTTTCCTTGGATACAAACACTCAGCTCTTTCTGTCCACAGCCGTCCTCTCCCCCATCACCACACTCCAAAAGGGAAGTGACGCGATGAGTCGAAGCATCATGTTACAAAATGAGCCAATCAAGCAGCCCCACATGGCGCCGGGAGCAGAGAGCTTCCACACACGCAGCGGACCCACCAGACTTCCCCAGACCACCGATTTCAGGAGGACCAGAGATCGGTTCTCTGTTCTGCTCTCGGGCTCAAACACAGCTTTCACACACAATCAAAATGTCCTGAACTCACAGAGCAAAGAGAACCTGGATCCAGAAAATTAACTATATTGTGAAAAACCTCAAAGACGCCAAAACCTGCTCAAGACCCTGAGCCGTCACACAGACCGCTGTACTTCAAAGGCTAATATATGTAAATGTGCCGTGTTCCGATTCAGAAAGCAGTCCGGCTTCCTTGTAACTTCAATGTAAATGGGCGGGGCTAATTTGCCAGAGGCTGAATGGGTGGATGCATTTGGTTTTTGTGAAATCAAAAAAGGCTGTGTTTGCAGTTCAGTTTGCATTTACAGGCTGGAAATTCTGGTAAGCCAACGGCCCAAATTTACACTTTAACACTGTTTATAAATATCAAACAGTACAGAAAAGTGAGGAAAATACAGTTCTTCATGAAACGGGCCCTTTAAAGTTCAAAGTAACAAAATTATCACCTGATACACAACAGTGTGTGTGTGTGTGTGTGTGTTGGACGTACAGTCGTTAGAGCCCATACTGATGAGGTCGTCAGAGTCCACATTGTGAACGATTGCTGCTTTATATCCTGCACGCTGAGCATGAAGAACCTGCAGAGAACAAACACACTCCTCACTGACTGCAGCTGTTTAATTTACACTCAACATTATCAATAAACACTCACACACACACACACACACACACACACACACACACACAGCAGGAATCTTCTGTGGAATTCCTGTTCTGCTGAATTAGGGAATGTTTGCTGGGATATAGATAAACAAGATGTTACAGGACAGTACAGACTCTGTGGTTATGTTGCTGTGTGTGTGTGTTTGGGGGGGTCTTTATATTCTACAATAAAATAATCACACACACACACACACACACACACACACACACACACAGCGGAGTGTACCTTGATGTCAAAGTTACAATCAAAGCGTTTGATGAGGACGAAGAAGGTGCTGGAGTTTTCCCGCTCTCTGATTGGTGGAGGATCGATGGGCTCACACGCGTTCTCCGGCCGAGCTCCAATCAGAAAACCCTAAAAAAAAAAAAACAGCCAACACTGAGAACAACACAAATACATTTAGGACAACTTTATAATTAGGTGATCAACATGAATCATCAGTTTATTTATTACACTCTCTCTTATAAGGGCATAATAATGTTTATGACATCAAAAAGCAAAACTGTGATCATTGTGGAAAATTATGTCATCAAATAAAACTGCATGGTTTGAACCAAAGTTTGCAAGTAATCATCACCGATCAGCTCCTCCCTGAGCTCTCGTGATCTTAGTGAGCTGAACTACAACATAATCAGTCATCAATGTATTAGAATTCTGATCAAAATATCGAGAATCAAACTGAACTGTGGGCTGAGGGTATCAATAAACTCCGCTCTCTGATCAATATCACAGCACTACAGCACTGCCAGAATAAACTCATGATCTGGATTTAAACACATGCACAGGCGTGCGCGCACTCACACACCCACGCACACACACACCCACACACACACACACACCCACACACACACACACACACACACACCCACGCGTGCACACACTCACACAGTTGAAGCTGTTTCAGTTCTACAGAGAAAGTCAACTTGTTTATCTTGTTCTTGCTGTTCTTATTATTATTATTATTATTATTATTATTATTATATGATAACAGAATTACTATGGCGCCCCCTGCTGGTACCTTTATAATATTACTATAATTATAATTAATACGATGACTGAATTACTACAGCGCCCCCTGCTGGCTCCACAGTTCATTCCTAAACTGAAATACTGAGTCTTTTTTTAGTTACTCAGTTCAGTGACACTAAACTCACAGTCTACTTTCTCTTCTTTCTGCTCTGCGTTTAATAAAGATGATGAATTCAAAGCTCAAACATCTCTCCAGTGAAACTTGCCTGTATCTGCTTGATTCCAACGCAATTAAGGTCACTATGATATTAGAGATCCTGTGAAACCCTGTGCAGACCTTTGACCTCCAAAAACAACCCAGAAGAAATGACCATCATTCAGACTCTGAAGCTGACCTCTGTGCAGACCACTGTGGTTGTGTGCTGTACAGAGTTTTTTCTCTGGAGATGAAATTTTCAATTTAAAACCCTCTAAATTCCCTGAATGTCATTTCAAGATCATTCAGATGGACAGAGAAGATCCTTACAAGAAAACTGATTAAATAAATTTAAAGATGCGTAACAGAACAGCGAGTCCATGTGTTCATGTTTAAAACAACAATGAGAAAGAACTGAAGGAATAATTATGTATCTGAGTCTGTGGGCAGTGAAGCAGTAAAATAAAGCACTGGTTTAAATGGGGAGTCGTGAGTCATGAGGAAAGCAGACGAAATAACATCTTATACAGCAGCAGAACGATAATACAAATGAGAACAAAGCCAAGAATAAACCTGCGTTACTCCGATTCAGGTAGGGGGCGTGACTTTCAGGATCAGGTAGGGTGTGTGGCTTTCAGGATCAGGTAGGGGGTGTGGCTTTCAGGCTGAACTCTGATTCAGACTCTGAACTTGAAATCACAGAGCAGCCGAAGCGGCGCTGCAGAGCTCTGAACTGTATGAAACCAATGGGCCGTTTTTCTGTTTACTCTGTTATTTTACTGAATTCTCTATATATGAACTGAAAATCTCGGCTGAACGACGTCCTTTGAAACAAGTGTGCGATGATTTAGTCATGTAATTAGCTTCAAGCTAATTGGTGGGTTATAATCTTCCATTACTTGTTAGCTACATTAGCTTTGTAGCTCCAGTGCTAAAACTAAAGAAGCAGAAAAAATAAACCAAACACGGCTCAGCTGATGTTTCCTGAAAAATCCAGGATGAAAACAATTTTCATGCATGAGAATGAAGCGGATTACCCACGAGGCCACTGCACACCCCACTCCACAGAACTGAACGCTGTCAGAGCTCCTGAGAAACAGCTCTGTATTTAGTGTTCCGGTTTGACCCTGACGCTCACCTTCAGCCCCTCGCTGGGCAGCCGGTACCCGAACCTTGCCGGGAGGTCATCAAAACTCTCTGTCTTATTATCAGATGAAACCTGAAGAAACAATAAACAGTCTTTACTCACACAGTACACTCATCATATTTACACCATATTAATATTCATATTTACAATTTATCTGACAGAGAGAGAGAGAGAGAGAGAGCTGTGTGTGTGTGTGTGTGTGCGTGTCTACAGACTCACGGCGGTGATGTCAGCGTGGGCGGGCCGCGCAGTGATGAAGAGCTGGATGGTGAAGAGTGTGTAAACCTGCGCGGCCGACAGCACGAACACTCTAACACACTCCATCCTCAAACACTCACCCCTACCCAGTAAACCCTGCAGAGGGAATGAACACACACACACACACACACACACACACACACTCATTAGGGAAGCATCAATACTATTTTGTTTTAGTCCTGATACAGAGTCTGATATCAAACTGAGTATCTACTCAGAATGAATGTAGCTGTTAGTAACAATGTTCATCTTGTTGGAGTTTGATTGGCTGGCTGAGCTGTAGCTGAATGTCCTCTAAAGCCAGACAGACACTGTGTGATGTTAGAGATCTTGTTCTTTGGTGACTCTCACTGCACGTTTGAATAGACCATCGTGTTCAGACAAAGCTACGATTTATAAACTCACACTGTACGAAACACTCTGTCTGACTGACCTGCTACGGGAAACGCAGCCTCTACAGACGCTCTGTCTACAGACCCTTATCAATAAAGCTGATTGAGCACTGAAGATAAAGCAGGCGCTGATGTTCACGGTAGGACAGTTTGGTCTCTCCACAGCCTGATTTACAGAATAAAATCACTGTATTAATGTTTATATCTCGATATTCTACTCAGTCAAACAGAGTAAAGTCTCATATACAGACTTTGGTAGGAAATGTGGACTTTTTCTCCTCCGTTTTGTTGGCCTGTGTGTCTCCACCCGTGTTGGGGAAGCAGTTGTGATTGTGTGTTTATAAACAGTCTATAATCTCTCAGTGTGTCCTGGTGGGAATCAGCCGAGGCGGAATGTTTTAAGTGAGCGACGGCTTTGTGTCCGACTGTGACGGGGTCAGTAACTCTTCTCTGTGTGATCAGATCCTCCTCCACTGGGTTTGTTAATTAGAGCAGCAGCTGCACTTGGCTTACGGCACACGGTATCAGCTGGTATCGGTAAATTTTTATGAGTGCAAGCTGAGCTTCCAACCAATCAGGGCTGAGATTCTGACGGACTCTCTCATCTGTTCCAAGGTACTTTTTTTTTGGTTCCTGCTGAAAGTCACAGGCTGTTAAACTGATCAATAAACAGACAATAAAAACACTAAAAGAAGAACCGCTCAGTTACGGCTTCATTACGTTTATGCTGAACAGACAACCACCTGAAACATGCCGCTTTTCAATGGAGGAACAAAAAATAAATAAATAGAATAAATAAATATATTTTTGATTTATATTTTGAAAATATAAAAGCATACGTGACATCTGATAAACACTGCTAGTAATAAACACCATTATTAAACACTGTTTCTAATGATGCAATTTTACTGTCACTTTAATAGAAAAGTAAAGAAAAACAGCCCGTAATAATTTTTGTAGTGCAGTGTGACAACAGACAATACTGAAATCATATTTTTTAGAACTGGTGGTTTTGTAAAGAACTAATCTGGAGCGTTTTATAATGGAGCCACATGGTGGCGCCGACTTGTCTTCTGTTGATCAAATGTTCTGTTCTCTGTGAGCTTTTTGCAAATGTTCTGCTCACGTTCTGCTAACACTCAGTTCTGACTGTGGTGGCCGGTGCAGCAGTGATGAGATCCAAACCTGAACCTGACTCACGATCACGATCATCATCTGGGGACGCAGAACATCAGCTCACATTCTGCTTCTGCTGCACTCTCGATAGCTGAAATATTACAGCTGAAATATTACATCTGTTTACTGCTTTGATTTTGAGCCCTGACTGAACAGCATTCTGTTAATGATCTACTGTAATATCCGACTGTATCACTGAGTTATTTTCACTGACAGTAAAATATTCACAATAATCTGTAAGAGTCACTAACAGCAGCAGATCATAAAGATCATAAAGGATCAATAACGACATGAACAGTTCAGTCAGCTGATGTTCGTGTTTTGCTGAGAAACGCTGAAGGTTCATTTACACACAAAACCAAACCTACACTGTAATTCCACCCGCGGTACAAACTGATCTACTGAAAATATGATGCATAATAAAATCATAAGGATGTTCAGTCTGTTCGTTTATGATTCAGTTGTACTGAATTATCAATAAACATGTAAAACTGAGTTGTGATGTTTTAGGGGTGCAACGATTATTCGACTTAGTCGACTAAAATCGACGACCAAATTAGTTGGCAACTAATTTAATAGTCGATTAGTTGGTGGCGTCATTACGCGTCTTTCTCGCGCTCACTAGGACCGTTTTGACATTTCCGCTTACTGGAGAGCTGACAAAAGCTCGACAGCAGCCTCGAGAACAGAATCCTTAAGTGTGGAGCTAAACTCAGAAAAACGGTGGTCAGTTGTGCTGGTTGTAAAGCCGAGCTTAGCTGGCACGGAGCTCATCCTCCATGATGGAGCGTCTGAAGAGGAAACTCGGCTCACTGGGTGAAGAAGATTCATCTCGGTAAGATGCGCCGCGTCCCAAACCGCATACTAGCTCACTAAATAGTGTGTAAAAATAGTGCATATACCATTACAAGTGCACTGATTAGTGCAGTGTGTGAAGTACAGAAGTGTGTGGTTTGGGACGCGGTGATAGTTGTGCTAATGATCTAGTTATCTAATGTTAAAAGCCGTCGTACTTCATGTTCTGAGCTGAGCTGGAATGTTTTCTGTTTCGAAAATGCTGCTCTCTCTAATCGTTAATAGAGTTGGAGCTGAGAAGCAAGTAACTATTATTCACAGCGACCCTGTTCACCTCCCAAACGCTGCATCGTCGTCTTAACGTCGAGGCCACCGGTGCGGCGAACACAGGAGAGCGACTGCAAACAGGTTTCTGTCCTCCGCGAACGTTTGGCTCCACTCGCAAACAGTTTCAGGAGGTAGTTCTCCGCGAACACACAGGGCGGCTGGACGAAGAGTTTTACACAAAATCATTCATTTAACTGTTTAGAGAAGTTTTCCACAAACATTCGCCACTTTCCCCTCCGCTCCACCAGAGTGCGCCTCCTCCGCAGCGGGGAGGATCCGCTCTCAGAGGAGGGCGAGACTCTCACAGGAGCCCGGAGAGACGCTGACTTTCCTCCATTTCAATAAACCTGTGATTGCAGAATTTAGCTGCATCGGAGTGTAGACAGACAGCAGAGCACAGACCGCTTAAATTTAACATTTAAATTTAGATCGACTTTTTTTATTTACCTTGATTTTGAAAATGTAGTGATTCATAATCCGAATAATCGATTATTCATTTCAGTGATCGATAGATTATTTGACTATCAAATTAGTCGTTTGTTGCAGCCCTAATTAAGACTGTTAGATTCTCCACAAATACACCAAAATATCACTAACCATGTTTACAGTGTAAAATATTCAGCAGAATAAACACCGAACATCAGCCTCACAAGCGGCTCGCCTGTTAATCCACCGTCTCTACTGAGAAACGAGATTAATTCCTTCAGGATCTCTGACGTCACTGAACTGCCTGTATTTAAAGGTGTATAAACACTCTGGTTTCCTGATGGTGTCAAATTATTACTCAGTCAAGCCCGAAGGGACCGTCCTGCTCTCCACCTCCATTAGGCCCGTCCACTTCACTCACTGACCAGCAATAAGCAAAAACTTTACAAATAACAATATAAGCTCGATCCCTCACAGAACCCAAACATCTGCTCCTGCTCGTTTCCACTTTTGGAACAACTAATTTGACAAAACAGACTGGAAAGTTTAAACAGACACTCAGAGAGGATTTTCTTCAATAAACTGATGAAGTGTCTCTTAAATCTGTTTATTACTGTATAAACTATAAACTGGGCTCAGTCACCGCAGCGACGAAACCGCCGATCGCCTCTTTCGGAAAATGTGTCGACTGCACAGTTTTCTGGAATGACTCCTCAGATTTTCCTAGAAGAAAAGTAACTCGTGACTTCAGCTTCACTCAGAAAATACTCGTCTGGTGTTTCCATTAGAGATAAACGTTACTGTGAATTTACTGTAATATTTCAAAATTCTACAAACACAAATGCCGAAAAGAATTCTTGTATTTTCATTTAGTAAAGAAAATGCTTCTATGTAGAACCCTGAACACTCAAAGAACCATATTTTTTATATGTGTAGAATAATAATTGCTAAAAATGGTTCTATATAACACCAAAAAGGGTTCTGCTACTGGTACGATGTCAAGCTTGTTAAAAATAGAAGAACCTTTTTGGTGCTATATGGAAACCTTTTTAAGAAGGTTCTATGTAGAACCAGCAAAAGCACATTCTCCATCAATCTGAAGAAACTTTTCAACACGTAAACGGTTCTTTGAATGTTCATGGTTTTATATAGAACCATTTTCTTTACTAAAGAACCTTTGAAGAACCACCTTTAAGTGTGTGGGACATTGTACTGTATAAACTGATGTCCGTTTGAGGTTCTCGTCCTCAGTCACATTGTCTGTTCATTAAACACCGTTCAAAAAAAAGCATACAGAAGTGTGTATAAACACAGAGAAATGCATGATGGGAAATCTCCCTTTTCCTCCTCACAGAAAGCAGGTAAAGCATCTAAAAGGTGAAATAAGGAACTACAGGAGCTTCAGCCGCTCAGAACTGTTTAAATTCTCAAGCAGAAACAGTAAAATTCCCCAAAACACAGCAGTTTCTCGATTTGGCTGAACATTAGAAACTCAAAGGAGCCGTTTCTGAACAGAAGGAACTTCATTTAAAAACAGAGAAGAACCCTCAGCACGGAGTACTGAGTACTGGAGGACCTTAAAAAGGTTAAACATTCAACATTTCTGCTCAAGGCCGCCTGATTCCAATATGATGAGGACTAATAATTATCCTATTGATTATACATATTACATTGACCCGACACTAAACCGTGAATCAGTCAGCCCCTCCTCCTGTTCCTGGTGTTACTGATAAACCTGGTCTTAATTTGATGCAGGTTAAAAACAGATCTGAACAAAACACGAGGCTGAAATCAGCTTCCAAATTTTCCGTTCCACCTTAAACGGAGCAGCAGTTACAGTCCGGCACCTGAGACGTTATCATAATGTAAATGCCGCATCATTTAAGGTGGAACGAGAAGCCTCAAATACGAAGCCCTAACATTACACACACAAACGTGTGGATTCTTTTTTCCTCTAAAATACAACCCTAACACAAAAAACCACAGATGTAACCCAAAACCAAAATAAATCACGAAACCAAAACCAGAAGTTTGACCCAAACAGCTAATAAACCTCATCCTGAACTGAACATCAGCTACAGAAACCCTAAAACACCTCAAACACAGCCAAATAAACCCCGCGGGCTCTGCGAATGAGGACGAATCCAGTTAAAGACTCTCTAATTACAAAGATCTTAATATTAATCAGAGACATCCGTGATTAATCCGAGATTTCTGCTTTGTTTACCTGCTAGCTGTGTCTACGCTCTTGCTAACCTAAGCTAAGCTAAGCTAACCGAGCAGCGAGTTAAGATACTCACATAAATCGTTTCAGTGAAAGAAAAGCGCTCACCTTCACATCGACGCCGTGAATTAACGGTTTATATTAAAACATATGGAGGGCGAAAACATTCATTCCTCCAACCTAAATGTACATCGCTTTAACTCCGAGTAGGCCGGTCTGCGGAACTCTCTGTCAACAGCCCGCACACCGTCTTCACTAGATAGGGCGAACACTGGCCCTAGATTTGAACACTAGCCCTAGATTTGAACACTAGCCCTAGATTTGTATACTGGCCCTAGATTTGAACACTGGCCCTAGATTTGAATACTAGCCCTAGATTTGTATACTAGTCCTAGATTTGAACACTGGCCATAGATTTGTATACTAGCCCTAGATTTGAACACTAGCCCTAGATTTGTATACTAGCCCTAGATTTGAACACTAGCCCTAGATTTGTATACTAGCCCTAGATTTGAACACTGGCCCTAGATTTGTATACTAGCCCTAGATTTAACCACTGAGACCAATACATATTACAGGTACATGGGTGGAGATCCAATCCACCAATAATTTTAATAAAAAATGATAATAGTGATCAGAATAAAACCAAAACGTCAAGCAGGCTTTTTGTAATTGAACTGAAGTGTTAAAACTGTCTGTACACTCCTGTAACGGATCTATAACCGCAGCAGTGTAACCAGAACTTTCACAGAGGGGCACCAGGTCAACCCAGTGATTTACTGGAGTGACAAAGTAAAAAATAAAAGAGCAGGTAACCCGTTTACTGATTATCCTGTTGAGAACATTTCCAGCTGGTTTTGCTCCTGTTTTTGAAAAGTTTCTGTTAAAATGTTTAATTTAGCGCATGGTTTCTTAATGCTGAACAGGACGCATTACACTTGTTAAAACTTCAGTCGTGTGTGGTTACTATGCTGTCTCAGGTGGTTGCTAGGGTTTTACTAAGTGTTTATCATGGCACCAAAGGTGGCTACTATGGTGTAGGAGGTTGCTATGGTATCTCTGGTGGGAGCTAAGGTGTTGCTATAGTATTTTAGGTGGTTGCCTGGGTGTTTTACCTATATAGTTCCAGCAGCCATTAATGATCATTGCAGCCATTCCCGATCAGACCGAACATTCCAGAGTTGGAACAGTGTAGATATCTCGAAAACTGTAGGACGAGTTAAAGGACAAAAATCCAGCAGAAAAGAATAAGAATATAAATCGGATTACAGCAGTGCTAATTCCAGGTTTTACCTCTGTGGATCCACAAATCTGAAGTGTTAAATGTTGTGTAGCAGCGCCATCATCTGGATGAACACAGTTTTGCCCCAAACACTGTTCTAAACCGGATCACTGAGCAGAGAGCAAAACACACGAACACCCAAAATGTCAAACTTTCCACAGATCAGCAGCTTCTGCGAGTCATCTCCATAATCAAGTATTCTATGAAAATGGTCATATATATATATATATATATATATATATATATATATATATATATATATATATAATAAACCTGACCAACTTTGTACACTTTTAAGGTGGACAGCAAATAATAACTACCATCCGCATAAACAATCACATTAAACGCAGAGAAGGTGAAGGTGATGCGTCGCTGGTCTAACAGAGAGACAGTTCTGTGTGTTTAATGAAGCGAATCTAAACTGGAACAGATTATTTCAGATGAGTGAAGTGAATGACTTTAATAATACAGAGTGAATTTTCATAATGTCTGTTAATTTGGGCTCTTCAGCAGCGTCATTGAACAAAAATGGTTCCGGACGGAGCGCAAATCACGATCTATAAATGTTAACCAAAAGTCATAAAGACGTTAGACCAGCTAAGATCCGATTTATAGATCCGGGAATTCGCGCAGCTCCGCCCATTTCTATGTTCACCAATCAGAGCGCGGCACTGTGACTCGCCATATAAGGAGTGTTATTACCAAAAAAGGCAACATCGCTTCTCTTTATATGGAGGAAAGTAGATCCGGTTCTAAACAACGGAGTGCGTCTTTAAGCGGCCGAGAATGAAGGACTGAACTGCAGTTATCTATTCACATTTAATCCGAACTCAGTCTAATCCAGATTACTGTGCTCGTGTTTTTGACGATGTTGCGGAAAATGCTGGATAATAGGATGGAATTACTGGGAACTAGTTAATTTTGCGTATTAATACACATGACCAGTGAACGCCGTTTCCATGTGCAGCGCTGCGGGTGTGATGCGGTCTGATTGGCGGCTACTCTCGCTAAACTTTGTTCGCGGCGGATTTATTGAGTTTATAGTTTTATTTTTATTTTATTCCGCGTTTCCACTGCGCTGCTCCGCTTTGCTGCACGGCACAGTGTAACAGCGCCTCGGTGTCGGTGGGAATCTGGCTTAAACGCGCTTCTGTCTCGGTTCTGAACTCTGTTAGCCGATGTTAGCCGTTAGCGCCGCGGCTCGGTAGCTGTGCGGTGTCGGTCGGTGGGGGATGTTGGGGGGAAGCGAGACGGCTCTGGGGGCGATGAGCTCCGGGATCGGGCTCCCCGACGGCGGCAGGTTCGACCCCAGGCCCCCCGAAACTCAGGTGACTCTGAGCGGGTCTGAGGCGGACTCTGAGTCCGGGGAGGAGGAGGACGCGGCGTGTTCGGGCGGGGAGAGGAGGGGCGTGAAGCGGGAGAGAGCCGAGCCGGAGGCCGGAGCAGCGGCAGCGGGGTTCGGAGCTGCGGGCGGAGTGGCGGGAGCGAAACCGGGGAAGAAGACCCGCGGACGGGTCAAAATCAAGATGGAGTTTATCGACAACAAATTGAGACGGTACACAACTTTCAGCAAAAGGAAAACCGGCATCATGAAGAAGGTGAGCTCTGTTTATGCCTCTGCTTCAGGTTTGTTAGTGCAGCTAGCTTAGCACATATACACACTCTCTCTCTCTCTCTCTCTCTCTCTCTCTCTCGCGCGCGCACACACACACACACACACACACACACACACACTGCTCTTGTTTTCCCATCAGAACGAGGCTATCTGTTGGTATGTTACTTGCTTTGAAACCAAAATTAGTTGGTTTTGTCTGTTTTTCTGATCTGTAGGGCTGACAGCGCCGATTTAATGTTGAAAGTTTAAAAAAGTGAAAATCCGTAGAGAGCAGTATGATCATAAAACACTCAAAGGGGATTTTTCAAAATTCACCCATAACTCAGTGTGTGAGGTGTAAACAGAGTGATTCAGAGTGGTTTGGTGTGAAATGGTTCAGGTGTCTTTACAGTGGTGGTGATAGGAACCAGGGGTCGCCATGACTACAACACAAATATAGACATTTTATTTACTATCCAGAACCACCAGTGAACCTACACGAGTCTTCTGAGTTTATATGGAATGTTGATGATGGAAAATAGTGGAAAATCTGAAATAATAAGTTTTCTTTGGGGACTATTTTGCCTCACAGCGCCCTGCATGTATCCCTCCACCATGAATGGAGTTTAAGTTCTCTAAACTATCATAAAACAGTGTCTCAGTCATCAGGCAGTGAATTCATAACCATTTACTGTAGTAACTTTCTGTGAGGGAGCTTTTAGAGGTGGACGTCTGGTTCCTATCACCACCACTGTGAACAGTTCTGACTCGGTAAGTTTCTCTTGAACTGAATGTTTCACACCAAACCACTCTGAACCACTCTATTTACATCTTAACCACTTAATTATGTAGAAAATCAGAAAGTCCTGTTCTGTTTTGTGTAATTAATTTACGATAAACATTTCCATCCTGACTGCGTGTATTTCTCCTTCCATAATCAATAAAGTAGATCTACTTTAGATGTGATTGATTAGTGTGATGTAGTGCCTGCAGGGTTCTCTGTAGGGTTTGCTTTAGTGTTAGCATTCTCTGCAGGGTTCTCTGCAGCGTTAGTGTTCTCTATAGGGTTTCCTGTATGGTTTGTTGTGGGGATTTGTTGTTATTTGAATATAAGTAAGAAACTGTCCACTTTGTGGTACAATTATGTTTCATGTTCAGTGTTACTGTTAATAGTAAGATGAATGTAATAAAGTGCTGCATTACAGCTGCGCATCACAATGAGGTGTGTGTGTGTGTGTGTGTGTGTGTGTGTGTGTGTGTGATTATGCTGTGATATTTTGGTTCAGATGTATTAGCAGCATCCAGATGCAGTATTTTTGTTCTTATCTGCCTCCTTTTATTCACCTCAAAGAGCTGTAGCACAGATCACACACACAGTCACTCAGGATACATCGATACTGATACCGAACTTTTTTACTCGACCTCTCAAAGCAGAAACTAGCTGTAGACAGAGCATCTGTAGGTCAGTATCTCAGCATGTTTGCTCAGTACTTGGTTATTCTGAGTGAATCAGCTTTATTGATAACGGTCTGTAGACAGAGTGTCTGTAGAGGCTGCATTTCCCGTAGCAGGTCAGTCAGACGGAGTGTTTCGTACAGTGTGAGTTTATAAATCGTAGCTTTGTCTGAACACGATGGTCTATTCAAATGTGCAGTGAGAGTCACCAAAGAACAAGATCTCTAACATCACACAGTGTCTGTCTGGCTTTAGTGGACATTCAGCTACAGCTCAATCAGCCAATCAAAAGACTCCAACAAGACGGAAAACCGGAAGCGTGAGCTCCTCTGATGTAATTCCTGCTGTCACTGTGCTGCTGCTGAAAGAGACAGATGAGGATCAAAACTATGAAACCTACTTTACTTACAGCTGTACAGAAGAGCTTTTCTGACGGGGAACTAAACCTCCACTGCAGCGCTGCTCGATCAGAGATCACTGATGTAGCAGAGCGAGATAACGACCTTCGTTATCAGATAGATTTAATGATTTAACTCATTCACAGTAACAGATACTTTAAGTAGATACTCAGTCTTGTATCAGACTCTGTATCAATGAGCACTAAAAAATATGTATTGTTACTCAGTCTGGAAAAAAATGGCATTGATGTATCACTAATAATTGCAACAATAAATTGACTGAATGACAAATGTGTTTGTAGCAAAGCTCTGTCGATTCTGGTCTCGGCTGATTTAGATCGTACAGACTCGTGATGTTCCTGAGGTTCTGCAGATGTGAGTGTTTTGTGACGTTCTGTAAGAACAGACGGAGCATCACGTTCCCCATGTGTGTCTGTCTGTGTTAAACTCTCGCTCTGTTGTGTTCTGGTTCCTGCAGGCGTATGAACTGTCCACTCTGACCGGTACGCAGGTGTTGTTGTTGGTGGCCAGCGAGACGGGTCACGTTTACACGTTCGCGACGCGGAAGCTGCAGCCAATGATCACCAGCGAGACGGGAAAAGCGCTGATCCAGACCTGCCTCAACTCTCCGGACTCGCCCCCCCGGGCCGACTCGTCCTCTGATCAGCGCATGAGCGCCACCGGTTTCGAGGAAACTGATCTGACCTACCAGGTGTCCGAGGCAGACGGCGCGTCGGAGCCAAAGGTGAGTTTTCTGCCAACGCTAACGATATTAATGACGTTAAAGAGGAGCGTTCAGTACGTCTCGGGCGCACGATGTATTTACATTTGCAGAGCCGTTAATCAGTTAGTGATGCTGCCTCAGTTCCACTGATTCTGTGATGGTGACGTTTGTTTTGATGTTTGCGTTGATGTGACCGTGGTATAAAAATTCGTTATTTGCTGCACAGTTGGAAAATTCAGTCACATTAAAGATGTTTAATTAATCAGAAAATGTAGCTCATTAACAGAGTATCAGCGCTGAACTGTGTCTCAGAGACGAGAATCACTGTGCTGATTTGTTTGGAAGGTGTGGCCATGTTAGTGCAGTGCAGACAAAGCCACGCCCCCAAACCAAAACAGCGCAAAGAAACTATGTAGAAATAACAGTTTCTCTCAAACTGTTCTGTAAAGTGTGACGTTTTTACTAAATGCTTGTCAAGAAACACTGATAGACATTTGAGTCGTAACTGGAGTTAAAACTCAAAAGTGAAAAAGTCCGTGTTAAAGTGAAAACCCTAGCCAGAAACCAGTGGCTGAGTTAGAGCAGTTAAATCACGTCAGGTGAAAACCTTTAGCAGTGGGGCCTTTTCACAAAGAGTCGTGATTACTTCCGGTTTATGTGTTAGCAGTTCCTTATCCTTATAACTACTGCAGAGGTGATGACAAAGTGTTATAGTAGTGAACTATAATGCCCAAACACTGAGCTACAACAGCTATATTTTAGTTTTCCTGCACTGTCGTGGCAAACAGCGAGAATAAGAAGTGGACAGAAGCACTGATTTAACTGTAAACAGAGCTAAGATGCTGAATGTGTGTGACAGCCTTGTTTTTACTGCAGTCTGCTGCAGCTTCTCACATCAACATCGTGTCTTTCTACAACCTGCCAGCTATTTCTGTAGTATTTCTGTTTTCAAAAGAAATAAGAACTTTTATATGTAGCAGGAATTTGATGGATTCCGTTTATATTAAGCAAGCTACGTTGGCTAGAAGCTACTGCTAACAGTAGCCGTTATCCCAAACAAGATCACCCGGCTAAAGCAGCTTTTCTGCATTACCAGCTAATTTTTTACTCATCTTTAGAAAGCTGATGCATCCTGCTTTAGCTTTTTGAAGATGAGTAAACCGTCAACGAAATGATTCTTACATGATCAGCTCGGTACAAACAGCTGATGTTAGCTGGCTTTAAAGTCTGCTACTCATACGAAGCTGAGTTCTTCAAACTGATAATGGTAGGCTAGCTAATTAGCGCCTGTAGCCTGTAGGTCTTTAAAATTGGCCTTACGTGTGAAGGTTTTGGTTTGCTTTAATAATGTCACAGAAGTCGCTGCCGTGCTGTAAATGTGTAACAGTGCCTGCTCCACGTCAGCCAGCTGGCACAGCAGCTAATGAAAACTAGCTTCCTTGTTTGGGAAAACAGCTACAGTTAGCAATGGCCTCTAACGTAGCTAACTAGCTACAGCTAAACAACGTCTTTCAAATTCACACCACATATAAAAGTTATTTTTCTTTTGAAAACAGAAATATTACAGAAATCGCTGGCATGTTCAAAGACACAGAGACTGTCTGATGTGAGCAGCTGCAGCAGCAGTAAACAGGGCTAAACCACACATTCAGCATTTTAGCTCTGTTTACAGTTAATTCAGTGCTTCCATCCACTTCCTATGCTCACTGTTTGTCATGACAGTGCAGGAAACCTAACATATGTCTGTTGTAGCTCAGTGTTTGAGCATCATAGTTCACTACTATAACACTTTCTCATCGCTTCTGCAGTAGCTATATGGAGCGGAAGTTAGTTTTACCTTGCTAACACATAAACCGGAAGTAATCGCGACTCTCTGTGAAAAGGGATCATTCACACACCTGAGGAGCTCATGGTCACTGTGATCACACCGACTTATCACGATGACGATTGATGAGGACCTGTAAATGATGTGACTGACACACACAGTGTGTCAGAGCTCAGACGCTCCGAGCTGAAGAGGTTGAATCCAAAATTGAGCAAAAATAAAAAAAAAAATGATGAAAAAAATAGACCAAAAGCCGCGATCATAATTTCAGAAATAGTATTTAAAACAGTCTTTTCTGCCTTTGCTGAGTGGTTTGCGTTTTTAATTTCATCTTTTGGTTGTTGTAATTTGGCAGAATAAAAACATTTTTACTGCTCAGAGTCGGATGTTTAAGATGATTTAGACTTTTGCTTTGGAATAAAATTCCAGTGTGAGTTTGATGTTTTTAGTTGTGGCTCTGATTTTAATCCGAGTTTAATCTGTAGATCACCGTCGGTTCTTTATCAGGAACATGCAGATTATTAACACTCTTTAAAGTGCAAGGGTTTCAGACGCAGTTTGACTGTAAATGCACACTTTGTTTCATCTGCAGCTCTGATTGATTAAAAATTAGACTCTATTTCCTTTTATAGTCTCGTCTCACTTTCTTGGCACCGAGTTCATCACATTCTTTAAGAGCTGCAGCCGTTTTTGGCTTCTCTCTCCATCCGTCCTGTTTTCTCCTCTGATGTAGAGAGCGGTGAAGGAGCGTTGATTTATTATATCAGGAATCCCCTTTATTTATTTATTTATTTATTTGCTATGAAAACGTGCTGATTTTTTTTGGATATCAGCCAGGACGAAATCAGTGCTGCTGGTTGTTCTCGGCTATGCGTCAGATCTCTGTGTTTTGTGCGCGTACGCGTGTGGTGCATCCTTTGTGACTGAAACACTCATTAAAATAAAAGTGTATTGGTTCCGTCAGACGGATCACTAAACTACGCTTAAGATGTTTTTCAGGTGATTTTATTTGGTAATATCTTGAGTTTCTGAGTTTCAGACAGTGTAAAATGCTGATTGGGCTCACAGTGGTGGTGATAGGAACCAGGGGTCGCCATGACTACAACACAAGTATAGATATTTCATTTACTATCCAAAACAGTGATCAACAGTCATCAGTGAACTTACATGAGTCTTCTGTATGAAACAAAAGCACAGTGTGAAATATCTTTGATGGGATGTCTGTTACTAGCATTATTTATCAGTATACATGTAAAATAAGTACATTCACTTTAATACTGAATTGTTATGCACAGAAATTATTAGATTTGTTGTTATTGTCTATTTTTGATAATTATTCAGTCACTCAACCTTTATTTTTCTGAGTGCAGTGAGGGAGACCCTTCTTCACCAACACAGACAACAGGGATTAAAAAATTTGATTGTAAAAATGTTAAATGCAAAAAAAAGTAATAAATCATAATCTTAATAGTAAATATAATAGTAAAAAAAATCAGTAAAGTATTAAAATTGCAACAATATTGTAACATAATGAGTAACAGATTATGTAAGGATAAAGTAAATAGATATAATTAATTAAATAAATTAATTAATGAAAAATGTAAAACAGTAACTTGGCAATTATAAAATAGACACAAAGTGTTTGCGATTCCTGATTATTATTAGTATTACAGATGACTGTGGTCATGGTTTTGGTTGCTTAACAACAAATCAAGTGTTTTTTTTTTTCAGGTTCTTAAACTATTAATTACATTTACTCTCTCCCACTAGACGTGAGTTGAATTGTACAGAAATGCCAAAGATGAAACTTTGATGAAGAAAGGCAGCTATTTTTAGTCGTCAGGCAGTGAATTCATAACCATTTCATGTAGGAACTTTCTGTGAGGGAGCTTTTAGAGGTGAACGTCTGGTTCCTATCACCAGCACTGTGAACAGTTCTGACTCAATAAGTTTCTCTAGAACAGAGCGTTTCACACCAAACCACTCTGAACCGCTCTGAACCACTTCCTCTAATTTTTTTCTTTTTTTTCTTTCTTTTTTTTTCAGGACCTGATGAAGACGCCCTTCACCGCAGCGAGTGCGTCCACTTGTAGCACCAGCACTACCAGCCAGTCCTCGCCCACCCAGTCCCCCTCATCTTCAGCTGGCCCGCCACTCTCCAGCACCTCCTGTTGGCCAGCGGCAACAAGCATGAGCTCCCAGAGTGCGTCTAACGCTAACGGCACGGTGCTGAAGGCAGGGGGCGCTGCGGCCGGCGTGGTGCAGTTACCCGGGGGGTTCACTCTGATGTCCGGTGAGCGCACAGGCAGTAAATCAGTGTGTAGACATGTGCTTCAGTCTTATCGTTAGAGCTTGTAAATACATAAGCTAATTAAACAGGCTGCTAATTAGTTTAATATTTTTATCTGAAATTCAATGGATTCATGTGCTCAGTTCCTTCCTGTAGAATTGCAGTTTTTGTTTAGTCCACAGGGTGGCAGTACTGGCTCCTCTTTACAGTGAAAAATGTGTACAGCAGTCTGATTGGTCAGCTAATTGTTTTATAGTTAGGCTCTGCCTACATTTCCAGGCTTTCGTTTAATAGGAAGTGTTTAATAGCATCTTTATACACATTTTCACTGTTTGATCTGTGTGTGTGTGTGTGTGTGTGTGTGTGTGTAGGTGGTTCAGTGTCTCAGCAGCTTCAGACCATCCACGTCCACACCAGCCCCCAGAGCAGTGAGAGCAGCCCTGAGATTACCCAGAATTCCTCCAGCCCCACCGGTAATCTCTGGAAATACTGCTGACAGCAGGTTCTACTGTCAAATCACACAAGAAAACCGGACGTTTCTTTTCTGTGTGAAAGAATTTTAGTTGCTGAAGAACATTGACACAGGGGGACGGGGTGGGGTGGGGCAGGACAGGGCTGGGTGGGGCACGGTGGGGTAGGGTGGTACAGGGCGGGGCAGAGCGGAGGGTGGGGTGCTAAATTGTAGCACATCTGCTAATGTACAGCTAAAGGATGACCGCTGGGCAGGCAGTATTGTGAGTGTATAGTGTAGGTCCAGCTCTCCGACGCTAAACCGTTCTGTTTTCTCTTCGCCTGTTTGCTTTTTAACTTTTGTTGTTTCTGTTCTGTCTCAGTGAGTCAGGCTGCTGTTGTAACGTCTGTGCCTTCCTCGTTGGCGAGTCATGTGATGTACCCCGGTGCGGTGATGTATGCCACGCCCACCTCGACGCTGCCGGACGGAGGCCTCGCTGTGCTGAACCCGTTCACCTCCTCCACCGCAGCCATGCATGTGACGCACAGTCAGCCGCAGGAGTCCGGTGAGTCCAGCGCTGCTTTGTAGAATAATTACTCTCAAATTAACGAGACAGTTCACTGTTTTCATTTAGCAGGTGTTCTTCTGTCCTGACAAAGCCCAGGAAGGGCTGAGGCCCAATCCCACCTCTCTTTTTACCCCCTTGCATTTATATTTAGGGCATCATATGCCTTCAAAGAAGGGGGCAATTATTTATTATCACCCATCCCTAATTCTTCAGTGATGTGAAGCTGAAGTCAGATATTCACCAGATTCTCGTTCGAATTTTCCCGTCCCACCTTAAATGGTGCAGCAGGTGCAGGTAGCACAGGAAATGTAGCTCCTGAGACATCAGCACTGCTGGTGTTTTTTTATGCTCGTAATGAAGAAAAGGACCATAAAACACAAAGGATATTAAGCTAGGACAATACGATGGTTATCGTATTTTTTTCCTGTTTGGAGTCTCTGAAAAACCTCTGTTTGGAGGCTCATGTAGCCCCAACCCTTCATCCTCCTCCTCTATCTCAACAAGAATCAGGACACCCTGTAGGGCTCCTGGAGTGGAGGAGGCGAGGGGTGAAATGGGACTGGGCCCAAGAGTCATATTTGTATGTTTCCCTCTTGAACGCTGTGTGTGTGTGTGTGTGTGTGTGTGTGTGTGTGTGTGTGTGTGTGTGTGTGTGTGTGTGTGTGTTCAGGCGCAGTTCCTCAGATGTTCCTCACAGGTCCTCCTGGAACTGTGCAGATTCCCGTCTCCGCTGTTCCTCTGCACTCGGTAACGTTGCTCTGTTGTGGTTCTGCTATTGTGCATCTTCTCTCTTCAGTTCAGTTGAGGGACACATTTAGTGTGTGTAATATTTAAGAATTCAGAACAATGTAATGAACTTGTTCCTCTGTTTTCAGATGCTGATAAATCAGCCGCCCGCCGGCAGCAGCACCACTCTGACTGAGCTCCGAGTTGTCAATCTGGACAATCCGAAAGGAGACTGAACTCTGAACGGCAGATGGATCTGACCACGCGTTCACACGGCCACGCCATCAGACTCATATTCATCACTGCGTCTCTGCTGTATTGGGAATTTCAAGAACGTTAGCGTGTGATGGTGTGAAGCAGGGCAGACGAGTGCTGCGTCTCCGTATTGATCACAGGAACCTGCAGTTATGGATGTTATTCCGCTTTTTTCCCATTCATGATGACCTGAGCTTCCCTGCTTGCACTGCTGGTGCTGTTGGTTCACACACAGACACACACGTGTGGTTGCGGGAGTGTGCGATTTTGCAGATGTTTGAATGCTTATAAATAGTTGAATATTAAGATACTTTTGTAATGTTCTGTCTTTAAATTCCTTCTGATGAAACGTAACATTTTAATAAGAGCTCATGTTTGAGTCGGGACGAGCAGTGAACTGAATCACCGTCAGTCTGTTGCTCCGCACTTTGTGTCAGCTGCAGGAAACATGCTGATTGTGACCTGTTGGTCTGTTAAATGGATCGACATTAAGAAGTGACCTCCTGTTGTGCTGGACATTCGTACAGTTTTTATGACCCGCAGCATTGAGGCTTCATTCTGTTCAGTTCAAATTTGTGCCAAACTTCAGCGTGTTTTAAATTCTCAGATTGAAGCTGCCTGTGTTTGGATACTTTAAGTGCTTGAATGATTTGAACCATCAGAATATTAAGCTGCTTTTCCACCATATAGTATAGCTTGGCACGGTTCAGCTTGGCTCGGCTCACTTTTGGTACCAGCTACTTCATTTTCCGCTGCAGATATAGTGCCCCCTCAATGTAGTGACACTAAGTGAAGCTGCCGTAATGTGAAGGAGACAAATTCTGTTCAGAAGAGGCAGCGAGACAAAAGACTGTTGGGGAAAAAAATAGAGTTTGGTAAAAACTACATCAGAGCTCAGATGACGAGATAATACTGGTGCTTGAAGGCGACGCAAGAGGCTACGCTGATCTTAGCATATGTGTTTAGTGATTTTCTCCAGTCAGCAGTCTGCAGCGTTTTTACGTCACCACCTGTTATCAACTCAGCTCACTTGGAACCAGAGATGATGCCAAAAAGTAGACCTAGGTACCAGATTTGCCTGGAGAACAAAAAAAGTGGAGCTGGTTCCGTGCGGTGGAAAAGCAGCTTTAGAGTGTTTGTGCATTTCTGTGTTTCTGACTTTGGTTCCGATGCAAAACTGAACGCAGGACGTCTCAGAACGTCAGTCCGCTGCTGAGCGAAGTGAAGCAAGCGCATCGGTGGTTCTTATCGGGTTTCAGAGCGTTTATTTTCATGTCATCCTATAGCCGTGATAAATACTGTCCATCACTCAGCAGGGCTTCATAATAACCCCGTCATGCGGCTGCAGCTGGTACTGAACTCAGAACAAAAAGCGCAGCTGCATCTGATCAGACTGTTCAGTGTGCACCAATCATTTAGATACGCACTGTTTGTGAATACAGGGACCTTCGTTATTAACAAATACCATAAATGTCATTCATGTAACGGATGATCTTCAGTAGGTTTCTGTGCCGATTTGCAGAGCGATCTTCAGTTTTTGTTCATTGGTGGTAGATATTAAAGGGCTTTATTTTACTCTCTCAATACCTCAGACTGACCATCTCAGCTTTACTGAATACTGTAATTAGAAAATTTCGTTGTTCCTGAAAGACAGTGTATAAACATTAGCTTTGTGCCTTCATTAATTTTTTTATTAATATAGAGCTTTTGAAACTGGGCTGTAATTTCACCTCTGAATGATTATTAATATCAATAATGTGTCTTAAAAGATGCACTTTTTCCATTTGTTGGCTTTTAGAAAGTCCTGGAAAAATATTTTTGTGCATTGGAGCCACATTTCACACTGAAGCACATAAAACCTTTTAAAATTTAAAATGTATTACGGAAATTTCAATGAAGTTTACAGTGCAGTAATTTATGAGCTATAAAAATGTCTCATATGAAGCTGGTATCTGTGTTTATTAATTAATGTGTCGATATTATTGAGACACTGTCCACCATAAAATCATAAAAATGAATGAGCCAAAATATTTAAGTAATCCTTTAATCTACGTTCTGGCAGAATCGTTGATGTTTATTTGAACTATTAAAGAAACTGAAAAATTCAAAGCTGAGCAGCGAAAGTGTCTGAAGAGGCCAATAATGGACTGATGTGTTTTTCCACGACAGATGGAAGTTTATTTTTTTCTGCCAGCTGATGAAAGTGAAGCATCAGTGATGTTCATAAGAATCAGAGGAGCCCAGCAGATCTTCAGGAACGTTCTGCTCATCTTCCTCTGATTCTGCAGGAATGTGAAAATCGGCCGATCTTAGCGTTTAATCTGCTAACTGAGGATTCGGACTCGAGCCTTCAGTGAAGTCAAGGTCACACCTGAGCGAAGAAGATTCAGCCTCACCTTTGTGTGTTAATTAACTGAAATGATGTCTTTTCAGTGGTTTAAATTTCATGGTAGATTTTGTCAGTCATGAGCAACACAAGTCAGAATCATAGATTTTTATTTTAATGCTCTGAGAACCTTCGTAAGACCACACCTACACTCTTAAAAAGATGGTTCTTCAAGGGTTCTATAGTAAAGACAATGGTTCTGTATAAACCCTTGAACACACAAAGAACCTTTGCATGATAAAATGGTTCTGCAGATTGATGGAGAATGCGCTGTAGATGGTTTGATGTAGAACCTTTTTGAAAAGGGTTCTGTATAGCACCATTGTTATGTGGTGTTGGCACCTTTTATTGTTATGTCAAGCTTGACACAACAGAAGAACTCTTTGGTTCTATGTAGAATCATTGTCTTTACTAGAGAACTCTTGAAGAACCCTCTTTTTTGTGTATGTGCTTTTTTAAGTCTCTAACAGAGGATGATGAAAATACAAGACTGAAGTTTGACACACTGTCTGCTGGACACGATGACATCATTTCCTGAAAGTGTTCAGTAAATCTGAGGTGGTCAGAAGGTTCTAGTGATTTCAGTACAGAACAGTGGATTCAACCCCAGCGTAAAGATTAATATCACTGATCAGGTTTGTGTTCTGTAAGTACTGTTTGTTAATTTTTACAGGTTTCGCTTTGTGACTCTTCAGTTGTGTTGTATCTTCTCTTTGCTCCGTGTGGACGTTGAGCTGTTTTCATTCAACAGCATTTCCAAAGTTCAGTCACTGCAAGTGATGAAAACCAGTTAATTGATGAATCGTAATGACGTAAAGTGGAAAATGCAGAATGAGAAAAAACGGTGATGCAGAAACGTCTAACGCGAGTCTGACGAGACGGAATCTGAGAGATAATCTGAACTAGTTTAGCTATGAAACTACACGACTCTCAGCCGTCAGAGGATCATAATCGTATATTAAATAAGTAAATTGTTTCAACATTGCAGAAAGTTTCCTGCGTGAGGGGTGAGGGGTGTCTGTGTTTGTACTTCTTTATGTTTCTGTACTCGTCTTTACGCACACTTTATCAGCGGTATGAAGAGTGTGTGTGTGTGTGTGTGTGTGTGTGTGTGTGTGTGTGTGTGTGTAAACCCTAAAACGGCTGAAAGTAATTTGGTTTAAACAGTTTCATTTTTCATTATTCAGATCTGACAATCAGACGCGGCTCCATGTGGCTGTGTTTTAAATTAAGATTATAATTTTTTTAAGGAGTCTGTTTTTTTAGAGCTTTTGTTCAATCCGAGTTTGTAGTGATGCACCAGCTCCGCTGTGCCAGGAACCACGTTTATCTTATTAAACACTGGCAGATTAATCAGGCGTCTCATTTTTATCATTAGAGTTTTTAAAAATTTGTGCACTTTTTTTAGAATGAATGGTCTTCATTAATTTCTAGAAAAGATTAGCCGAGTACTCATAGTTTGGTTGATATCATGGCTGGGATGATGATGATGATGGGGTGGGATGGTTCATGTTCGTACACACTGGCTAAGATTTCCCAAATTTTCAGTAAAAGAAAATTATCTTGTTTTTGATTTTTAAAAACAACGTGAAAGATTATATAACAACCTTGTAACTCAAATGGTTTTGTAATAAAAATCATTTTGTATATTTCCAAGGTCATTTTTATTAAATGTTTTGATGAAGTCTAATCTTGCAGTAATTACACTGATCAGTTTTATATTCAGTTTTTTTGTTTTGGCCTGATTTTGTTGGGTTTCACAGGAAGGACAAATTCAGTTAAGACAAACATTATAAAATTATAGATTACAAATCTCCTTGGAACAAAACTTTGTATTTTTTTTAGATGCCAGTTGATCTTAACAGTGTTTTGAAATTTAAAGATGTGTTTTGAAGTTCAATTTAAAAAATCTTATTTCATTAACATACTTTTAAATTTAGTAAGTAAAGTTGTTTATATATATATATATATATATATATATATATATATATATATATATATATATATATATATATGTGTGCATTATATAATATGTAAATATATAATTATGTTCTTTTACTTCATTAATCAGAATTAACCTGAGGAAAATATTAATTGTTGAATTTTGCTCAGTGTGCTGTTCAGCTAGGTGACGCTGGGCTCTGTGTTCTGTTGGGTTTTATCTCTCTGTTGTTCTTTGTGACGTCAGGCTTCTGTTTTTATGCTGCAGTGAGTTACTCAGGAAAAGAGCTGCTGTTTTAACATTACATTTTAAACAGTAACTCCACCCTCAGACCTTTTACTTTCATTAACAGCTGAAATGCTCTACTCTGTGATAATAAAATATACCAGCCCTGCTTGAAACGTGATCAACATCTTTCTAAACTGTAAAAATATCATTTTTATCATGGTCAGTTACGCCTCAGCAGCGCCCCCTCTGGTTCAACTCTGCTATAGGCGCGGATTATGTGTCTTCGTACCGAAGTACCATGACATGTCACAGTATGCAAATCAGTCAAACAGCGTTACCGCCCCCTGATGATGCCCTACTTGTGCTGCACTCAGAAATATGAAAGCACAGGAGCCCAGAGTGAGGAGAGAACCACACTCACGCGCTGAGCTAAACACCCCCAGCACCTCCTCACAAGGCTGCGATATGATGTCTGTAGCAACAGTAAATAACCCTGTTAATCTGAGCTTAGTTTGGAATAAAGATTGATAATGTTGAACATGTGACTCCATAACCTGAAGGACCGATTAGGTGAGGATTCATGTTTTCCTTCGCAAATCAAACTCTGGCGCGACTCACTGAACAGAAATCAACAGCAAGCAACACTGGAACACTGTTCAGTGAGCCGCGCGCCGAGGATTCGGTTTATACAGGGGAATGTGAATTTGAGAGGGAACAGAATCGGATGTAACACAGGTAAGTGCCCTGAACAGCTTGCAGAACGTAAGGATTTATGGCCACTGCAGCAAACCCTGACTGACCAGTGATGCCGTCTGTGACCAGTTCAAAGAAATCCACTTTATTCATTCGGAATTCAGGGCATCTAAGAAATCAGGACTCAGGTTGTATCGAATATGGACCTGCTGAACAGATCATTAGAAGCTGGCTGTCAAGGTTTTAGGGAATGTTCTACCATTCAGCGCCTCTGCCGCTCACTGCTAATCAGTTTCTAGCACGTTAGCTCTTCGGCTCAAGTCAGTGACTCATACTGTTCAGGCTCAAGACGCACTGCCTGATCAGAAACGCCTTCCCTCGTTGAAGATGGGGATGGTAGTAGAGAAAATTCTACTACTCTCTCGGTAAGACTCTCAGCTGCAAAAAGACTCTCAGCTGCAAAAATGCTGTTTGATTCTGTGTCTCTCCATATTTTCTGGTAGCGAACATATGCTAGCTCTGAAACACAGTAGCCCAGCCTCCAAACCCATCACTTCGAATATCACTGCAGTGCCCCTCCCAGTGTGCCCCTCCCGTTTTTGAGCATTTTTCAAATTGTGTCAGGGTTGGAGCTGGAAATAGTGTTGTGTAGTTGCTCTTTGAAGCTTCTGTGTGAGTCTGAATATGTGTATGCAAGTGTGTAAGAGTTTCTGTCTGGGTGAGTGTCTGTGAATGTGTGTGTGTCTGAGTGTGAGAGTGTGTTTGTGTGTGTGTGAGTGTGTGTGTGTGTGTGTGTTCATCTTGATATCCTTGTAAGGACTACATCTACATGTCATTAGTGTTTGGAAAAAGAAAACAGAAAAATGGCCATTTGGATACTGAGTAAGTGTGTTTGTGAGAGTGAGTGTGTGTGTGTGTTTGTGAGAATGTGTGTATGTGTGTGAGCCCTTTTGGTCCTCGCTGATCACAAAAATCTAGAATAGTTAACGATCTGCTGAAAGACCGAACCTCGTTAAGCTTGTTGGTCCGTTCATCTCCCGATTTCATGAGATGCTGCCCCCACTGGTTGTTGTTGAGGGGAACCTGGTCTGCGCTGCCTGTCAGCTGCTGGACTCCAGGAGGAGAGGAGTTCTTCAGGACCTGGTTGCTTGGGGGGGTTCTGGCACCGAGGAGAGGAGCTGGGTTCCTGCCCGAGATGGCTTGGATCTGGGGTTGGTGGTGGACATCTATGGAGACAGGCCTGTTCCATGTCCTAAAGGTCATCCCAGACATCAGCCCAGGAGTTTCCCTTAGGATTGTTCCAAGGGTCGCCCTAGAAAAGGATTAGTCAGTCCAGCCCCACAGTAGCTCTGAGGTTTGTCCCAAGGTGTTTGTGGTGTTGTGAGTAGCGTTTGTGGTCATCCTTGTCTCTCAGCCTGCTTGGACTCCTTTGGGGGGAGTCCACGACACATCTTGTGACACTCATCGCTCTCTCACTGATTGGCTCTGTTGAGTCAGTGGGCTCCTTCTCCCATGATCCTGTGGGAGATCACGATGCCCATGTCTACAGTCTTGACCATCTGTAGGCCACAGCTGAAGTATGACACCCGGTGTGCTGTAGTTCACTCCTTCAACATTTATAATGTAGTAGTTTTGCCTCAGTTCTGTGATCTTGTTTTTCGTAACTCGTTCACATCTGCATTAAATACACCCCTTACACTGTTTACTGCTCTGCTGTGGTTTAACCTGGATCAGATCGGAACATTATGTATGGATACGAACAAAACAGCCGTATACAAAAATTTCAACTCTTGCGGTCAAATTACATATTTTTTACTCAGTGTAAATAAGTGAACACATCCTCTCAAATATGGCATTTTTCTACAAATGTAGTGCAGTTTCTGTTTATTTGCCGTGTTTAACACACTGGACAAAATTGAAACATAAAGTAAAAAATGTGCCATAACTTTTGCACAGCCCACATTTTATATTTTATGTTTAATGTAAATTCAGGAAGTAAACATATCTCTTACGTGTCAGAGAGGCAGACACGGTTTCTTTTTTGTTTTTAATCTCTGTTACTGTTGTACAGCTGCTGCTCTGTCAAGTAAAAGTTTGTATAGACACATCAGGTAAGAGGTGACTGTCCCTGCTGTGTTAGATTAGCTCTGGTGTGGCAGGTTTAGCTGTTTGTTTTGTTCTTTTCATTTCTTTGGCACCGTCCATAGTCCACATTTGTTCTTGGCTGAGTAGAAAATAAAGTCCTTATAGGAAAGTCTGTTCGCTTGGTGGCCATCTTTGCTGGGCAGTTATTTCCAATCGTACAAGACCAGACGTCTCTCTTTGTGAATGAGGAGAGACTGATACTCCAAACTGAAGGTTAAATTACAGATTTAAAAAAATGAATTTGGATAGTATTTTATGTCGTTTTAGCAAGTTAAAAGTGATTTTCAGTTGAAATCATCTGACTTTTTCAGGTACCTTCAAAATCAGGCACTTTGTGCCAACTCATTTTATTCATTTTCTATGTCTTAGATCCTATTCTTGATATGGATCCCACTTGTTCAGGCGTGATTTCAAGTGTGTGTTCTATAATTTCTCAAATTAATGCCCTCATCATCTCTATAATTAAAAGTGCTTGGAAGGATGATTTGGGTATGGATTTGTCAGAAGTATGGGATGGTCTACTTTCTAGGATACATTCCTCCTCAATGTGTGCTAGACATGGTCTGCTCCAGTTTAAGGTTCTACACTGCATGCATTTATCAAAACGTAAACTTGCCAAAATGTTCCCTGACGTTAACCCTATCTGTGATCGCTATAAGCAAAACCTGCCATGCTATTTCATATGTTTTGGCTGTGTCCCTCTCTTTCTTTATATTGGACCTCCATCTTCAGGGCTTTTTCTGACTTCACTTGTCTTCATATGGAACCCACTTCACTTATTAGTTTGTTTGGTGTCACTACAGAATATCCGTTGATGTCCAGTGGCCAGTCTGATACAATAGCATATGCTTCTTATTGCAAGGTGCTTAATTTTACTCAACTGAAAGACTACCACCTTCAACTCTGACAGGACTGTAACACTGATCACAAGTGCTTCCCAGAACATTAACACATACATGTCATTTGATCAGGATTGTTCAAACTTTTGCATACTGTCTGCATGGTTATGAACTTTGCGTATGATTCTATTCTGCATAACAAAAATATGAGAAAACAGGTTTCTGATGAACTACTGTGTAAAATAAAACACTATTTTACAGTAAAATGAACAAAATATTAGTTTCTCTTAAACAGCAAAAAACTACTCAAATTAATTACTATACTCAGCAGTACCCGACAGTGATAGAAAACCACCAGATAACCATTATAAAACCATTAGAAAACATAAGGTAACCAATAGAAAGCCATCAAAAAACATTAGATAGCCATAAACAGCCATTAGATAACTATCAGACAGCCATTAGAAAATCACTAAATAAACATTAGATAACCATTAGTCAATTAACAACTGTTAAATAATAATATTAAATAACCATTAGACAACCATTTAAAAACAATTAGATGACCATTAAAAGCCATTAGTAAATCATTACAAACCAATAAACAACCATTACAAAACCATCAAAAACAATTATACAACCATTTAACAACCACAAGAAAACCATTGGATAACCATTACATAACAATTAAAGTCAATAAAAAATCATGACAACCACTAGAAAGTGAATGGAAAACCACTAGAAAACTATCAGACAACATTTAGAAAATAATTAAACAACCATTAGAAAACCAAGAAAAAACCCTAGACAACCATTAAACAACCATTAGATAACCATTAGAAA